TTTGGAAGTAAAGTCTCCATTCGGTGAAGTGCACTTCTCCGACTCGTAAATGCACGGCAGGGCGCAAATGCATCGCCCGGTAGACTTTCGCCGGGTAAGAAAGTTTTACGACTGCTCCCCAGTTGAGACCATTTCAAGTGCACGCATCGTAATACCATATAATAAGCTCACGAGCGACTATTTGTGGGTAGACCGGTCGGCGTATTTGAGAGACCTCATTGGTGAACACTGGCCAACTTTGCTCGCCGCTCCGAAATGAAAAGAATGGAAAGAAATTACGAGGCAAGCCTCGCGCGCCGACCGGAATATTCGGCGATTTTATTTTTCGCCCCGAAACCGGTTCCCCGAGGATGCAAAACCTGCAAGAAGTGGACAAGTCTCTTTTAAAAATTCCCATGCCGTTGCAGACACTCGTTGCAGACACTCGGTGCAGGACGCTTAAATTGGGCTTAAAATAATGAATACCCTTTTTTTCACCACTGGGGAGAATAATTTCGAGTACCCAAGGTCGTGTCGGATATTCTCACGAGTCTCTTATCTACTTTCACGTGACTTTTTGAGAGTCGACGACAAAGCCCGGAACAATCAGAGATGCAGCGCGAAAGTAGCACCGTCTATATAATACGGCTTAGCAATGGCATCATAACAGAGTTCCGATACACGCCTAAATATTTGCGATGCGATAACAAGACCAAGATTATCATCTTATCGTCTACTTCGACGGAAAATTGAGATCCTACGTAGACGCTCGCATTTTCGTTTGTTTCCCAGAAAATCGGCAGAACTGGTCCGGGGAACGTTTCTCTCGGGCTCATAAGTTTTGTAAGGAAAAAAATAAATAAAAAAAAGATACTGGCGCCCGGTGGAATAACGTTTGCGATTATTAGGCCGTGAGTGGAGCCGGCTCGAAAACTTTCTTGCCGACCGGTCCTCCTCCGAGCTGCCAGTCGCCGACTTTTTCAGCAGCAATGGTCGGTTTTCGTTTGTCCTTGAACGGTCCCATCGCGCCATGGTGCGTTTGGAGGTTAACTCGTAGCTTCCCCTTCTCGAGTGGGTTGCCTCTCCTCTTCTTTCTTCTTCGTTCCCCTCCTTTCCTCTCCTCGTTTCGCCTCGCTCGTCCCGCGCTAAAGTGCTGGCTGAAGATAGCATCGGATCTTCGTCACGTGATCCAAGATGGCGCCGACTCTCCGCGCTCGACGCCGGGGATGGGTAACCGTTCAGATTGAATTCATTTGAAATAGGTATCTAAAATGTAAAATGCCCCTTTCCGTATTAAACGGGAAACGGAAGAATATTTTACAATGTTAACGGATTTGATGAAACTACTTTTGCGGGTTTATTTTAAAACAGATTTTCGAGAACCAGTTTTCCCGGCTCTGCTCGACGAGCGGACCGACAGCCTAAATATGACCTTAGATTGCTGTACCATTATGAAAGAAATAACAACCCACTTGTGCGTCAATTGGAGCACTTCTTGTCGCCCCTTAACCCCCGATGGGACAATAACCCTCGTCGGCCGAATAAATATATAAATGTGTAAGGTGACACCAAAGGATCGTTGTATGTACATATGAAAACGTTGAAATATTTATATACTTATCTGCAAACTGGGTGCCCCTAATCGTCTGAAACTTTAACGCGTGATTATATAGAGGTCCTAACGAAGGTCTTGAATGTCAGGAAATTTCATCGGGACCTCCGTAATCACGTGTTAAAGTTTCAAATTACCCGGTGCACCGAGTCCGGAGAAACGTTTTATAAATATTTTGACTGTTTGATGTATGCGACACTTTCGTAACACCTTGATACCTGTTGTTTTCGCTCCTGGACGAGCCTCTGATAAATGTGTTATCGGCGGGGACAAACGGCCGTGATAAAATTTCCTGTACTTGAAATGCGCCTATACTGCGCTGTGAAGCGCCGGTCCGAAGATAGCGCCAACATTCTCGATTATCACCCGATGACGCACCTATGGTACACGCCTAACTTCTCGTACTCTCGTGTTAATGCCTCTTCTATGAGAAAAATAAACATGCACGTGTGACCAACTCGCGCGTTGGAACCGAAACGTCTTTACTTCGGTTCTATTTCACATGAAATGTCTAATTAACCGAGAAAATAGTCTATATTATTTTAAACTCACCCAGTCTTTCCGGACACTACGCCCAAAGGCGAATATAAACGGTAATTAACTGAGAGAGATATATGTGCCCATAATTACGAAAGTGGTCTAAGTCATATATTTTTTGTTTCGAAATTACATTGAATTAATTTCGTTTGAAATAATATGGCGTGAAATAACTGATAAACTCATTTTTTTTTTTTAATTTTGACTTAGACCACTTTCATAATTATGGGCACATATAAGGAAAAGTAAGTTTCATTTTTCGTTGCGTTCTCATTTCTTTAATGCGAATTTACTCCATCGTGACCTTAAAACTTTCCCGTCGAAAACGCACTCGAATAAGCACCTGTCGTTATCGAGGGAGTAACGTAAAGTTTACCTGTAATAGAAGGGAGCTGAAACTGCGTAGTTGGACTCGTCCCCTTATTACTTCTTTTTTCCTTTTCTTTTTTATAAGCGACGATTGGTCAGATGTGGGAGGACAGCCCGTCGTAATAATGGATCGTTTATATCGATTATCCGCCAATACTTTCCGCAAGTCAGTGGCATCGTCGCCTAGGTTAAGCGAAGTGTAACATAACCTAGAAACTAGCCCCGTGAATGGGTCGTTTCGCGTAATTCTATACCCGGGACTGCCAACCCACAGGAATTGTATGCCAACACCGGCGACGCGTATCAGCGAGTGTCATCTGACCCATGAAGTCGAATTATCATCGTTATTGCTGCTTTTAGTACCATGTTTTCTCAGCGGTGCAACCTATGCAGGGAAAGTGAAATTTCATCAAACCTATCGACGAGAGAAAAAAAGAGCCCGCCATTTGCAATCTCTCTCCCGACATAATTCACGAACCTCCATCTCCAAGCTACGTCGCTAAAAAATATACAGCAGCATAACATTTTATCAATATATGTTGTAAACACGAGGGAGTCAATTCTCCCGTCGCAACATTATATACGTAATTAGAAATTAGAAATCAATAACAGACGTGTTGACTTATAAAATACACAATTGTACCGCGTGCTAAAATTGCAGGAATTTTAGGAATACTTTCCCTGATATGACCTAATACGCCCGTTACATAATAGCATTGGAATAAAATCGAATAAATCCTGCGCCCTCTTTTCATTGTCGGAGTCGAAGCCGAGTCGAGTCGACCTGCAAAAGATCGACTCCTCAGGCGGTCACGTGAATTTCGGCAAAGCGATAAAAAATAAACACGGACCGGCACCCCTCGCTCCGTCGTGTAGACGCACTACTATGCATGCCGTCCTCTTATGCAACCGTGTAAACCGGCTCTACGTGTGCACGCGGGTGTCCGCGGATCTCATTTGTTGTCATGGATGTGTAATGCACCGGTCGTGACCGCGAGCGCGCGACTCGCGCCTACCCGCATGACTGTCGCGCATACCCGCATGAATGTGCGCGCCTACCCGCATGAATGTGTGCGCCTACCCGCATGAATGTGCACACATACCCACGGGTGCCGCTCGGGGGTGCACACAAACACCCGAGTGCCGTCCGTGAGGGTGCACCCATACACTAGGGGCCGCCCGCGAGGCGACTCGCATTTGCCCTCGTGCATGTGCACGCATACGCGCGAGGCGACTCTCGTTCGCCCTCGTGAGGGTGCACACATTCACTTGGGTGAGGTTACTCGCATACGTGGTCGCGCCTGCGCGGGCCGCGACGAAAACAATGCGCGCCGCGGCGGCTTCCCGGACGCCCTGGCGTCGAAACCGGCCGACGGGCTCCGAGATCTCCCTCGGGATGAGAAAGACCTCGCTCGGGATGCTTCCACTCCTCGAGAAAACCGACGAAATCTCCCCGTTGGCTCTTAAATGCCAGGTAGATTCTCGCGGGGAGTCGGCGTCGCCGAGGAGCCGGCGGAGTCAGCGGTTTCGGAGTGTGCGCACGGCCCGCGGGTTCTCATCCTCGGATTCTCTTCGCCGGGTAGCGTCTTTCCGTTATCGAGCTCTCGGATGAACGTATTAACTTCATATCGACTTCGTATCGCGGTTTTACATCCGTTAGGTGATATCCATAGCTACGATCTTCCCGTGAGTTCCTAAACTGCCCTCGTATTAACCGTTAATGACTGAGATGTTTTTTGGTATCGTGAACACGTGCGAGATCACTTCAATTTTTTTGCCGTAAAGAATAGATCGGAGATAAACTAGGATAGTTTTCAGTTTATTACAGCGCCAATCGTATACACGAAATGACTCACGACCGCCTATCTAACTCTCCCACAAGTCCGTGCCGTTCTTGTACGAACTATTCCGCATCGTATCATAAGTGAAACCGAAACATTTATCATTCCTCACATTTAATTCCTATTCACGTTCATCGTTTACATTGTAGATGTTTCCCTCGGTTTTGCGCGTCATTCTCGGAGTTAACTAAAATTTGGAATTCCTAAAACCTTCAAAAGCATTCGGAAATAATTTAAATGGTAAACATGGTAACATAAATTAGCCTGGATAAACCATGGTGGGTATCCACGAACGCGAGCTCTAGACGTTTCCGTTACTCCCATCGTCGCTCGCAACGGAATCGATAACCCGATGGAGGATTAGTTATTAAAACTCGCATAATTGAATGTCCGGGCCGACGCGCAGAAAGCGGCAACGAAAATGGAGCACGTTGGGACGTGCCAGCGATTCCTACGACTTCCGAAAAAACGGACGCCTAGACAGAGGTCGAACGAGACGCGCGGAGAACCACTGTGCGTACGTGACTCGTGGCGCGGGTAGCAGAGGGCGTCGTCAACGTCGCCTGACCCGGCAGGAGGTGGGGGTGTCCGCGTTGAGCGCGCCCATTGGTCGGCGAGGTGGCGTGGTGGGGAGTGGGGGTAGTAGAGGCTCGCCGCCATGTTGCCGGGCTCAGTCGGAAACCAACTGCCGAGCAGTGAGGGACGGTGAACGAGAGCGGACCAGATGTGTTAGCCGAAGGATCTTTGATGCGCTTCCGAGGCCGATCACCGCTCAGTGCGAGAGGCTGCGAGATCGCGTCGGACTGCGGAACAAGACCCCGGGATACTCGTCCGGCAGAAGGCGCCCGGTTCATCGCGAGAGCGCGGACGGCAAGGAACATCGCCGTGGAGGACCAGCTAGCTCAGAGGAGAAGGAGCTAGCTTCGCGAGCGAGGGAGAGAGACGGAGAGAGGAGGCGCGGAGATCGAGGAAGGCGAAGGAAGAGGGAAAGGAGAGACGCGGGGAAGAGCGGAGATCGATCCGGAGCTCTGGTTGGAGAGGATCGGGAGTCGACTGGGTTTACATCGGAGGGATTTAAGGAGGAGAGCGCGGTGCGGTGTCAAAGTCTGTGATAGTATTTATTCAAAAGATTCAACCTAACCGCACCGAGAACCGAACCGTATCGACATAGTCGCGAGAATCGCGCGAACGGGCGCGCGGTTAGACGGACTAGATAGGCTTTATATATTTATTTATATCTGTGATATAACCACGCCGATATATCGATCCGAAAAGCCGTTCCTCTCGCGCGTATCCGTTAGCCGTTGACGTTAACACGCTCGGCGGTGCGAAGGAGAGCGAGAGAAGGGAGAAGAGGCGAGAGGCCGAATATATCAGCGTCTTAGAGGTTAGGCCGTTTTGTATATACGACTGACTCTTTTTTACAATTATCCGATACCGGTGCCGAGTCGAGGCTCGGGCGAAGAGTCCATTTTGCCGAGACCAGTCGAATAGACCTGCCTTTCGCGGGAGAGAAGACTCGCCCGGATTTATTTCGGCGGATACGATTTTTCTGTGCCGTCAAGATGGTCGAGAAGATTCTGGAGGAACGCGAGGACGGACTTCAGGACGTCACGAGGGGTAAGAGACCATTGTTTTATAGATCTTGTGCACCGTTAAAAATATGTCCACTCGAGACGTACACGGACGGAGATACTTTTTTTCGAGGTGTTAATTTTTGGGGCTCGAAAAAGATCTACCATCCCCGAGGGGAAGAAAAAATTATAGAACCCAGTGTTTCCATTTTTTTTTTTAACATACTCTTGTCGAAAATGAGGCGTTTTTATCGGTGCAACGTCTGGATGGAATGTCGCGGGAATCGTTATCTCCCACGAGACTCGAATTCGAATTGAAGGTGCAACGATATTAAGCTCCGAAATCTAAAATCGGTCCACGCAATATTGCGTCATCCCGCGGAGACTAATTGCGTGAGCGCGTTGGCGATCCTCGGGGTTTCTCGAAGTGGCCTGAAATCCGCTCCGACGAAGCTTTTTAGATATTTTGTAGACCCCGAAATCTCCTCTCGGTTTTCGGAAGGCCTAAAAAACCGAGGTTTAGGGTTACTCGCGCCGGTCTCGTTCTTGGACCGGTCCGGCCGATGTATGTCGAGGAATCTCCCACCTGCGCTTCTCCGAAATGTTTCTTGGCCTCTCTAAACGAACTATCCGTCATTTCACCTCGTGCGGATAAATACTATTCGAGCCTATACTAGTTGCGGGCTAATGAAGCGAGGGGAAAATGAAGTTACGCGTTCGGAAGCTTCATTGGAACTTTCTCGAAGGCCAGCGGCGATGTCGCGCGTTTGTATCGACTCGCGGACAGAGACGCGAATCGAACGGCCGAATGTTCGCCCCATTGTTGCCGTTGTTGCCGTTGTTGCCCCGATTGAAGTAGATGTACTATTGGTATGATTTTACTGCCGTACTCTGACTTCTACCCCGGTAAAAATTAAAGTATCATTCTTCCAAAGGAATATTTCTTTGAACAGTGTTTCGCAATTTTAAAGAATATTTATTCGACTCAAACAATAGCTCGAATTGTCATAATTTCAAAGTAATGTTGCATTTCGTGTTTATTCAACTCAAATTGGTCCTATTCAAACGAAACATTTCTTTGGTTCAACGAATCTTTTTTTTTTTTTCTTTCTCAGGACATGTACAGATTTTCACTATGATGGGGATATAGTTAATTTCTACTCCGATAGGGAATCCATTCCCATTTTTCGGTCGTTTTCTCCTGCCCGTTCGATCCAACGGGTTTTTTTTGTTGGGAGGAGGACTATTATTTATTTTCTCGCGGATGTCCATCGAATTGTCGGGTCGTTCGCGAAAAGTGTGCTAGGAATCATGGCGGGCTTATAGTTTTCGGTTTCACTATTGATTTCCTTTGTGTGTCTCCCCTCGGGCAGAAGGGCGACTAACGAACCTTCGGAGGGTTCCGAATGATCTATCCCTTGGGACGCTTTAAAGTCCGATCTGGTGTTTTGCATTTGCAGATCGCTTTCCATCTCACGGAGACTATAAATATCAACGCCAGACCCTAAAACCCAATATAATTAATAAACGATGCACAAAACTAACAATTACGTACTTTTCTATCTCATAAACATATTTCAAAGTGCAGTATGTACATACTTGGTAAATCGATGCTGAGACATATCTAAGTTACAGAGAATGCCTTCGTACTCTTTATTCATTTTATTTGGTCCCTGCAATTATTTTCCTCTGATAGATTTTCGTCCCACTTATCCATTATTTTGCACTAATGGTGAAAAAATTAAATGTAGTCCCTCAAACCACGCGATATTAAATACCAAGTCTATCGTTACGTGTTACATATATATTTTTTTTTTAAAGTTACTTTTCATTTCGCTAGCAAATAATTCGGGACTCCTTTTCAAAGGAAAGGAAACGGTCGCGATGTAGTTGAGAGGGATTTTCAGCATTTTCTTTGCCTCGAAATCGGGCTCGAGAATTCTCTTTTCGGCACGTCGAGGCCCTTTTGAAAAGCCTTCCCATTTTCCTCTCCTCCTTTTTTTCCCCCTCGAAAGGGAACCGATAGAGAGGATTCGAGGAAACGCCTCCTTTATCCCGAACTTAAATTTTCGTTTCTTCCACAAATTCCCGATTTAAGCACAACCCCCGAAGAGGGAATAAATTCGTAAAGGGGGTGGATCTCCTTTTCCTTGTCGATCATTTCCTCCCCGGGAAGAGGCGTTAAATCATTTTTTTTTTTTCGTCTTCAAGTATATCATCTCGGCGTGGAAACTCCAATTGCGTCGGAGGTGCGAACCTCGGCGTTTCGCAACGCGCTCGGTTCGCTGCCACCCTGGGGGGGCGGGTGGATTATTTTGAGGGGAACGCAGGGGGGAAGAGAGGAGAAGTGGGTTAGTCGGCGCGGGGGGAAGGAAGCTCAGGAGCCGGGGACAAAGAGCGGAGGCCGCCAGGGATGCGCGCGCCCTCCCACCGGACTAACCGGAGCCCTTTAAAGGGACAAAGAGGCCCGCGGGACCGGCGCTCCCGCCTCGCGCTCCGATTGGCTGACGCGCGCGGTGACGTCACTCGCTCCCCCCACCCCGCGCGGTCGGACTTCCGAGTGGGGAGTCCAGTCGGGCCCTTCGTGGGCGCTCGCGTTACGTTGCGAGATAGGGGGAAAAAAAAAAAAGAAGAAAGGAGAGAAGCGAAAGTTCACCTCGCGTTTTAGGGAGTTTCCAGGGAGGACGACGAAAGAAACGGGAGGGTCTCTCGTGCAGAAAATTGGCTCACGGGTGCCGCACGAGTGGTCGGGCCTCGCGGCGATCGGAGTCGATGGAAAGTTCATCGGCAGGAATCCTACCAGTCTTTCCGGGGATTGTATTTTTTTCTTTTCATCAATTTATTTATTTTCTTATTTTTTTCTCGAGAGAGTGGCGGCGCCACGGTATTCCGCGATTTCTTGTCATTTTATTCCCCTTTGTTTTTGGCCATGTCGTAGTCTTTTTGTATCGAGGACGCATTGTCCGGGTCTCCAATATTTGGAGAAGAATTTTCCGGGTCTTCGAAATTCGGAGAAAGTACTGAGTCAACTGGCAAGAAATATGAAAGGATAAATTCTTTTTTTTTTTTCATGTAACATTCGAAAAAATATTTCTTTCGTTCAACGATATTTTTTTTTTTTTCTCGGTGTAGGTACGTCTTAGTAAATTAAATTCCTACGATTTCCGCTCTGAATTCGGGGAGGCGGAGAAATGTTATTTCTAGGGCTCGGTTTAAGGGACGCGTTAGGATTTATTTTCGGATTTCCAATGAGATAGGAAGCTTTGGGCTCGGGGGTGGATGAGATCCCTGTGAAAGGAGCGGTTGTCAGGGGCAGCAGTCGCGTTCACGTAATATGAACGTCTGCCAGGAAGAGCCGTTCCTGGAAAAGGATCCCCGGGGAGTCGGGTTCCAGGTATCCTTTCAGGACTCCAATTAGCTCGCTGAAAACCGAATGGGATCGGCGCGTTTACGTCACGGACGGAACACCGCCTTAATTTCGGGTTAGAAGTTTCGAGCCGCAGGTGTCGACGGACTCCTCCCTCCTTCCCAAAATGAAACCACCTCGCCGTATTTCATATCTCGATATTCCAATCTTCGAGTTATGAATCTACAGAAATCGATACCTCGATCCTGTACGTAATAAGGCAAGGGTTTTTTTTTCTTTCTTTCTTTCCGCGCACTCGCGCGGACCAGGTACCAAAATGGCGGCGGTCCGCGCGGGCCACTTCCGGGGCGTCGACCCTCGGTCGGCGGATGAGGTTTTATCTCGACGTAAGATGGCGACGGCGGCGGCGACCGTCGCCGTTCCTTTTCTGTACCAGTCGTTGAACTCTCGCGCGGCCGTGCCGGCCAACCGGCGCACCGAAATATACCCTCGCCTCGAACCGAATTATCGCCTCGCGATGGAATAAAGCCCGAGGCGCTGCCGGATTCTCCGTCGAGTCCCCGGGTATCGATTTCGACCGCGATTCTCTCCTCCGCGGCGATCCCTTCACGGGGAAATATATTCCGGTATCCGAGGGAAACCTTGCAAACCACGGCGCGGTAAATTCGGCTCCTAATATGAACCGGCACCGATTAATCGTAGCGATTTCTAACCCGCTAAATCGAGATATCTTATATAATATGTAAATTGAAATTTCGCGAGTTTCGAGACCTTCGGAATCGTGAGGTACAGTTTTGAAATTCCTCGGTGCGCTGGGTTTGCGGAAAGGTTTGATAAATATTTCGAATTTTTCATGCGTATTTATGTGGCTTTTGTAAGACTTTAACGACGCACTTTGGACCATCGGGCGTCGGGGATGGCGTCGGTTGAGCACTCCTGCGCGGACCTCCTCTGGGTCGGCCGGTCGATGCGGTCAGGGGCGCGCTGCGGATTTTTCGCCGCTCTTCTCTCCCGCGTCTCGATAGGGAGCTCTCGATTGTTTATAAACGGTGTAATTTTTTGGCCTGCGGGGTATTAGTAAATGATCGAACGCGAAAATGGGGGGGGGATATTCTCGACGTCGCGTGGGAAGACTTTCGAGGAAGGCGCGCGCTCTCGTTTCGACGGATTTCTCTTTAACCCACGCGAAATCCCGTCTCGAACGCCCACGTAGCTGCTCCTCGAGGTGTTCTTCAAGGTACTACTTCGGGTGGGACGCTAGGAAAAACGACGTTCGCGTCGTCGCGATCTCCGCCATTTTTTTTTTTTTTTCGAACGGCTGACTCACCGCCTGGTCGCTGCCCCTTATCGATGCACTGTTCAAATAATCATTCCCTTTTTTATATACACATATATATAAAAAACGTTTTATAAAATTGTTTAACTGCTCCTCGAGGTGTTCTTCAAGGTACTACTTCGGGTGGGACGCTAGGAAAAATGACGTTCGCGTCGTCGCGATCTCCGCCATTTTTTTTTTTTCGAACGGCTGACTCACCGCCTGGTCGCTGCCCCTTATCGATGCACCTTTCAAATAATCATATCTTTTTTTATACACATATATAAAAAACATTTTATAAAATTGTTTATTTTAAATTCGGACATTTTATAGACGTGAAGTTTTATCGTGCGTTTTCCCGAATACGGTAAAAATGGAGCTTCGTGGGGCGGGGAAAATAAAGGTTTCAAGTCTGGTCGATTCGCGGGCGATTGGGAAATGTTCAGAAATGGGGAAGGAATTCCCGCGGAAAGCCCGGAAAATATCCAACGTTACGTGGAGTTATATATCTTCTATTTTAGAATTTTTCTACGCGAAACTTCGGGGACGAGGCCAGGAATAAAAGTGTATACAATTTACCGTCGATTATTATCTGCGGTGCTTTCGTCGTGGGATCACGTTCGACGGAGGGAACGCATCGCAGGAATTGCGCCGCGTTGCAGGGAACGAGTCGATATTTTGCTCCGCGGTTTCACGAGGGAAGAGAGAGAGAGAGAGAGCAAGAGAAAAATGCAATGCCCAAGAAAATGGCGTCTCACGTGAGCCTCGTAAGCATAATTCCGTCGCGCGTGAGCGTAATTCCCGATGAGATAACGCTTAGCGAAGTTATTGCACCGGCGTTTCCTGCCGGGATATTTTTTTTACCGCGAGAGAGAGAGAGAGAAGGAGCCGCCACTTGTCCTTTTCTCTCCTTCTTTTCGCGGTTCTCTTCGGAGGGAATTTTTTAACGCCGCTCGAACTCTCACATTTCCATGGAACGGTGGGAGAAAAATAAAGAGAGCGACGCGGATTCGTTGACTTGGTTCCTCGAGGGAGGGAAAGAGAGAAAAATGGAAAGGGGAGGAAGAGGCAAAGGGGGTTCGCCCTTTTATTTCTCTCGACCGCTTTCGTGGCAGCGAGAGAAATTCCGCCGGAATGACCGGTCTGGGGTTAAAAATGCACTTCCCGGGGCATTTTGCAGGGAAAAGTGAATTTTTTTTTCCCCGTTCTTTCCTTTTTAGAGAGAGCTTTTCAAGTACTTTTTGCGCAGAATTTCTGGCGCCGGCAAGTTTTCCTTCCCCTTTTCGAGCCCGTCCTGGATATATCGCGGTACAGGCAGTTCTCCATTCGCGAATTTTTCTTCACTGGGATTTTTATTTTCAACATTTTTTTTTTATCTTGACTTAAGCTTAAGATATAAATATTTCCTTGGTTAAATGAATTCGTTTTCTCGAGGTATCAACCGTCGGAGCGGAATTGCGCGGTATCGGCGAGGGTTTCGTTTTCCGTTCCTTTGTCAACGGGCGAAGGGCCACCCTTGGTCAGGGGCTGCGAAATCGACAGGAAGGGGAAGGAAAAATACGACGAACGAGGGGAGAACTGGGGGGAAAGGGGGAGCTTAAAAGCTGGGGATTATTCTCTAGGGGAAAACTGTTTCGAGGGGAGAGGGACTCGCATTCGGCTCTTCTTTGTGGGTCTCGTTTTATCGTTAACGATCATAACCGGCAATCCCAGATGGACTAAAGCAATATCGACCGTAATTGTACTTGCAATTGTTTATAGATTTAAATTCGTTGGTTAAAAGACCAGGAAAAGAGGGCGGTATCAGATTTCCTTCTCTTCTTAATCTCATCGCTTAGTCGGGAATTTCATCAATTTCGTTGATTAGGCGAATTACGGATTTTTTTATTTTTTTTTTTAATATGGTCAATTTTATTGATCGCGGTTTTCGTCGACTTTGGCCGAAATCTCTTGTCAAGAGTTCACCGGGTCAGGTGCACGCGGGTTCCGCGTGACGCAAAACGTCATTTTCTTCGTCTTGGCCCGCGTCCTTCTCCGTTTTCTTATCCTTCTCTTTGCATCCGCGAAACGGGAACGTCCGAACTCTCCTCGCACGTGGATCTCCCCGAAATAGCCGAGTCCCATTATCCGGATGTTTCCCTCTGGGCTCGCCTCGACCTGCACCGAGAATAATTCCAACTAAGCTAATTCCTATTCCTATCGGCCTCTAACAAGAGAACCGTCATCGCTTTAATACTCTCCTATATTCGTTGCGATGGCCTATACATTGCCGAAAATAGGATTTCTACCCCGAGAAAAAAAACCATTCACGAAACCGAAGAAATATTTCTAGGAATAGTACCTTAGGAATTTTTCGTTAATTCCAAGAGTAATTATTTGGCTGAAATAAATTGTCACGATTCCGAATAAATGTGTAATTCAGTTTATTCGAGTCATATGATTATTCGTTGAATTAACAAGGGATTTCTTTGGTTCAATGACATTTTCTTTTTCGCGGTGTATGGTTAATTTCTTCAATGTTTAGATTCGACGCCGCTCGAAGTAACAGTTCCATCTTGGGTATATGTGCCCATAATTATGAAAGTGGTCTAAGTCAAAATTGAAAAAAAAAAAAATGAGTTTATCAGTTATTTCACGCCATATTATTTCAAACGAAATTAATTCAATGTCATTTCGAAAGAAAAAATATATGACTTAGACCACTTTCATAATTATGGGCACATATATCGGTAGAGATTCCCGGAGGATTTTTCCACGCGAGGAGAATGGGCAGATAAGGCACGGGAAACGCATTGTCGGGTTAAACAACGGTCCGCTTCGTTAAAGCTGATTAAGGTGCGTCGATGACGGGGAAGTCGATTAACGAGGCGAAACTCTTCCCGGCTCTCTTCGCCATTGCTGCGCGATAACGCGCGACAACCCCCTCCGAGTAATTGACGCCAATTTACTTCTGGCCGGCGCGTTAAATTGGAGCACCGAGAGAAGAAAGAAAATCACTATGGCATCCTCGAAGGAGAGGAAGAGGACCTTTGTTCGCGTTTTTGCGTCCCCTTCGCGTCGAGCCGCGATTTTTCGACCGCCGTTACCCGACGCAACGGAAAACCGCTCGAGACGGTTTAAAACCGTTAAAAAACCCGGCTGGGGTGAAATCTTGAGGAATGACGTCGCTTTGTTGCCGACTCTTCGATATGTTTGGAGGGGAAGTAAAAATTTGCCTCAAATATATGTTTGGAGGGGAAATAAAAGTTTGACTGCATTTCGCTCGTTTTGTCCTCGGTCTCGGTGGTCGACATTTGCATGGACGTTATTGCGTAAAGTGGGTAAACTGCGAATCTTAGCGGGATAAAATAAGAGGAGATGAGAGGAGAGAAAAGTGTTAAGACGCGAAGGAGTCGGCGAGGATTATTTACCTCGTCGGATATCTCGCGCTCATAAAGATGCGGCTTTATAGCTGGAATTCTTGACTCGTGACAAACACGTTCAGCCTTGGGGGAATAGCGTGACCGGTGATTAGTAACAAATTGTTAAAACGTTATGACTAACTGCTCGGCGCTACGTAATTACGTCTGCAGTTGCGATCGAACGATTTAACATCGTTTTAAGTGTCCTTATCGAGTAGAGGTGCGACTCGATTTAAGGGGTCAATTTAAAGGGAACGACCGTTGTTACGTTTACGGATTGAATTTTTATTACGTTTGTAGAAAGGTTGTTACCTTTCGAGAAATACACCGTGATCAATCCGTGATAATCACCTGCAGCCTTGGCGTCGTGACCCGTGACCGGTCATCGATCGCCATCGACATCGAGGTGCACAATCCTCGATGACTAATGACCAAGGTGCCGCGATATCGTGTCGTTGATAACGTCGACCTGGGTGATTTAGCGACGCCTCTAAGGCTGATAAAGGCGACCGCCGAATCCATTGAAGTATAAAGCAGAGCCGTTCGAATCGCGCCCACTAAGTGGAAAAATGGGGTAAAATAGAAAGTCTCCCTCTGTTATCGCAATGAACCTTTATTTCTCAGTGTATAAGTCGTAAGCGAGTTGTTTCTTCGATTCCTCGATGGCGTTGCTCCTTCTCGTTCTTCTTCTTCTTCTTTCCTGCCGGTACCGAAAAATAATCAAATCATTATTGTTACAGGGGATGGAGGCTGCAGGGACGTGACCTCGATGGGGGAGTCGATGAGCGCCGTCCAGGCCCGCCAGGAAGAGGCCAGACGTAAAAGACGCAGGAAGAAGCGCTCCGGCTCGTCCCTGGTGTCGTCCTGCTTCCAAGGTTGGTCCCTAAAATGACGAGAAAATGGCAGAAGTATATCGGTAGTATACCGAGATAACCGCAAACTTGCGTTACGTTCGACACGGGAGCACAGGACTGTCTCTGGGGTGGGAGAATCGCAAATGCGAGATAACCTCTTCGAGCCGGGGCGCGTAGGGTCGGTGCGTCCGATTCTCGAGGCGGTCCGCGAAGGAGTGGCGGGGAGAGAGAGCACGCTCGGCAGGGTGAGGCGAGGGCGAGAGAGAGAGAGCACGCTCGTCACGGTGAGGCGAGGGCGAGAGAGAGGGAGAATGTCGCTGGACCCTAGGGTAGGTATGAAGGCGTACCGGGCACTGCACATTGGCCAGTTTTATCCACGTCATAGAACCGAATGTTTAATCAATATTTTTTTTGCGTGTATGTCGTGTACATACTTAAGCTTATGATCCTCGTCTCGATTAGCGATTTTTTTTTAATCCTTTTTTATGAAAGACGAGGTTAGGACATTTAGGATCGGAGGTGTCGCATATTTTTATAGGATGCGTTTTTCCCCCGGCAATAATGACCGGGTTCGTTTAGGGGGACTGACACGATAATTACCGTTGGTCGCGATAACGATAGGTAACCGGAAATTGCACCAGGCTCGCGTTACGCTCCTCGCAATCGCGATCGTAATCATAATCGTAATCACCGGCGAGCTCGGCCGTTTGATCTCCCTCGGTTTGTTTTTCCTTTGCGTAATGCTTCTCCTAGAGGGAGAGAGAGAGAGAGAGAGACGGGGAATTTGTTGACGAAACGTGCGATAAAATATGTACATTGATATGGAGTCATGCCCGCGGGGCGAAAACGTCACCGAGGTATTATTAGTTCAAATCGCACTTTGTAAATACACGCTTTAGTGCCGACTCCGATTAACCAATATCGAAATGGTGGACGTTTGTTGACATTCGCTGTTAGCAATTATTGTCTCCTTAGATTTATAAATAATCTCCTGTTAGCAATTGTTTACTTCTAAAATTCATAAATATCCGGTCGAGGAACGCAAGAGACGGTCATTCGCGCCGCCATTTTTTTGCGCTTATTTACCCGAAATTAACGTTACGAGGTTTCGGTCTCACGTCTCTTTTAACCGTTCTTGTTTAACCACGTTACCTGCATTTAACGAGTATACACGTCGAATTAAAATCCAATGGTAAAATCCGGACCCCCTAAAATTCCTTTTCTATCGAAAATCACTTTTCCTTAACCCTGGAAACACGTTATGACTATTGTAAGTATTACAAAAATCACGTTTAGAAAAAACCCGAAGGAATACCGCCTATTTGAAAAATAGTCCTCGTACTCCTAAGGTTACCGGTAAAAATAAAAATTTGTTGCACATATTCGGTTGGAAAAAAAAAAAAAAGAACGCCCCACGAGAGACACCGTGGAATGTTCGAGGCGACAAGAACGCGCTCTCGCCTTGGACCATCTAGATAGGAGAGACACACCTATGACGCGGGACTATGAACGCGTAGGCCAAACCGAACGCGGCCGCACGTATTTCCGATCGCTCGATAAGACGAGACGTTCTCGACTCTTCGAGAACGTTCTCGGCCGGGCCGCGGACTCCCGGTGCATCGAACGGTGCACCAGCCGACCGCGCGCCGTTGCAGCAGCGTTGTGCATCTAAACGGAACAGGCGAGCGTATAGTTTTACTCCACAAGTCTACTTCGTACATGCTAACATTGCAGGATTTAGAGAAAAGAGACGTAGAGCTCTGCCCATGATTGTCCGAGACGCAACCGCGTTTTTTTTTTGGGTAAATTAGGTACACGTATATTTTTATTTCTTCCTTTGAGTATCGGTTTGATCCCCGACGGTTTTAGATAATAATTGAACGTGTGTACCGATGAAATATTTCTCTAACCGCGATATCACGATTCGCGTAATCATTGGTCCGTTCTTTTAGTATCTTTTAACCCGAGCGGCCGCGGTCGAGATGATTCATGGTCCCGAGACGGCGTTCCAAGGTGGAATTTCGAAGACGGCGTGCCGCGGTCATCGATCGCGCCTCGCCGGTTTCGACTTCCGGGTGGGAGTGGGGTCATAAATTAAAGTGGTCGCGACGCTCGTTTTTTCCCGGCCAACCTCGCGGCCGACCGATGGCGCTGGCGGTTCTGCGCAGTTTCCGCGTTTTTTTTATTTTTTTTTTATGTATACTCCGAGTCCGCTATACGCATACAAAAGGGAGGTGCCCCCTTAATTGCGAGGATTCGTTCGATGGCGCGTTGCGCTTTAAATCTCCGTTGGCCCGGAGTCGCGGTGGGGCACCCCATCGGCCCTCGAATTTGCATAAGCGAGAGCGGGCGCCCTCGGCGGAGGTCCCGCGAGGAGTGGCGCGGCGGGAGCGCGCGGGGCGCTTTTATAGGTTAGCAACCCGGGTTGCTAGGGGGCCCGCGGCGTTGCTAGGCGCCTCAACCCATATACACGGTGCACGGTTACGTCAGGGTGGAAAATGATGGAACGCGGCGGAAGTCGGGGAGGGGGCGAAGGGGGATCTCTCGCGGGTCGACCGAGTTGCAGGCCGCGAGGAGGGGGGAGCTGGGGAGAGAGAGGGGGCGAGGGGAAACTAACGCCACGGACAAGGACGGAAACGGGGCGCGGGTGGGGAAGCCGGTAGCTGCGCCCGGCTGGTTCCAGCCCGGCGCACCCGGCCACCCCTCGTGACCTTGACATTGAAAGTCCTATAGATGCGTGGATATACATGCGCGGATACATAAACGGAATCTACAGTCCACGCAGGATATACACGGCGATCACGTGTCCCGGCCGCCTCTCGTAACCCGCTGAAATTAGATTAATTAAACGCGTATCGCCGCCGAGTGGACGATTTTCTCTCTACCCGGCGAGCTTCTCGGGTCCTCCTTTGCGGGCGAATCGTTTGGCCCCGATTTAGACCGACTTTGTGTTAAAGGGCTCCTATCCTCTAACCTTCGTTATATTCCCTCTCCGAATCTCGAAAACGAGACGTAACCTCGCAGGGAAGAAAAGGTAGCGCAAAACGGCGGTAGTCGTGTCGAAGGCTGAAGAAAAATCCCCGCGTTGGACGTGAAACTTTTTTTTTTGGGTACACACGTTTTATGTAAAACTTAATAACCGACACCGACGATTAGGCGTGTTACCGATTAACTGTAAGAAGTAATAATGGTTTTAGTCGACACGCCCGCGAGACTTACGCTTATTTTTATTTTATTTACCCTTGAAAGATGAAAAGGTTTAATGGTGGAGAGAGAGATCTTCTTTTGTTTTTCTACCCACCTTGGCGCCGTTCCACCTGACGCGGGACCGGCTGGGAAATTTATGGGTATTTGTGGCTCGCGTTACCGTATTTTCGACCACTCGATTTTACCGAATTACGCCCATTTCCTCGGATCGCTTGGCAGGCTTCGACGCTTACGCCGCCGTTTCTGCGTCGGAGCCGCTCGCGCCGTGTCCCGGCTGATGCAAGAGGCCGCCATCTTGGAAACGCCGCACGTGACCACGGTTAATCTTAAGACCGCGATTGGATTACCTCTTGTGCAGGGTCGCGTCTCTTCGTCTTCTCGCGATTAATTACCGCTGACTTTGCGCTGTTTACGAGTAGGATGGTATCCGAGAGCGGTTTGTCTCTCGTCAACAATTATGCGGAGACAAGTACCGTGATTCTTTCCGCCATGATGACATTCGAACGTTTTCTAAGTGAACTCTTCTAATGCGACGAAGGATAAGTTTACACGTTAAGCCTTTCCCCTCGAGAGATGACTCAGTCGCCACTGGGAAACTTGAATGGCAATAGCATGGATTTCAAATTACTGAGGTGTTACGAAAGCTTCATATACCGAAATGTGAAAATATTTATAAAACTTTTTGAGATTTTAGCCTCCGATCGTGGAGGTCCTAAGGAAGAAGTGTCACTTCCACCTCGCGGGGCGACGATCTTTTTTTTTTCTTTTTTAAGTCATGTCGCGGAAATCCCAGTCGGTAATTTTTAAAAGGAAAGTAGACTCGTTAACGCAGATGGGATACCATCCTCGGAGGACTTATCGAGCGAGTCCGGAAGGGTCGAGATCGCGTGTTACTCCACAGAGAGGCTCGGACTGATATCGTGCGATATCGTAATGGAGTAATCGAGTAACTCCGTGTATAGAGACGTTGCGGCCTCACGAAGGGAAGCTCTCGAATGAGTCATCGCCGACGGACTCGGCTTGGAAAAATGAACGAAGAAAGTCGATCGTGAAACGTTCGCCGGCCGACTTGGCCGCGAATCGGCGAGATCGGTGACCTCAATGAGTGGGAGAGAGAGGGAGATAACGGGCGCGCCGAGAGAGCGAGAGAGAGGGAGCGAGGGATCTCTCCCAACCGACTTCGATCGCAAGCGCAGCTTCTCCTTTCGTTCGACCGTCTTTCACTTATCCGGGGACATTTAAAGACCATTCTTACCGTTGGATTTCTAATCACGGAACGTGATTTCGAAGCCATTGTTTACGCACGGAAGTAGATATTCCATTTCTTAAAACGCGAGGATCTTTATTTCGTCGATCCAGCTGTATTTATTAAAGTGCATATTATCTTTAATTCCTGTAATTTGTCGGAAGAAATATTATTCACGAGAATCGATGTTAGTCCCCCTTGTTAATTTTCTAATTTAATAAAATGCAACGAGGAGTCGATCGTTTATGCAAACGATGTTGGACGGTGATATAATTGTCGGGGTTGGTTTCAGATCTGTACAAGTTGACCGGAGAGGTTCTCGGCGAAGGGGCGTACGCCTCTGTGCAGACTTGCGCCTCTCTGTACACGGATCTGGAGTACGCCGTCAAGATCATCGACAAGATCCCCGGACACGCCAGGGCCAGAGTCTTCAAGGAGGTCGAGACCTTCCACCACTGTCAGGGCCATCCTAACATCATCCAGCTGATCGAGTTCTTCGAGGACGAGGAGAGGTTCTACCTCGTCTTCGAGAAGGTGAACGGTGGACAACTCTTGACCAAGATCCAGGAACGCGTCCACTTCAGCGAGAGGGAGGCCAGTCAAATCGTCCGGGAAATCGCGAGCGCGCTCAATTTCCTTCACAAGAAAGGTGAGGCGTCACCCCATTTTTTTCCAAAAACCCACTTATTAGCTCGAGGCTTATTAGCTTGACCTAAGGGTCAAGAAATTTCATGCAGTTGGGGGCAACCCGTCCTAAGAAAGATTTCGAGGGGAACAGGGGCGCGACAGTCGCACATCCACGGGACGAGGATATCTTTAATCAACCTTGATCTTCACCTTCCAGGGATCGCTCACAGGGACCTGAAGCCGGAGAACATCCTCTGCGTGTATCCCGACAAGCTGACGCCGATCAAGATCTGCGACTTCGACCTCGGCTCGGGGATAAAGTTCAACAACTCGTATTCCAGCCCTCTGGCGACCCCGCAGTTGTTAACCCCGGTCGGCAGCGCCGAGTTTATGGCGCCGGAAGTCGTGGAGGCTTTCATCGGCGAGGCCAACTATTACGATAAGCGTTGCGACCTCTGGAGTCTCGGCGTTATCATGTACATACTGCTCTGCGGATATCCGCCGTTCTACGGAAAGTGCGGGACCGACTGCGGCTGGGAACGCGGGGAGAATTGCCAGGCTTGTCAGGAGCTGCTCTTCACCAGCATCCAGGAAGGCAGATACGAGTTCCCGGACCGGGACTGGAGGTGCATTTCCGAGGACGCCAAGGACCTCATCAGGGGCCTCCTCGTCAAGGAAGCTCATCGAAGACTCAGCGCCGAGTGCGTCATGAAACATCCCTGGGTCAATCCTGACAACGTCCCCAACGACTCCGGGGACAGGTCCCTTACGACTCCTCAGATCATCAGGTGAGTCCCGATTTTATTTCTCCATTCGTTCGCGTTTCAGGATTTTAGGTCGTTTTGCAATCCACATCTTTATTGGCCTGTCGCGAGCCCTTTGGCTAAATAGAAATGATTCCCAGAGAATCTCTTACGATAGACATTTATTAATATCGATCGACCAGGAATAATACAAATGTTAAATTTCGTTGTACCTAAATTAGGGATTTGAATGTTTTTATTTAATCCAAATTCTCTGTTTCAGAAGGAATAACTCCGCCAGGGAACTTTCTGCCTTCGCGGAGTCCGCGATGGCGGTGAACCGCGTGGTGCTGCAGCACTTCTCGATGAACCTGGAGGACCTTGCGGAAAATCGGGAGCCTCGCTTGTCGACGTCCTCCACCGACGAGGACAACCATCCTTACGGACACATGTCCGACTCGAGCAGCGAGCTCTCCGAGCACGGCAAGCATTGCGCGACTCACTCCTCGAGCGAGTTCGACGCAATCTCGAGACCGAAGTCCTGCTCGGTGAGGTCCAGCATCGACCTGTCCGACCCGAAGATCATCGGGAAGAACCGGATGACGAGCAAGGAGTCCATGAGCCTCCTCTTCGGCCTCTCTCCGCCGAGCGAGAGCAGGCTGATGCAGCGTCGGCTCAAGGCTCGTTCTCATCTCCTGGAGCGACAAGCTGGGGCCATCGTCGCCTCCCCGAGTGGCTGAAGGTCCTGGCCTCTTCGATATCCTGGCACGTCTTCCCTTCCGATGGCTCGTCCGCGGCTGCCGAGAATGGGATGTTCGACTTGTATAGATTTAAGTCTTAAGGGCGTTGCGTATGACCGAGGCGCGTGGAACGTGTGAAAGGATGCATGTATGTAGGATACTCCGTTTGTATGCGCGAAGATTCACCACCGAGTGAGAGCAAGTCGCCTCGTCGACGTCGTCGGCGTTAACAGCGTTAAGGCGGCATCAAAGTGGTATCCGGGAAGTCAATTGTTTATGAAACTTTTCTGCGACCCGGGTGTACCGAATCGTTTGGCAATTTATCGCGCGAGCATGGAGGCCCTAGGGAAGGTCCTCGACACTTGGCGAAATCTCATTTTTTTTCTATTAGAAATGTATAATGTCCGTTGAATTTAAAAGGAAATTAAATTTCATGGGGGTCGGGACCTTTCTTAGGGCCTACTTATTTGCTTGGCAGAATTTCAGGCGATTCGGTGTAAGCAGTTCGGTGAAAAGTCTTATGGAACGGCGCTTTCGTGTCGCCTTAAGAGGGTTTTCGGCGTCGTCGGCTTGCTCTCCCGTTTTTCCGATTGTATGCGAGCATCTCGCCGGAAAGACGCGAAATGTATAGAATTAAGTCCTAAGAATTGTCCGTGACACCTGGAGCGAGTGTGAGAAAATGGTGCGTGAGTGGGTGTACGAGGGAAACGGTGTGTATGCGCGTGGAGGTGACCGAGCTCTCCTTCTCGAAATTCGAAGATCATCGGGAGATTCGTTGAGATTTTCTCGAATGGATTCCCCGGCTCGTCACCACGGAGCCGATCCGCGAGTCCCCTTTTGTCTCTTGGGATGACAAGAGACTCCTTTTAACGACCAAACCCTTGAGAAATGTCCCGAGGTTTTCGATCGCGGTGGACATTTCAAAGGTTCGAGAAGGAGCGAGGGTGCATGCGAGTCGGGTAAAATTTAAAATTAAGTCTTAAGAGATCGCGTGGCTGGGTGATATCGAGCTCGAGATCGATGTCGCGAGCCATGTGATAAATCGAGCGGGGCTGCACAATGCCTGGGCAGGGTGTAACAAATTAATTCGAGCAAGATTTATCACATTGTTCGCGGTGGATACGCAAGATAGCGTGCACGGGGAGCGAATGAGAGTGCGAGATTCAGTCGGAAGCGATGTGTCGATTTCGAATTGATGAAGCATCCACTCTTGTCGTGGCTTTTCGTCGCATTGCTGCAAGCGACCGCCTTCTGGAACCAGATGGCCGTACCTTATACTTGTTTATTAGTCCGCAGTAAACAATACGTTTAACAGTTGCATCTGCATACGACCGCTCCATCAGCTTCGCTGGGAAAAAATGCGAAAGTTGACTTTCGCGGAATCTCTCGTGTTGTAAGATGTGCCGAATCGGCCGTCGAGCTTCGATTTTGCGAATTTCGGCGGTTGAGTTGGCTCTCGTATCATCAGAAATATACAGTCCGTCGCGTTAATACGTGGACGATTCCGTGAAACATTTTTTGCCGCTTATTGTTAAACCCTGGGAATTAATTCCATTAATTCTCCGGAGATGTAGAACGAGAACATGGGCGGAAATGAAAGTAGCGCCGACGTATGAGGCTTCGGTCGTACCCTGGGGGGCATTGATGACTTTCCATCCTGCCCTGGGGACGTCGTATCTCCAGGAGTGGCATTAATGCCCGCCACTGTACACGTTAACTTGCGGTCGATGCGGATTTGCTTCCAGGGTCCGAGTTGAACACGATGGAGTAGGTTTGAAGAAAGGATAGAAGCTGGCCATCGATTCTTGCTCGGCCCTTGGAGACCCAATCTTGAGGCACATCGAGACATCCGGTTGTGCCGAAGAAAGCGTCCGAGTTTTTTTTTATTCGGTCTACGATCAATCGCGAGTGCTTGGTAGCGCTTCGAATTCCTAGTTCTCCATCGACTCGGCGAGAGGGTTAAGCGATGTTATTAAGGGACCTGTTTGACATTCTGGACGAACTTATGGAGACGGAGAATTTCAGAAACTACTCCGGAAGCATTGGCGGACATAAATGTCTTCTCGTCACATCCTGGCAGCGCCATGTCTGCAGGGGACGCGTTAATGTCCGCCATTGTGCATTTAGGAACTTTGTCTAGCTTTTCAGCTGCTTGTAATGGGATCTTGAGCGGGATAAAAAAAGTGCGTCTTTTGTCCAACGGGTCCCTGATGAGTGCCCCTAATGAGAAGCTTGAAATTCGGGCAGTCGTTCTCTTCGGGAACGTCTTCATGGTCGCGTAAAAAGAGATAGGTGGTTTCCTTGGCGGAGGCACGAGGGTGCATTGTGTAGTTTGCTCATTAGGGTAGTAAGGACTAGGTCGTAAGGTTTATTTTGTATAACTGATCGGCGATGGAGGATTTACCGCGAATGCGTCACCGCAAAGGAGACTTTAGTCTTCTTTAGGAGTCTTAAGCTTCTTCCTAGGTCTTAAGCGATGGAAGCCGGAGAAGAGGGAGAGAATGGGAGGGAGCGAATGGGAGGGAGAGAAAGAGAAAGGAAGCATTTCGGAGATGAATACCGGGAATTATTTGTACCTGTATCATACACGAAGAGAGAAAACTGTATAATTAGAGACGACGGAGGTAAAAGTTAGGAGGTACCGAGGGGCGGTCTTGGGGGAGCGAAGCGACCCGAGGATTTGCTCACTCTCTCTCTCTAAGGGGATTACACGGATACTTTTAACGAGTTTACTGTAAATTATCTAATTGTAGAGAGCTTCGACGATCCAATACCATTTTTCTTTCGACCGCCCATCCGGCAGTGACGAAGGAAAACTGCCACGTCGACGACCCCCTTAAACTTTTCGGCCTCTGATGAGCGTTCCATTTTAACCGCACTCCTAAGTACAATTTTAAATGTCACTTTCACCTCACCTTAAAGTCTACGGCTTCGAACATTTCTAAGAGCTCTCGAAGGTGTCGAAAAATTCGTCTGCGTAGTTTGATGGAGGACGCCAATTTCATGCGCTTTTTTCTGTCTCGCTTCGGGATTATTCGTCGTTATGTACAGGGTTACTTTTTAAGTTCGCCAGTTTTAGACGTCATCTGAGAAGCCTGCTTTCAAAATTCACTTGCCTTTCGTATATATACATATATATAATTTCTTTTCCTCCACATTTCACATCGACGATGATCGTTCCATTTAGACACCTTCGGCGCGTCCCGAAAAATTGCCCGGGAATAATTATACGGTTGTATTTGTATACCGAGATTCGCTTGTACTGATATATTTTTGCGAGAAAAGAAAATGGAAAAAGGAAAAAAAAAAAGAAATGGTACATCGCGTAACATGAACTGTAAAGAAGCCTCTCAGGGTTGACGTTTTACGGTCGACGCCGGGGAACGGACTTCACGGGGAATACACTTTTCTGCCAGAAATAAACCAGAAATCTGAATTGTTCCCTCGAATTTGGCTGTCGTGCTATCTCGAATGGAAAATACCCTTGCGAACTTTCCAACAATCGCTGTCGAATTTAACTCCACATTTGACAGCCTCGAGGTCCTTTCCCTCACCGGGTCGATTCCCTTAGAATGAAAGTATCTTCGATCGGTCGTAAGAAAAATGAAATATTTTTACAGTAACGTTGTTTAGCAACTGCGAGTTTATTTCGCATATCGTGGAACGTTTTTCGTGATACTTGATCGCAGTTAAAAGATGGCGTATCGAAAAATAAAACGTTTGTTGTTGTTTTTTTTTATTTTCCTCGTGATTATGACGTTTAAACTCTGTTAGTTAGTCTCGTGTTTCGTTAAAAAAAAAATCGAAGCCAGTGGTCAGCTAATCGAAGGTGAATTTCTATAATAAAATGGGAGTAAAATGGAGTTTGGCAGAGTCGCGAAGCAGTTTTTTCTCGGTCACTGCCCTGGTGGGAGGATTACTCAGGGCGGCCACGAGTATAATCGCGAAGGCCGCGCGAATATCCATTTCGCATCGCGAAATAATTAATTAAGCGCGGCCGACGAGGGAGCGAAACCGCGAATGCGATTCGCGGGGTCGCGTAGGGTTTGCGCGATAGATGTGTGACGTCATCTAGATGCGACGTCGAAGTGATATTTACCGTGGATCGAAGGGATCTGGTCAGTCGGCGGTCAGCCCTCGGAGGGTGAGGGTCGCGGTGGTCCCTGCGCGACGCGTTCCCTCTAAACGGCGGCTCCATGTATATCTCGACACGAAATGTGCGCTAGTTCTCTCGAAAACGTTGCGGGGATTAACCAGTTAACTGTGTCGACCTATTTGAAACGTGTGTTTTCATGACGAGTATACTCGTCAAACACAGCTAACTGGTTAAAATCCTGCGGATTCTATGATTTTTGTACCCGCGGGTATATTCGGGCTTCTCGATTCGACGCGAGGACCGGGACCTCCCTTGGCGACGACCAGGACCTTTCCGGAGGTCCCGAGGACCCGAAATATCCGAGGAGCTTGTAAAAAGTAAGTGTAAATAGAGGTAACCACGACACCGAGAGAGAAGCAATACCTTTAAGTCGCGACCGAACGGAGGTAGAGGTCCAGGATGATTCTTAAACGTCGTCCCCTTGGCAATGCACGATCTTCAACTCCGTGCGAAAGTATTTACGAGCGGTACCGATAACACCTCATGTATCTCCCTCGATAAATTATTTAGGAGGGTGGAAAAAAATTATTTTTAAAATTTATCAGGAAAAAATGGAGACCCATACTTAAAAGGTTAAAATATCGAATTGCGAGTATAGAACAGTATTCAGGGTTTCATGCGTCTAGTCTTGGCTTTTTATTTTTTTATTGTTTTTATTTGAGTTAGGACTTTTCAACGAGTATATGGAACCTCGGTAGAGTTTAATACTACTGATATATACAATTATTGATACGTGCATTCGGTACTTCTCGGAGGTACTTTCGCCCCCGCGAATCGTGGCTCTCTATCCTCGACCTCGGACAAGCATGGATGGGATTTCTTTTCACGTTGTATACAGTCTACGTTTTATGTAAGACTTGCGGACTGGCAAGGATGTAGATTCGAGGAGTAAAGCGACTATGGAGGAAATGGCCATAATTAAAGAGGCGAATAAGCGAATCCTTAAGCGGTGGTCTCCTGGACCACTCCGCGATAGAGCGAAAGAGGGAGTGTCGTGTAAAACTGCAAATTGATAACAACAAAAAAAAAATGGAAATAACTATTAGCCTATAAGAGAACAGGAAAAGCACTTTCTTGCGTAGCGTTGTAAGGCTTAAATCTTAAGATACAACCGCTGCGCGAGCACCGAAACGCCGATTTTCTTGGGGGGCGAATTTTTCTCCCTTTCTTTTTTTTCCCTCCAAAAAGGGAAAACGAGAAAAATGCTGCGACATTTTCCCCGAGGCTACTTTTATACCCGCCTCGAAGTGTTACTCGGCGATTAGCGACCGAGTGACTTTGTCAGCCGGAAATTATTCGACCGTGTTTATTATGGGTTTTTGGGTTTTTAAACATTTCCAACGCGAGAGCCTGCGCCTCGTCGATCTTTCGCTTTTTTGGGATCACTCTTCCTGATCGATCGTTAAGGGCGCCTTCGGATACGTCGGCGAATTCTCCCCCCTTTTTTTAATCCCGGAATATTTATCGTATCATTTTCAAATCGAGCTGTGTCCACTCATGGAAATGTTATTAATTATACGGGATAGATTTACTCAGCGCCGCGGTAGAATTTTTAAAAAACGATGTTCATCGAATTCCAGAGTCGACATCTCGTTGGGCCCTTTGACAATTGTCAAGATATTTTACAATCAACATATCGAGCGAGCGCGAGGGCGCAGGTATCGCTGAATAAAAAAAAGAAAAGAAAAGATGAAAAAAAAAATCGAAAAGCACGTGTCAGGCTTTTGGCGATTAGACGCGTGCTTGAAGAAAGTCGCGTTTTGGTAGAACGCAGCGAAGCTATACGAGCGCGTATATATTATACATATATGTACACCTACATATATATGTATATGTCTCTTTCTTTCTTACACCCGCGTATTACTTTCCAGAGGAGGGTATGGGAGTCGATTGTCGAAAGAATGAAAGAAAATCTGGAGAATTGGGAAGGAAGCTTTCAGACCTCGGGAATAATTTTGGCGCGCGGATTTCTTTACGCGCACGACGTGCTGGGAGGAATAAATTTTTCGACCTCTTTTTTTCTTAGGTGCGCGTGCATGCGTGAGTGGAAAGTGAGAGAGAGAAGCGTAGACGTGCGTGAGCCAGCGGATGAAAGAGAGCGCGAGGTTCGAGGAGACTTTTTTGAGAAACGATATCAGAGATTTCGAGAGAATCTCGCGCGATAGCGATAGGATAGTACCGAGGCCACATTGTCCTCGTACCGAGTCTGCCAAGTAATATACGGGTACGAGAGGGAGGGTAACTCTTTCGTGACTCTTCTTCTTTCTTTTTTAAAGGGCAAGCAATTGCAATGAGCGAGGAAAAGGAATTAAAAAGAAAAAGAAAAAAAAATAAGCAAAGAAAATGGGCGGTGATTCGTACGATCGGGCGCGCTGTTTCTCTCTTTTTATATCTCTTCTTTTTATCCAATCGAAAGCGGGGAGGGAAAAGGATTTCTTCGTCGCCCCGATCGTTGGGATCACTTTTGTATCCATTACTCGTGTCAATTGCTCTGGAAGCGGGGATATAAGTTACTCTCTCCGTACGTTTGCACTTTCCCAGCGATTGTTACTCAGCTGATTTATTAATTGGCCGCACGCTTTGATTATTTGTTAACCGGTATGCGAACATGAATCCGCCGTGTACGTAATGAACAATTGGGATGTGCGACGAGTTAATAAATTCCTATGGATTCGAAGGTAATGGCCGATTATTATATTTCTTATTGGTAGATCGAAGAGTGGGAAAAATAGTGTATCCCTTCTCAGGTTGGCGCCATTTGATATATATTTCCCGTTCGCGAAACTGGAGTTTATCATTCGCGAAAAGACGCGGTTGGGTCTCACGCCAAATACACTCCACGGTCCTGGTAGCACGTCTCGAAATTCCGAGCTTTACCTCTCTCTTCGCCGTTGGCTCAACTGTAATTCCTTTTTTCTTCTTCCGTTTTTTTTTTAGAAAAAAAAACCCTGACAATAGAGCCACTTTCGTTTCCTGGACGCGTCTCTCCCGGGATGCTCGATTTCTCGCGGATTCCAAGTTTCGCAAATTTCGGGCGAATTTGCACGTACGAGGGGCAGAGTAGAGTCTGTAAATAAGAAGGTGGAGAAACTGGCGTCGAAAATTGTGAAATCGTTCGAGGCCGCAATTAACGACTTTGAGGAAGATCATTGTTCTTCTTTAACATCCGATCACTCGGAGAGCCCGAGTCTCTTTTCGTGAGGGATGCATTACTTTCGCGAGTATCGATCCTAAGGTTGATTTCGATTTTCTTTTTTTTCTTACTTAGTCCTTTTCCAGGATCGAGCGATTTCGCGAAAGGGGGTAGAAGAGATGAAGGGAACTTTCAACCCGTTGCAGAAAGAGATCTCTTTCTGCGTCTAGCCTTAGAGACGCGAGGGAAGCGCACGAAGGAGGGGAGTGTACATAACAAAGATCTACCTACTAGTTTATAGTGCCTATATGATAAGAGTGATAGTATACCGTAGAAATGCCCTCCCCCGTCCCGTCCTTCTTCGTTCTGCTCTGGAAGTTATCCCCCCCCCCAAAAAAAAAGGTACATAAAGAAAAGGAAAAAAAAACGAACTCGCCGTGAAAGAAAAGTGCGGACAAAAAAAAGGCCAAAAATATTTTTTATTTTTCATATACCCGTAGCGCGGATCATGGACTACGTATGTACATATATATATATACACGTTCACCCGCATACACAAATCTATATATATATATAAATATATTTATATAGATATAAATATATATTTTTGACGCGGCTGTCGAGCTTGTGTGTGGAGGGAACGGGAACGATCGCTGTATGACGATGTCGACTCCTTTACGGAAAATCGCTCGTTTTGTCTTTCCCTTCTGTGTGAATTCTTATTCGTAGTACTAGTACGCTTTGTATGCCCGGGGTCGTTTTTTGCGAGGATCCTGTCCCAGCGAACGACGTTTGCCCGATGTACTTGCGCCAAGTGTCACGGATCGCCCATTACGCGCCGAGAAAAATCAGTCCTTAGAAGTCTGTTGAAATAATTTGAGAAAAAATGCTTTTGTCGATCGAGTGGAAATTTTTCCCCAGAATTCTTTGCAGCGATTTTAGGAGGTGCGATGCGAGCGAGATGAGATTTTTCGAAATTGTCGATAGGCGATCCGTCAAAATTGTGGCTAGGCCGAGTTTAGGCGTCCTCGTTGATTTAATTTTTGCGCGGCGCGTTTGCCTAGCGAAACATATACACGTTGAGACTGGATTGCGAACGTACAAAACAGAACTTTATTATACCTAATGATAATGATATGAGATTTATCGGGAGCTGTGAGACCAGAGGCGAGAGAGAGGCTGTGCCTCGTGCATTCGAAGTATCGTGATGGTTACCATTTTCGGGGAGAGAGAGAGAGATATATGTATGTATGAAATGAAAGATCTATGGTTAAGATTTAAGGGAGAGATTCTTTATGGACCATCGATGCTGTCAAATCCACGTGCACTGGGTGTAGTGATATTTAAGGAGGAGCCCCATTTTTTCTTCCAAGATTCTTTACGGTTTTTCATCGTAATTGGAGGGCACTCTCTTTATCCGACGTCTCGATCTGCGAGGGAGGTTATTTCGATTGTTTAATTATTCTGAAAATTACGTCTGGCCATTTGTATAAAGTGGAAAAAATTGCGGTGGTCTCTGTGATCATCTGTTCGTGATACTAACACGGCTTGACCGTCGTTAATGGCTAATGCTAATTAATGTTGGGATTATTTAGGAAGGGGCGACATTCTTCGGGGGATTTTTCAAGATTTTAAGAATTACGGAGGGGAATTTCATTTTGAATTTAATTTTTTAATGATTTTAGAGTCGCTCGTTGTCGAGACGTCGAATGGGAGGACGCTGGGGTGCATCGGACGAAACTTTATTGCGAATAAGAATTTAATAAGTCTACGATAATCTACGTTAATTATATGATAACTATTATCGTCGAGAGGTTTGCAACCGTCCCTCTACGACTCCTAGAATTCGTTGGCTCTCATAGATCTTTATGCGCGTGCAATTACTGCGTGTACAATTATCGTGTGCGTCATGAACGAGGAGTGGTTAACTCCTTTGATCTCGTTACGGTTAATACTGGACAGGGTGTAATATTATTGCAATTTTTCGCCAATTTTTTAACTTGTATAAATTCATCGCCGGCCATTAAAATCGTAACATTTGAAAACAGTGATAATAAATACACTAAATTATGAGAATTTCTAGTTTTTTCAGCATCGGATGAAATTTTAATACTCATACATGCGGATTTGGATTTCGATGTCGATTTTTTATCATTCTTGATATTGCCATTTTAATGTCCGCCGGTGTCAGGTCATTAACTAATTAATTAATTGCATTGAGATTATGGTCTGTCCAGAGCTGGATCATTTTTTCCGAGGTCCTAGACCTCGGGAGGAATTTTTCGGCGAATATGAGTGTTTCGAATATCGAAAAAAGAAATGAAATACGACACGGTAGCCAGCAAATTGGTACCTGGGGGGGCGCAACTGTTATATCGAGATGTTGACAATTTGTATTTATTTTGTAATATCGTACTAATCCGCGCCGTGTATATCGAGAGTTGACGTCCTCGAAGAGTCGTCGTGTAACAATTGTACACCGAGACGTTAATTTTTGGCTTCGTCGTCAGAAGAAAAAAAGAAAAGAGGAAAGAAAGAAAGAAAAAAGATCGCGCCTTTTTATCAGACAGAAAAATCCGATCCCGAGAACGTTCGTTTAACTTTTTCTTTTTTTCTTTTCATCGACCGATTAGGAGCTCGCGATTTAATCCTAAGGCGAGCCGTGTGATATCGAGGGAAACAACGAAAATCGTTGGAAGAGATTTTCTTTATTTTCTTTACCTTTCTTTTTACTTTTTCTTTGCCTTTTTTTCTCAGTCGTTTATGTACAGCCTAAGTTAGGTTGCGCTTCGTGGCGAATTGTGTAATTTTATTTCCGTCTAAGAGAGAATCCGTCAGGAATGGCGATACAGGATTATTTTTCACTCCGAGAAATTTCAGTTTGAAGAAATTAACGAAAGAAAAAAAAAAAAGAATAAATAAACAAGAAACGAGACCCCAGCTTCAGGAATTTCGGGTCTGGAAGTTTACGAGAGCCACTTCTCGCTCTTCGTTCCAATCTGGGGTTTCGTTGTTTCTTTTTTTGACCCGATAAAATTGAGAAGAGAAAAATCAACAAGAGAAGAAACGAAGCTCCAATGCCAGGAATGTTGAATTCGCAAATCTTGCCTTTTAACTCCTCCGTGGAGTTTCGTTGTTTTTCTCGAGTTGAAAAAAAAAAATGGAAAAAAGAAAAGAAACTTTAAAAAATCCTTTTGCAGTATACGAATTTCGCCAAATACACGTTTTATTTGTCGTAAATGAGAGTGTATCGATAGGTATGTCCCACTGTACGCCCTTTCGTCTTGCTTTCCCTTAAATAGCGTCCAGGGCCGGCGAGAAAGAGAGAGATCCGCGCATTTCCTTCGACAAGCGACTTTTCCGCTTTTCCGAGCGAACGAGACAGGGGAGAGATTTCATTTGGTAATGATTAAGAGTTAAGCGAGTTATAAAATTGCGAGAAAATATCGAAAAAAGAAAAATACAGTACATACATACACACACACCTCATACACATTGCGAAGAGAGGGGGCGCGCGAAAGTAGCGGCTTTTGCGAGGGAGAAAAAAAAAAGAAATCGCAGCGGAAAAGGGAGAGAAAGAAAACACGCAGATTTATGAAGTCATGGGCGCATATAAACTCATGGACATGGTATATATGGAGTTACAGTAGCCTGGAGGCCGATTTTGTATTTTAGAATCTAGTGAAAATGACAAAAGGGAACGAGTCACGGTTTTGTAACTTTCACCAGGGTGAACGTGTGAGATACTTCACGCGAGAAATCTCGACAACCGTGCGGAGCGAGATATGAGAGAGAGAGAAAGAGAAAGGACTTATACCCCGAGGAAAAAAGTTTATCGACTTAAAGAAATATGCATTGCTACAACGATAACCTGCGATCAAATACGTCCGAAGAAATGTTAGAGTAAAGAAAATTCGTTTATATATCAACGATATATGTATTTGTTTCGGTCAACCTTTTTCTCAGTGTACGTACATTCGGGAGATTGAAATTCATTGGAGGTTAAAGTGGCTCACGTAGTCGTATCAATAATATTTCGTAACGAACGGGAAAATGCGTTTGTAAATTCCATATATCCTATGTCCGTGGTGTAATTACACGTAGTCGCGTAAAAAGCGAGGATTAAGGAGGGGCGAGTGAATCTTTGCACGAATGGTTTGAATTGCGTTTGAATTTCGCGCCCGCTGCGAGAGTCGATTTTATCGGCGTGGCGTCGGAGTGAGCGAAAGAGAGAAAACGAATATATGGAGCGAAAGGGAGAGCGAGATGCGTCGAATTTGCGATTGAATCGACGCGAGCATTTTGTATTTTGCGAGACGTCGGGAGTTTTGCCCTCGGGAACGGCTCGGGCCTCCCGAGAGCTTTTTGTATTACCCTCGATCGAGGTCGGGGGCTCATTTGCTTGAGACACGTCGAAACGACGAAAGAGGAGTCGCGAGAGACAGAGAGAGAGAGAGAGAGAGAAGAGCGTGACAGGCACGAGGAAACATTGGCATGACTTTTTGTAATATTGGTGCGCCAGACTAACCATTAATTAATCGTATATACTTTACTCGAATATGCATTATTAATGGGGAGCATCGAAAATAATAAACAAAAAAATGCCCAAAGAAGATCGCCCGGAGTTCTTTATTGTTTAATAGTTCATTATTTGTGCCCATAATTATGAAAGTGGTCTAAGTCATATATTTTTTGTTTCGAAATTACATTGAATTAATTTCGTTTGAAATAATATGGCGTGAAATAACTGATAAACTCATTTCTTTTTTAATTATGAAAGTGGTCTGTCATATATTTTTTGTTTCGAAATTACATTGAATTAATTTCGTTTGAAATAATATGGCGTGAAATAACTGATAAACTCATTTTTTTTTTTTTTCATTTTGACTTAGACCACTTTCATAATTATGGGCACATTTATACCCTCTGCCGAGAGGCGTCTCGATTTTCGAGGCAACGCGAATTTCGCGCAAAATCCTATGAAATCTCCGAAGTTGGGGAGGAACTCTTTCGAGTTTCTCGATTCGCGGGGGACTTGATTTCGTGACCTTGGGTCGCTTATCACCGAGCTTATCGGATTTACGAGCCTCGGAGGCTCGCGTGCGTTTTCCGCGCGTTTCCGCGAAGGGACGTATTTCTGTGTCTATCGATCAAATATCTCGAGCCTGGAAGTCGGGGGTGTCTCGAAAGCCCGGGGACAGTGGTTTTTGTGACCTCCTCGCTTTCGACACCTCCTCGGAGGCGGGAAGAAGAGTTTCCGAAATTGGCCATTCCAAGATGGCCGCCTCGGCCGAGGGCCCGCGGATCAGGCGAGAAAAACCGCCCTTCAAACTCTGTTTCTCCAGGCAGTGGGAAACCGGTCGTTCCGATGCTTCCGTCTCCAAGGCCAATGGTAAATACCCTATCAATCGATGCGATCGATTGGATTTTCGGCATTGAAAAGCGCACGAAGTGACTACTCACCGAGAAAATCGCGACGTCTAAAAGTACGCGCAAATCGGCACGCAGGGAAAGAGAAGAACTCGATACCTGGAAATAATTTCACGTTCAGTGATGCAAATTGTGGACGAGCAAGCAAAAGAGGAAAGGTTTGAGATAATGCAATGGTGATTTAATTTCGATTCAGTGGTATTTATAATTATCGAGGTATGGTCTTCTTTCGCTTTAGATATCTAGGACTTGAATTTTTAGGTGTTGCGGATTTCTGCCGAGTTATGGGTGCACCTCTCACCTTAAAGGTTCCATTAATTTCCTGTTTTTTTTTTTTTTTTTTATTTTTCAGCGAACGTCGTCACTCCGAAATTCTACTCTCGGGAAATGGAAAATATGCAACGAGTGGACATTAGCGAGACCGTGAAGGAAATCGAGAAGCAGGAGAGCAAAAATCCCAAGGATCATTATCGCTGGCCTCTTTTGACTAGTCATAAGTAATTGGATCAGTTTTTTTCATTCTATTATATACGCTTTCAATTTCCTCGTTTGAGTTATCATGGACCTCCTAGTGGAGTTAAAAATCTTCTTAGACGTAGAACCGCTTCGGAATATTAAAGTTCGACTCGCGCAAAAATCGACCTCGATTAGAAGATTCATCTTCGATACTTTGTTTCTTTTTTAGCTACGGTTGGTGGCACGAAAAAGGAATACACCCAAGAGATCCGAAATTCGATTTCCACAAAAAAACGTCGGACCTCGTCAGCTTCCAGATGAAGATTTACGCCGAAGACCGGAAACTCAAGGGCCTCGGATATTGAGACGAATAAAGCGATTTTATTTTCTTAAACATTCCGTCCCGAATTTAGGTGAGATTTTAGACAGAGAGGACATTTAAAAAGACACCGAAAATGTGCAGTCTCCCTATTCCGAATAGGAGAGAATCGCACTATTGTAACAATGCTTAGAATAATTGTTAGTACACCAACGCTAAATACCGGATCCGTATTGTAGTCACCGGACGCGGTGAAGTATTAATTATTTCAAATAAAATATATATATTCCAATTTTCTACTTCACCTAACCCGGCAATTAATGACACACACGAAAGTGTAAATAAATATACTCGTTTACAGGTATTCTGTAGGAGAGCGGAGGTGGGCGTTTGAATTTTGGCGCGCGTCACGTGGGCGGTCCGCTGCGGCGCGATCGATTCAGCAACCGTGGCGACATCTCGCATCGGTCGAACGGCCGGCCAATCAGCGTCGCGCTCGCGCGCCCGTTTCGAGATATCTCGAAGTTCTCGAGCAATTGGAGCTCGCCACTGGCGATAGTTTAAGCGCAGTGCGACCAGTGGCAATTGAAGAGAGGAGGGTTTGACATTATTCCGCCAAAAATGAATCCCGGCGTGGACGAAGAGACACGGATACGCGACGACGTCGTCGATAATTCGGAGGAGATATCGCCGCCCAACAGGTGAGACCCATTTCCCGAAGGTGATCGCGATTTCGCCAAGACTCGGCTGACTCGAAAGGCGCGAAATGCGCGTCGGCGCAGTTACCTGTTGCGCGCCTGTCTCAGGCAGGGTGTGCAGGTGCACGACCGCGCACGCAGGTAAGGTTAAGAAACCCTCTGGCCGACTATTTTAGCCCCGATTCTGTGAAAATCACGTACCCCTCGACTCCCGGAATTTCGCCCTTCCAATCCGAAGCCCGACCGTGGATATTCTACAGGCTGTAACCTCCAAAACCCTTCCCCATTGCGCGCCTATTTTGGCCACCTTCCCTCCAAAATTTCCACGGTTTCCGGCCCCCGTGAAAAGTGGAAAATCCACTTTTGGCCCTTTCCGAGGCGCAAGGTCACCATTTTGAGGTAAAGGGACCCTCCCGTGGGGACGCCAGGCCAGGATTCCTGCGTTTTCGTTCTCTGGAGACCGTTCGGACGTCTTTTCACCTTTAATTGGGTACTTGGTGTTTATACTGCACGAAGGTTTTTTTTAATTTACTTTTGGCTTTTTTTGCACCTTTTTTTATTGCTTAAATGCTTCGTTTATTAAGTGGCTTGGCTTGTTCGTCTATTTTACGTGGATTGTCTTTATTCTTGGGGAGATGATCTTGCATTGAAATTTTCTGGAGCTCCCTGATCGGTTATACAAGTAATTTTACAATTGTTAAATATTATTCGTTGTAAACTTAATTTTCTACTTTTGTATTCTTCTGGCACTTGTGAACTAATCATTTGAGCTTTCCTTGCCGTGGAATTATTTTTTTACTTTCTGGAAATTAGTCGGAAGTTCTTTTAACTCCGAAAAGGCACTTACTACTTGCACGGTATAAAACTTGCTTTAATTTCCCTTTACGCTTACATGGAAGTTTTATATTATTTAATCGTTCATTTTGTACTTCATTTATGTTCATCTTTTGCATCTTTACTGCAATATCTGAAAGATATTTCGGAGCCTTCTCGAGCTAATTATTACTTTGTAATACTTGTTTTATGTTAATTCTTTGTGCTCTGTAAATAATCGCATGCCTATTTTCTGCTTTAACCGCTTGTTGCAGGTGTAGTGTTCGCTTCGCTTAATACTTCCTTCTGTTGCATTGTAACAATTCCCTTTTCAAATCGTTGTGTGTGCCAGTACATCCTAAACTTTTCAAGTGATTTGTGACAGAGTTGGTAAATGCAATGAGCAAGGAATTACCGTCTTCGCCTTGGTGGAAAAGGTTGTTTTTCGTTTTCTTCAAATGAAACTTGGAATCGATACATCCAGTTCTGTAATTCTCCGGAGTCTGATCGTTTAACGTCGTTACATTTAATTTTCAGCAAACGGATACGCCTGGACGATGGTTGTAATAATAATTTAAACAGTACTCTGAATAGCATTTCTAAGAGTAGCGTACGATGGTCTTGTGCCAGCGATGCCAGTTTGGTAGAACCAGAGATTTTGGAAGACATGGGAGTCAGTATGCTGGAGGATGAAGAAGTAAGCTGTGAAAGTCTCAAAAAATTACAATCACAGGAATGCACCATTTCTCCTACTAGCTCCGAGTCCAGCCGTCTGATGCCACCAATTGAAAATGAATTACACAATAATCGTGATGCAATATATAGAACTTCCAGCTTTGATACGGTCAGGTATGAGAGAAGCGATATTAAATTTCTTATAAATGACTAACTTTTATCGAGTGCATCTGAAATATGAGACAGTTATTGTTTGCCCAGAAAGATGCCAAAATTAAAATACAAGAAGTGCGTACGAAATATTTTTACTTAGTGTCTATGCACTTCAAGGACCGAGTTCAAAACGAATTTTTTTTGGCTTTGATCGTTTGGGACTTGATAAGTTATAATATTGATAATCTTTTCGCTAAATCTCATAAAAAAAGACAATGTGTATTAATATGCAGCTAAATGCGTGCAGGTAGATTTAATTATGAGATTTCGGACTCATGATAAAGATGATAGGGAAATGTATACGAGAGAAAATTGTTTTTCATTGACATTGATAAGATGAACTAATCTAAGATAGGTACGTTTGTATTCAATGAGAGATTTGAACACAAATGTATGTCCTGTATCGATAGAAAAGTATCGGACATAGGTTAATATTATTCTTAATCACAAGATATGGTTTTGAAAGGTCGGAGCAAGATCTGTACGAATTAGATGATCCGACAATTTATACAACTATGGGTAACGAATCTGGATATACTTCAAGAGTGGACCCGGAAACATTTGGCGAAACAAAGGAAAGTTTTAATAAAGAAGACTTATCTGAACCGGACAAATTAGACCGGTCGACTAGTATGGAAACATTCTATTTATACAGGAGAAAGAAAAGACCTTCAGTCACAGGGGAAGACAAGTTTAACAAATTATCCGATGAAATGATCTTAATGATCCTTAAATGGCTTCCAAAAAGATGTTTGGTAAATTAATATATTTTGTACAATATTTGATCATTTCTCTCTCGAGATTGAAACTAACTGTCAAGGCATTTTAGGTACGTTCGATGCTGGTTTGTAAAAGATGGTGTCAAATAGCGCGTGATGAGGCTCTTTGGGCTCGTCTAGACCTCGGTGGTAAGGTTTTGGTCGAAGGAACCCTAGGTCACATCCTGCCTCGAGGAATACAAATTCTTAGACTTGCGCAGGCTGAAATAGCTGATCCAGTATTCCAACCAGGCAGCGATGTAATTAATGACAGCTACGTTAGTAAATTGCAGTACTTGGATCTTTCAATGTCCGTTATTTCTCCCGAGGGCCTAGCAACTCTGTTATCGAAGTGTAGACATTTAAAGAAATTATCCTTAGAGAAATGTATATTGAACGAATCATGCTGCAAAGCAATTAGTAAAAATGTCGATCTCGAAGTGTTAAACCTTACGATGTGTGAGGGGATGAATATTAAATGCATTAAAAGTTTAATGAAACTGAAAAGGTACGTTCGTTATTTTCTGTATCTTATTTTATCTTTTTATTACGGTTATCATTTGCTAATTATAAACTATTGTTTTAGCCTGAATGCCCTCAATCTGGCCTGGTGTGGTTTAGCCACTGATTGTATGGCATTACTTTGCAAATCTTTGCCTACATCTGTTACTCGACTGAACATTGCTGGATACCGCAAGACCATGACAGATGACAGTAAGTTAATATTTGACAATTGGTGACGTTTTTTTTTTTACTTATACAAGCCACTTTTGATTTGCTTTGTTCGTTGATTTCATGAAATGGAAGACTGATGTATCTTTTTTTTACTTCAAGATGTGAACGAACTCGTGAAATGCTGTCCAGATTTAATAGAGCTCGATTTGAGTGATTGTACTATGCTGACAATTAACACAGTGAACAGTCTCTTGAATCTTATAAAGTTGGAACACTTGTCGTTAAGTCGGTGTTACAGTATTCCACCGTCAACCTACTTGAGACTGGCATACATGCCTTCTTTACTCTACTTGGACATCTTCGGTTTGATGGCAGAACCAACACTTATATCTCTACAAGCTAATTGTGGTGGCACTGAAATCAATAAGTTCCTATTCAGTTCGGTAGCTAGACCAACCGTAGGGGTTCGGAGGACCAGTATCTGGGGGCTTCGAGTCAGAGATTGATGAGAACGTTATCGAATACTCAAATGACTTTTGAAGGCCAAATAATGTTTAAAAAAAGAAAAAAAAACACCAAAGGCAAGATCAATGAATTTTGTTGTTTGCATCGATAGAAAAATGAGTGCCTTCATCGGATAGACTGAAGTTTACTTTGTCGATTTAAGATGGACTTAGGGAATGTTACTGTAGGAAGAACCTTTTATATAGAATACTTTTAGGGACACGTTAACGATATTTGTTTTTGAAAAGATAGGCTTAGGAAATGGTGAATTAACATTGTTGAAACTAAACCGAATCTAATTAACTTTCCTTTTGTACATATTACTGCGAAGAATTGCATATACACATCGGAGCGATGGAATCTAATCTTGGAGCTATGCTTCGCTTGTTCAATGTTTAAGTGCACCGATTGAATAGCAAACCATAGATCACGGCAAACTATTTTACTTGTACTCTTATCAACATCTCGATGATGTCATTTAGAAAATAATGAGGGTATTTAAGCTGTCTCGAATCGTGTACAATATTACATCCGAGGATCTCTGAGAAGTAATCATATTTTTAATATTTTTCCACGTAATGACATGATTGTTATCAATTTGTACAATATACTAAATCAATTCTTTACGAGTACAATGGCAGATGTGATTAAGTGGCGATTAAATGTAATATGTCCGTAATATCGTTTCTAACATCATTGTTGGTTAATATCGGGCATTATAGTGTATTTATATAGGATCCCCATGAAAATGTGTTCCAAGCCAAAAGCCCATTTACCACGAGAATTTTACACTAGTGTGATGAACTGACGCTTTTGGAAGTCCTCAACCTATGAGAATTTTATAATTTGTGATTAATTTCGAGTTATCTAGTATTAGAGAGTCAGGCCGTCTGTAATGTTTTCAAAAGTAGGGAGAAGTTTTCGGCAGATCAGTACGGCGCAATCAATCGTTTACGAAAGATGACAAAGTATTGTGTAAAATAAATTGTTTATAACAGAATATTAATCATAAAGAATTGTATACAACCGACTGGTAACAGTAAAGAACGATCGATCTCAAACAAATGCGCATTTATTAATTATATTCACTGTCTGCTTGCATTTAAAAAAAAAAAGGAAACGGACATATGAACAATGATACAACGTCGGGTATATACAAATGTCATATTGAATTAGTATCCATGACTTAGTCTTGATACCACATTGTGCTGTTTAGTGCTTTCAGCTGTTTTTTAATCTTTAATTGTTTATGCCGTAAATAATATATCGAGATATTAACAAGAAGAATCTATTAGGAACATTGTGGATTTTAAGTAACTTATGTACATCTCTTCTGTGGCATGATCGACAAAGACACTGGGGTGGAGGTTAACTTCCATCGCATAAATGCTGTTCACTTTAGGCAGGCTTGCGTATGAATTGATGAAAGAATTCATCTCACATTAATTTTGTGCGCGCAATGCGTGTTAAATTTAGATTCAAATTGACTACATTACCTACATCACCGTAGGTAGCTTAAAATAATGGAATTCATGTATGATTACCCCTTTCAATATTTCTCAGCTACATCTGTCGCTTTTCTCGGATATTAAAACACTTCGAGTCACCGTGACATTTCTTTCCAACTATCTTGCGATTGAAACTGAGAGGTGCACAAGCAATTGTCATCAACGCTTCGAGGGTAGATAAATTCCACCTTGACGATTGCTGTTTAGACCCCCGTCAACTAGATATTATTTTTGGATCAACACATTTTCATAGATACTGAAAATGAATTTCAGGCCGAAGCCAGTGTCGGTGCAGCTTCTATCGCAGGTACATCTCGTTGCTTCTCCGTAACATTATGGGTTTCACTTTCACCTGCGTAAATCGATTTTGATTCTTGTCGTTCCTGCTCGCTTTGCCATCGTACCTGCAAGAACAAATAGACAATGTAAATTTTTTAGACATGATCTACACTTAAACCGTTCGATCGCTTTTATAAACTAGTGGATACGTGTAAAATTAAATATTTTAAAGTGAAAGAATTACCTTCTGTTTGTGCTGCCTTACGGCATCCATACATCTGTCCATGACCATCTGTTCGGTCAGGACACCATCCTCCGAAGCGTAGGCTGCGGCTTGCCATGCGACACCCAACTTAGCCAATTCTCGACCAGACATACCTTCTGTAATCTCAGCCAATTTACTACACAATGCTCCGTAATCAAACTGTGCCACTTTTAATCTTCTCTTCCCCTCCGCTGCTGGTTGCAGAACGAATTTTTCAAAGTACAGTCGAACCAATCGTTCACGTTCTTCTCTTCCAGGCAACTGGAATTCCACCATTTCATCGAGGCGGTCGTTCACGGCCCAGTCGAACTGTTCTGGCGTGTTCGATGCGAGAACAAGCATGAACTTGTTGCTTTGCTCTCCGGTTCTATACAAAAATGCGTTCAACGTGGCTCTTAGGTCTTCTGAAATGTGTTCGCTGGATCTTTTTCGTAGGAAGGCATCTGCCTCGTCGATGAACAATAAAAGTCCTCTCCTTGATGTCGACGCCCAATCGAAGACTTTGTGAATCGCAGTCACCCCGTCCCTTCCTAATGGTGCAACGTCACCTCCCGTAAGAATGGCATAATCCATGCCAGAATGTTCTGCTAATTTCTTCGCAAACATGGTCTTGCCTGTTCCAGGTGGACCGTGCATTAAAATATTTCTGTACATGCCACGATTGTGTTTAGTGTTTTTCGTCGCTATCGCAATATCTCGCAAACGCTCCTCAAGTTTTGGTGCCAAAACAACGCCTGACAGAGCATCGGTTTGTTTGGTCGCTAACTTCTTCACTGCTTGAACAGGGTGTCGTACGGAATCCAATATGGAAAATCTGGACGTCTCTCGTACCAATGCTGGCTTTCCTAGACGTGCCTCGATGTATCGTGCAGCCACACCGGTTGAACCTTTTGCAGAGTACACGCCAAAAGCTACGAGAGACAAGCCACCAGCGGCTGCGAGGATCTTGTCCCAGTCCTGAAGAAGGGCGGACACTCCTGAGCCTAAGACGGAACCAGCAGTCCTGAAATGACGAATGTAATGAAATATTTATATCAAATCTAGAATTAAATGGTCCAATGGTCGACTTACTTTATGGACTCGAGTACGGTGACTCTGTTTTCCGATGCTTTCAATCTAATCTGCTCTAAATTGAGATCCTGATTTTCTCTATCGATTTTTGCTTTGGCTCTTAACTCCGCGTCAAGTTTTCGCATTTCATTCTTGTGCCTCAGATCCATTTCGTGCTCGATCGTTGCCTTTCTCATCGCTTCTTGCTTTGCAACCGACTCTTCTTGTCTTCTAAGATTTTCTTCATTCATTCTCTGCTGTTGACTAAGTTGATCGTCATAACGTTTCCTAGCTAACTGGTCCTGATACTGTGCTCGCATCTGATGTTGTCTCGTTTCTTCTTGCATAGTTTTCCTGCGCTCCTCTGCTTCGATACGTTTTTGCTCGCCTTTCAGTTGCTCAATTCCAGCTTCATATTTTTTCATCTCTGTCTGAACCTCTGCTTGCCGAGTCGCCTCCTGAAGCTTCGACAGTTCCAAGGCATCTCTGGCATGAGCTTAAAGTATTATGAACATATAAATATTAATAAACTCCTAATTGTAAAGGACTACTAATAAATTCTCCTTCGATTAACTCGACATCGAATCCACTCTAAAATTAAGAGATTTACAAGCATTCCACAACCTTCAAGAAAACTTGAAATTTGGCATTAATGCCACAATTCGGTAAAACAATTTCTGCGTCCAACTCAACAAGGGGAATCCCAGTTTATTAATCAAGATTAACTGAAATAATAAAACCACACGTGACATTGCATGGACTCCGTAATTACACATTTTGTGATAAAAACGATTTCATCATGGGGACTTTGCATCATCCAGACTCATCTAGAGAGGGAGACGTATCGATGCGGCATGCGAAGCATGGCATTCCTAACCTCGAATAGCGGCTTCCCGCTTACGTAATATTATATAATGTAGACACCGATCGGGCGTAAGTTATCAGAAAAAAATACCGTACGAGATCTTTCGAGCTCCTTCGCGGCATTCGCTGCTCTTTCCAGCGCTCTGGAGTCAAATCTGTAGGCCTCCATTTGAGACGCGGTTAGGGGCGTCCTGGGGGAAGACCCATCGCCCGAGTCCCCTGCACCACCGGACGCCGGTGGTGGCACCAAATGCGAAAAGTCTTGCGGTGGCTGCGCACCCCGATATCCGAATAACCACGACATTTTCTCCGATCCGTAGCGCGTACGTTCACGTCGAAACGAGACTTTGCCACTGTTCTTTACGACCGAAACCGAGAGCTTCTACAAAGTGAACCTCAAAATCATTCACGTGCACGACTCCAATGGACGTTCGGAACGAATGAACTTCGGACCGCAGGCGAACCGGCAGCAGACGACACATCGAAACGACTCGAACGCGAATCAACATGGCCGCCCCGGTTGCCGCATAGATGTATGAATTTTTTATTTACATCAACGCGATCGTTTATTACATTTCGTGATAATTGTTCCTTTGGACGGGAATCAAGGGCTTGATCAAAGCGAATTTAAATTGGTTACCTTTGACACGATGGATTAGTAAATCAAAGATACTAATAGCCTATTTATTAATTAAATTTTGGTATTTTTACAGAAACTCGATTTATGACACGATTCCTTTGGAGGTGTTCAGGGGGAGAAACAAAATCACAATGTGATTTTTTTTAAGTCTATGTTGAAGAAACTAGGCTGAAGATTTTTTTCACGGTGGGTTCTTTGGTTAGAAATTACCTCTGATCTTTATTCTCAGTATCAATTGACAGAAGTATTTTGAACATTTTCTAGGAGTTTCATTTTCAACTGAAATGTTTATAAAAATAATACGTTTCAATCATTTCTCGATGCGCCGTTATACCGATTTTATGTGAATCATACGTAAGGAAGCGTGGGAACGATAGTGTCACAAGTTATAAAATGCGATCATTTCGATTCGCTTTAAATTATCCCTTCCCTATATTTACACTCGACATTTATCACATAAAAGATCTACTAATATAATTATAACGTTAAAAGAAAATTGATTATCGAAATTCGAAACCTCAAGTTTTTAAATGTATGAATTCTGTTGCGGTCTACCTTGTAATGTCATTCCAATTCATCTTGACCGATAGCAACGGACTAGTACAATGGTGTTTCTGATACTTCATAGCACAGGAAACAAAAAGAAATACATTTGTAGTCCAATGTTATTTACATATTTTAGAAGAAATTGTATATTCATGTTTCCAGCATTTGTGATAATGGATCTTCATCTTGTGCCATACCACGCTTACGTATTTTTCACGTTGAACACTTTTTTTTCATTAAAAGAGTATCCTTCAAACTTACTTTATTGTAAATGTGCAAGGTGCTTTGATACGATTCTTAAAAGTACCAGTATTGCCTCGAATTACTGTTAGAGACAGATAAATGACAATTATACTCTAATCTAACAATTACAGTATGGCATGTTGTAAAAAAAAAAAAAGAACCCCAAGATGTATGAATATCTTTTACTCCATAGTACGTAGTTGGAAATAGTTTCATCTGTATAAATTGAGTTTTGCTTCAAATGCGGCAAATTTTAAAACGCGCTGTGTACGTGTATCGGAAGGCTGGAGGCTACTCCGGATCAGGTTTCGTTGAGCCTTCCTCGTCATGAGTGGGACTGTGCCACGTTAATCTCTCCTCGTAGAACCTAATTACAATTTGTGGACACTTTTCATTGGCAATACGTGCTGGTACTAAATCCGCGTCATCCGTTCCCTTCCATTTCATGAGGAACATCAGTTCGCCACTGGAGTCGGTTGCACCGATAATACGTTCAGGTTCCAAGTTGCGATCAAATCCTAGAAAAGGGAACAATTTTAATGACACCGATTTTGCCTTCTGAAATAGATTCTAACTTTCAGGTTCCTACCTTCAGGTTTCTTATCGTCTACTATTTTTTTCTTAGCTTGTGTAGGAGTTGGCGTGCTTGACCCCTTTCGTTTCTTCTGCTCCTTTTCTTCGTGACGTTTACTCGCAACGGCAGCCTCTTTCTTTTTACGCTGCTCTTCAAATTGGGCAATCAGGTCAGGACAGTCCAAATTTTCTTCTGGTTCCCATGTGTTTTCATCATTGGAATACCCTTTCCATTTCAGAAAATACTCCACCTTGGGTCAACATTTTTATTTTAATTAATCCACCCAATTACTGCTTCACGCTAATACAGCAGAAACTCGATTTTTTACCTTTCCTTTTACCACTCTGCGATCGAGCACCTTCTCGACACTAAACTCTTCCTCCGTTTCTCCTTCCGTTGCTGGAGAATCCTTTGACTTACTCATTGTGTGATTAACGATCAACTACAAAATGAAAATCATTTTTAAGCCTAATATTTCAGGTACCTTAATTCAGCGAAACATCTCAATCTATAATATTCTATAAATTAAAAGTAAGTGCAGGATATGGAGCGGTAGTGGTATTGCAGGGAATCTACTCATGCGTTACTTAAAATGACAACAAACTAGTCTTATTAAATTGCGAAAGTGTATAGAAATAACAATTAGAAATATCGTCGCAGATATTTAATGGCCTGATATCTATGTATCAGTTCCTGCGATCTCATTTCTCAATCAGGCAGTGAAACAAAGAATGCAGATGCATTTTCACGCGGGACACAATGTCAGTTGTGCGGCATCGGTGTGAGTGCGAAACATTAATTGTTGGACCAGCTATTGTTAAGTGCTCGAGGTGAAATACTTTAGCGGAGAAATGATCCGCGGAGAAAAATCGATACATACACAAAAATGTGCTCTAAGTTGAAATAACCAATTGTATTGCAAAATGGAGGGCAAAATGGCGGGATACTGCGGCTCTGAAGCCGCCTTTCGTGTATGCAATTATTGATAACTAGTTGACAATCGAACGATTCACACTTACGCTGTACCGTTAAGAATTTCCTGGACGGGAAAATCACTCGAATTCTGCTCAAAATCTCAAAATGACACCGTTAATAACAGTGAAATCTTCTTCCGACAACGGACATCGACCGACGCGTTGCTTCTGGCGCTTTTAGCGTCTTGCCGCGAAAACTTCAGGGATACCAAGCTGTGGTAGCGAAAATTCCTAGATTTTCCGCAAAAGAATGGATGCATTCAGAGGGGACAACTGTTAAGTGATCGGTTAGCACTCATCTGCTGAATGGGTACGTTCACTGAACATGTTTACTGATCAGACCATTCTGATCGCCATTTTCAGCAGAAATCGCAACATGTTCCCAACTCATCGGTAACCGCTTTTCTCCTCTGAATGCACCCATTCTCGTGATCATTCTTCGGACCTTGAAAAGTATCCGTATCCGGCCATCTCCTGATTGCTTGATGTTGTGGATGGGGTCGGTTTTTGTTATTCCAATGAATTTTATTCGCTAGGAAATGTTGGCGGTTGGGGAATTGAAATTTTACCCAGATTGGCATGAACATACCATTTCACTCTCGAGGTGTGTTCGCTTTATAGTACTAACCTCGTGACGCAGCAACCGGTGTTAACATCTTTGGTCATGGATCACACAACACGATGGTGGTGCCGGTTATGTTTTAGGTTAAAGTCGTGTGATTTAACATAGTTTAGTGTTATTAGTGTTGTGAAAAATGGACAATAGGATTACGATATGTGATCCGGACGAGGAAGAAGTTAATAATGAAATATTTGGAGACATTGAGCCATTCAGTTGGGGTAATGACGATATCAACTGTGATCTGGACGATATCAACACGCTCTTCCACAGAGTGGATTCTGATCAGATTATATACGAGGAGAAAAAGAAGAAGTGTAAATTAATCGGCAAATACGTTATGGGTGATCTCCTTGGTGAAGGCAGTTACGGAAAAGTTAAGGAAGTACTCGACTCGGAGACTCTTTGCAGGAGGGCCGTTAAGATTTTAAAAAAGAAAAAACTTCGTAGAATACCAAATGGAGAAATTAACGTACAAAGGTATTTGACATTCACCGAGTTTACATTCGTGTGTACATTTTGTATCGAAAGATCATTCAGAACGATACCAGTTATAAAACGACTTTCTTGACATTAGTAAAGAATGTTTCTTGAGTGTTAAAGTAGTTTATATGTAATCTGCCGCTAAAGCCTTACGATCGATTATTCGTTTAATTTATAATATGTTGGATACAAGATTTCCTCTTTTATTTTCATTAACTCCTGATATTTTAATAGGGAAATACAACTACTAAGGATACTGAAACATAAGAATGTTATTAATCTTGTTGACGTTCTTTATAACGATGAAAAAGAGAAGATGTACATAGTTATGGAGTTCTGTGTGGGTGGTTTGCAGGTACATCTTTCTATATTAAAATTTTATGCATATTTACTTTCTTTCCTGCATGCACTGTACATTATTAAATTATATAATTTATTCGCAGGATATGTTGGAAAGTATACCGCACAAAAAGAAGAAGTTTCCTATTTGGCAGGCACATGGATATTTCTGTCAGCTGTTGGATGGATTGGAATATCTCCACAGTAAGGGAATCATTCACAAAGATATAAAGCCAGGGAATCTGTTATTGACGCTCGATGGTACCTTAAAAATCAGCGATTTCGGAGTCGCTGAGGTAGTTGTTTAAACAGATGATGTTAAATTATGATTATTAACAAATATTAATGTAGATAAGATATATTCTTGTAAAACACTTATTTCATCAAGATACGGAAAAAAGTAATTTATATGACGAATTTGTCTCGTGACTACCTTGTGTATTCAGACAATGGTCTGTATAACGAATACAATCTAACTAGTAATTTTACAATTACTTAGTAATCACATTTCCATTTTCTAGGCTTTAGACATGTTCGCTAAAGATGATACGTGCACAACAGGTCAAGGATCTCCTGCATTTCAACCTCCTGAAATAGCAAACGGCTACGAGACCTTTTCAGGATTTAAAGTCGACATATGGAGCAGCGGCGTTACGTTGTAAGTTTCACTCTACCTAAGCTCTATTCAACTCTATTCTTTCTTATTTTAATGATGTTTCATTTAACAAAGTGTGTATTTCAGATATAACTTAACAACGGGCGAATACCCATTTGAAGGAGATAATATTTATAAGCTGTATGAGAATATCGGCAAAGGTGAATATACTATACCAGACGATGTCGAAGATTCATTGAAATCTCTTTTGCAAGGGATGTTACAAAAAGAAATAGATAAACGTTTCACATTACAACAAATTATACATCACCCATGGACCATATGTATACCCATTAAGACACTAGAAGAAGTGCCTATACCTCCTTTCAGAGGAGATGAATGGCATACTATGACCGTACTGCCATATTTAATGGAACATCATTACGGAGTCGACAATAACCCAACATACTACACCGAGCACCAACTAAATGGTACGGGCAGATCATCTTGCTGATTTCATGTATTTTTGAGATAACGTGTGTAGTGTAATTTAATTTTTCATGAAGCTATCTACCTTTTAACATATTTTCTCTCGGCTCTGTTAATTAAATGATTAAAGATGTGGTATTATTGTGCAGTACGTAACATATTAATATGAATGTGATTGGCTTTTTAGAAGAAAGAAGGCTTCTAGAAGCTGATCAGATCAGCGAGGATCAGAAGAATGCATGTGCAACCCATCAAAGTAAACCTGCACAACACAGTAAGCGAAGATGGCGAAACCCAATTTCATGTATTAGCGTAAAGAAATTCCCATCGTGCAAGCCCTCGTGATTTGCGATCTCTTTATATTTGCTTGTTACGAAGTTTCTACTGACCATGTCAGTTACGTGTTTTCTCTGTACCGGAGACGATTGCAAACTCGATATTTCGAAACAGTGCTGAATATTACAAGGTATAAAAGTCCCCGGGCGACTTGGTTATACATTTTTTGAGCTGGAATGTTCAAAAGTATCGAATATAAAAGCTTGTGATATTAACGTTAACTAGTAATAGCGGTTAATCTGTCGCATTATACCGATCAATGATTAAGAAAATTTACTCTATCGTCAGTCGGTATGCAGACATAATACATGATTTTAATTCTTTTAATTAATTTAGATGAAAATCGCGGTTAAAGAGAAAGAGAGAGTTGTTGAATCTTGTTATACTGATAAAATAATCGGACGACTGGAATCTATCTATTAACGAAAATTCCAATGAAATTATTCCCTGCGCTTTTTAAGTAATGAAATTTTACAAAGACGATTCTCCTCGTTCCTCCAAATTTATTTGATAGTATTCGGAATTAGAATCGAGGATCTGAAACGTCATGTCATGATACTAACCCCTACCGTTGCTTGTTTTATTTTGTATTTCGCATTAATCTTTGATTATAAAAATTTGTAAGATTTCCCCAGAATCGTTACGGTACACCTCAGTATTTTCTTGTAATTATATTACCTATTTTTTTATCGTAATTATTTACGCATTCGTGTTCAGTATACCTTGCGAAGCATGTTACCTGATGTGACGCGATTTTTCTGCTCCTCGAGTGCGCTCACCTTCGTCGGTCCTCTCGTCCGCATCCCTCCTCGTTCTTCCACCGTCCGATGGGCACCAGTTAATTTTCCTTTCTCTGGAACTAACAAACGGGTCTATTCGAAGGCGGAAAACGCAAATCTTATTGTTAGGCGGAGAGGAGGGCGGCGAGAGAGGGCCCCGCTCAGGTGACAAGTTATGGAGAGGTAGGGTCGGGGTTGCTACCGACAAAGGCGTACTCTAATGAAAATAAAGAAAATAATATATTTCGACATGGTCTCGGTACATCGGAGGTCGTCACCGGGTCCCTGGAGAAGGGTGGAGGATCCCCTTGGGATCGGCCAGGGTGGAGCGAGGACTACCCTTCGCAATGCCACGGCTCCCTCGACGGTGGCTGCGGCCTGTCCATTAAAACCTTTCACTTACCTAAGTTTAATACTCCGAAATTGAATAGCATTTATGCCAGTTGCGGCATTTATTTTATGTTGTTGAAAAAGATCACGTATTTTGTAATTTATGTATTTATTTCAATTGTAGGCGTAATTCTTAACGGCGCGAAACGAACGAGCCGGTACAAGTTTTATGTTTAATGTCCCCAATCGTCCTCGTAGAAAGCTTCAAGGAAATCCTAGTGGAATAAGTAACGTAGTAATTATTTAAAAATTGTAACGCGCACGGTGATTGTTTTTCTAAAGCTTTGGACACGCTGCACATTTCCCGTCTCATCGAGACCGAATAATTGTTCCGATTATGTTTTGCGTCTTAACTTTCTTTTCCCTTTTTTTAATACATAAATTGCAACGTCATAAAATCGATTTTACATCTGGAAAGTGTTATGTATACTTATTGTCAGTATTATTGCGCGAAATGCCGCAATTAATGCAAATGTGTATTAAACGATTCCAGTCATGGTTTCGTATACATCTTATTACAATTATCAGAGAAGGATCGTTCATTTTTGACGGTAATACCTAAGCACATGTAAAAAGCAAATTTCAACCTGAATTAGAATATGTATGTATGTATGTACATGTACATATGTATCTGGTGCGACTGTATTTTTTTGAAACAGCAGACAGCGGCTTCTAATTGTGCGATTGGTACCCAAGTTGTAGATTACGCATGAGTGCTTCAGTTATGAGTTTCAAATATGTGTGTTCAAATAATATAATATGTAATAAAAAAAAATCGAGAGCCTTACATTTCGACACGGTCATTCTATATAGTTGTGGCATTGCTATTGCGATAGATATTGTTAAATGGTTCCTTTTTATAATAGACAAATGTTAACGTCTGTTTTATTCGTATCAATCGTTGCAGCCGAACAGAAGAGTAATCGATATAAATCAATCCGAAGGGAATCATACCACAGAGAAATTGAAGCATTCTTAGCCCTGTTTAATAAATAATTTACTGGTCCATGTTTAATTATTGACAAGCCAGAGTGGATGGATTCGTTACATCTAATAGACCCATGGCAAAAGAGATGTGTAAATGTGTACATTAAATTGTTCGCTTTACGATTAAGAAATAGATATACTTGAGTGATAAGGGCAGTACTTTTATTACTCGCATACTGAATGTTTGAATATAGAAGAGTAAACAATTGTTCAAGGTTGTTGGTAATCCTGATTAATTTGTAAATGCCCTCCGATGCATCCTCACCAAATCGGTCTAGTCACTTTTTTTTTTTACATAAAGTCTACGGAGTCTTGTACACGTAGGTTTTTATTTTTAACACAGATACAATAACATTGAGTACACTCACAAACATTGACATGTTATTAACGCTGACAACGATGTGTATATACATCGTATAGTAGCATCTTTTTTACACAGAGCATTTTTACAAGTTTATTTATAAGCTGATGGCCACTACGAAGGTAAGGCAATAAGTAACGGCGATGTCTGCATTACAATTTGTACATAAAATACATTTTGAGCATTAGGATTGGTATTAATGGTAAATTCGCGTCACCTATTAAAGCAGTTCCTATCGTTCATGTCTGGACATTACATAAATAATTTTTAGAAGTAAAATGACACGATATATAATTTTCACTGAAGGCACAACAAAAAATGTAGGATAAATAGTAACTGAAATGTATTAAACAAAATCTGGGGTAACCAATTAACAAACCACTTTTAGCATATTACTCTACGTCATGTTAGACCATCGTAAGTACAAAAAGGAATGCCTAGAACAAAGACGAGCAAATACATTTTGTATATTTCTGACAAAAACAGCAGCAACGTAAAAATGATTAATTGTCATTTGGAAGCGAAACAGACATTCAGAATAGAAATCATTAGATTTTAGCAAGCAATAGCACAGTTTCATTATAAAAACTGATCTAGTAGCGTTCAAATATTGTCCTAAGAGAAAGATTAAATTGTACAATGATAATACAATCCATACTAAAAAAATATAATATTTAAGTGTTTCGTAATTGTATGCGTATACACATACTGCGCAACATAAGTCTAAAGTAAAAGGTACAAAATAATTGTCAAGTTGTAAATGGGTTTAAAGATCGTTAAACAAATAGTATTTAATTACAGGAATGGTTATGCAAACTAATAATAAAGGAATATTAGCACTAGCAATAGAAAAGGAAGCATATCGAGCCAGGACTTCCTTTATATCACGTTTTGTTGTTAATAATACTCGATACTTACATCTATAAGAAGATTATAAAATATAAAATAGGAGGTTCGTATTTTACAGGGTAAATCTGTTAACACATGTTCTAATTCGTTTTTTACATTACAACATAAAAGGCCATTGTTTATCTGTAATATTCGTTTGATGGCTTATTAAAATCTAAAAAAATACCATAATTATAGTCAAGCCATCACAGTGTTCATGGAACTGTAATGTAATCATTGTTGCCTTTAATGCATTAATTTTTTAATTAAAGTACAGCGAGTTGTATAAATTTAAATATTTTTCCAGTAGATAATTTATTAAGAAAAATGATTTGAACTTCTTCGTTGATATTTTCTTCCAAATTAAAGCATGCTAATTAAAACAGTACACACTTCATGTAAAAATTGTACTCACCAATAGTTAACGAAGGAGTGAACATTGTAATAACGTAAGGAATCTGAAGTGTTACTGATTTTTACTTATACGCTATTTGGAATTACGTACATGTTGAATCATCTAAATCCCTCCACATTTTATCTCGAAAATTAACATTTATTGCTGTAAGGTGCATTTAAGCAATAAGCATATAGCTGGAACAGCTGGACTTCAGAACCGATCTGATTCAACCTCTTAGCACTTTTCTACTCTTGCTGCAATAACGTTTCGCAGTTCATTAGAATAAATATTTCTGTTACATCGGTATGACTATCTCTCTGCAATACACTAACAAATCTGTCAGTTAATTAATAGGACAAAAAAGGAATGCGGAAGCCCCAACAGAGGTAACGTACCAACACATGACAAGTAACATTTCACCACTATCGCAGTATTTCTGAAATGCTAAAAGTTACGCACAACATATTCTTCTCTGATAGATGATTAATTGTTAACAATTAACGAATCGTTACGACAACTAATTTGTAGTCACAGCAATACATTTTAAACGAGTCATTGATATAGTTTACTTAATAACCGAGGTCACGGAAAAGATGATCTCGAAAGTCGTCTATTACTTGTTATATACCTCAAACCTTTTCTCTTTCAAGTACCTGCCTTGTCTTTGGGTAAAAAGTAGTTTTAGCGGATACACTAGCGGTAGAGAAATAGAGTGTATCTATCTTGTTATTGTAATCTTTTGTGGTAATCGTTCTCTTTACGATTCTACGCTTTGCCCATAGATTAAAGGATTGAGATATGCATTGCAGTTATAATACCTGTTATCGCTGCCTTCTACTAACTCTTCGGAAGGCAGTATGCAAGTTTCTAATGTATTGTCTCACTAATTGAGAATATTGACTACAAATCGATTGCTACACCAATCATTTTATTATTCATGTGAACGAGGCTCACTCTAGGGCACCTTCTTCTTCCAACTTGGAAAGGAATTTAGGTACCCGATAGTTTGGTTCAACCTGCCGAGCCATGTCTATCAAACATAGTAATTTCTTGATCCCGATAAAGATCCTGAAGGAAACATGTTATTTATAGAATATATTTATTTATCTGGCATCGAATTAATATGATATGTCGTTACCTTTTGCCCTGCAGTTTTGCATGCAATGATGCCATTTCGGTCTTCGAGAAGAGTTCAACTTCCTCCAGCACGGACAAGAGATGGTCCGGCGTCGATAAATTAGGCACATGCAAAGTAGTACTGAAAGCTGATAGCACCTCCATGTCTTCTAATACTTGTCTGCAATGAGAATCCAAAAATAAGATCATATAGTCACTTTACGTTGTAGTATTATTTTATTCTTCGGTGATATATAATACCTGCGGCTCGTTGTACATAGAATTAATAGTTTTCGTCCCCTTGGTGGTTGCTTTTTCAAAAGAACCAGCAATGCCTGCAATGTTAAATTAGAGTATCGGGGCCCAATAGGACCGTAGTCCAGTAAACGCTCTATATTGTCAACCAGGATACAACTAAGCTGGGAACGGTAGGCATCGTCGAATATCTGAAAAAAGGTTATGAAATAATTATAACCTCAATATTAAATTTAAAATAATTACTCATAAGATTAATTATATTTATTGTTTCCAATGGAACTTTAACTTTTACCTTTCGTATCGATAAGCATTTTGCAGACTCTGTGAAGCCAACCATGTCTTCTGGAGTACAAACTTTGACAAATGGAAAGTCTGAATTTTTGGCAATTCGTGCGGCCAGAGCAGTTTTGCCACTGTTCGGTGGACCCTCCAATAGCACCGACACAAGACCTGAACTTTCGGCTGCCCTTGCTTCTTGAATGTACAAATTTCCATCCGCAAGTATGTCGGCAACTGGTTTACCCCAATTGATAATACCACGTATTAACAGCTGCTCCAAAATTTCCGCACTCGTTCCAAATGCCTGAGGATTTGTATCGTAATAATGAGAATTATCACGTCAAAATTAAGAACAAATACTACTGATTTAGGATTCCAGATATTTACCGGTTTAACGTCGTTTTCAAGGGCATGCAAGAAGTCGCCTCTTGAGACCATAAGTTTCTCCATCGCAGCGGGATCCACTTCTACCTTGCTAGAGGCTTTAATTAATCGATTCATTGCGGTACTCTGGGCAGCTCTCACTAAACCTTCCAATTCTGCACCACTGAAGTTCTTTGTCAATATTGCTAATTCTTTTAAGTCGACATCAGGTGCAATTTTTTTGTAATCCCTCATTCTCGATGTGTGGATGTTAAGAATTTGGAATCTTCCATGATCGTCTGGAAGACTAATCTCCATTTGTACCTGGTGAATGAGATTGGAAACATTATAATAAGTCGATATGTATGTACACAATTAATGTTTGGTTATCTGCAATTAATGAACATCTTGACAACAAAGTAAATTTACCATACCTCCAATCTACCGGGTCGTAGCAAAGCTTCGTCTATCATGTCTCTTCTGTTAGTCATGCCGATCACAAGGATATTGTTCAATTGTTCAACTCCATCAATTTTTGCTAGCAACTGGTTAACAACGGTATCGTGAACTCCGGTATTACCTGCAACGCTTCCTCTAGACTTGCAAATAGCATCGATTTCATCAAATATAATTATATGCAACCCACTGTTCGGTCCAAGCTGAAAATTTGAAAATATAGTTATACTTCAAATAATTCCTCTGAGAGTTTTAGTTAATGAGAAATCGAAAACCATATTTACTTTCTTTTCTTCTTCTTCGGCATCAGCGAATAACCTTCTAATGTTAGCTTCACTTTCTCCTACATATTTATCCAGAACTTGAGGACCGTTTACAATTTTGGGTTCTCTTGCATTCAGCATTGTTCCAATTTGTCTAGCCATCAGAGTTTTACCGGTACCTGGAGGTCCATACAATAAAATACCTTTGACGTGTTTGCACCCCAATTGTATGACAACCTCCGGAGGAAACACTCTGGATGCGAATGCTCTTCTAAAAATGGCACTAAACTCTTTGTCCAAGCCACCGATGCCCATTTTTTGAAAATCCCAGTCAGGATTGATTATTGATTGGCGGACAATTTTCCCTTTAGCTTTACCGGTAAGATTTAGACTAGAATTCTCTGCTTTCTCAAATAGGATCACCGTGTCGCCTAAACAGCGGCCCATTTTTGTCTTTTTAGGTTTAGTATCTTGACCCGCTTTAATAGCAGAAAGGTCAGCTGCTTCGAGACTTTTAACCACTAAACCTAATATCTTTTTGTCTTGGAACTGGAACGCTAGCTGTTGACCCACAGTAAATGCTTGCCCTGAAAATTGCATGAGAAAATCCTTGGCCATTTGCTCCGTATCATACGGCTCCAAAGTAGTACTGAAAAAAAGGTTTAACATTAAAATTTTACAGTCATGGAATAATGCACTTTACAAATCTATTACATCGTTTCAATTTAAAATAAATAAACTTATACCAATTTAAGAATAGTACACGATATGTAATACTAAAATGTATTTGATGACACTTACGATTTTTTTTGCAAAAAATCTGCTTCCAAGGTGATTGTGCATAGACACTCGGATGTAGACGTGGGATCGAAATGATATGGCCGAACCTCGATGTCTTGGTTGAGCGATAATGTAGCCCATTTCCTTTGGGGTAAACTAAATCCAATAGTTCCCCTGTGAATATCATGGTGTGTCCTAACGGTGAACACGTAGTGCTGATTTGGGGCGGTAGTCACCTGGATATGCCTAATCGCAGAACAATTTTATATCAGCATATTTTCTCATTAATACTACATCAATACATCCAATAACCTTCAAAGAAATAATCATTAAATATCAGCACTCACTTGACATCCTCTGGAAAGTCATCGCGGTTGATGACAGCACAATTCGACAAACTGAGCTCGTCCGTCGGGCACTTAGCCGCTTTCATCATCTGAAAACAACCCCTTTAATAAGAATCCGCTCATCCAAATGATCGATTACCTCTCAAAATATTCGGACTTGAACATAGGCTAACTACGTCGAGAATATTGATGTATCCTCGTATTGGCGAATCCTTGAATTTTAGGCAAAACACTCACCATACGCATTTCGCGATTGTTAAGACGATAATGTAAGATCTTTTTAATATATTTAAATTCATGGAAAGGCCTTGCTCGCGATTTTTCACACTTACCATTGGAGACATATCTTTTGACAGAACTGCACGATCTCAGGCCCCTGCACAGTATGGAACCTGCAATGCAGAAGATCAGTAATGCTACCAACATCCAGGACGTTGATCGAATTAGACGTCACCGACCGCCATTGGTTGTCCCTGAAAGTCGCATTGTAATGGCGGCACCGGAGGGAAATTTGAATCTCCACGAATATTAAATCCCCATAAATGCGAATTTCAGCAAGCAGAATGAAAGAAAATGTAATAAAACTTCATTTTACATTGAAATATGAACTTTCGAAAGTCTTTCGGCTTCTTAGCGACTCTGTTTCTCCTTTTGAAGCAAGATATAATTAATATTTGCGTTAGGTTAGAAGAAAGTCGTCAATGTCCCTTCATACCACTTTGTCATATAGAAAACGTCGAGTTTTTCTTCCGTTTACGATGAGATGATCAATATCTCATTCTCACCAATATTACTGCTTATATAATGGTCATTTTTATTCTTGAAGTATCGACCATTTTCTTGGTTCATGAAACACGTGGCGCCGTCCTAATAATGGAGTTGGTACTACAATGAAAATGGTCTCTTTTTCTGAAGAGATATATTTACTTCTAGGCACTTCTAGGCATGTCTAAATTCATTGTAGATACGCTATGAATGATACGAGTTTCTTTAAATCTCTTGATAATTACAAGTGCCGGATATTTTAAATACCGGCATTTATTCTCTCCAAGACTGAGGAATTCTTTGTACCTGCTCATTTTAAAGAAAATAGTAAGTTAATGGCATTTTCGTTCACCTGGTTTCATTCATGATTTAAAATATTCTTGAAAATTGTAACTGACTCCAATATATATTCACCAATGCTCGATTAAAAATGTTCAAACGATTTAACTTGTAGGTGTAATGGATCAAGAAACGTATACATTAACTACAGAACAAAATAATTGTAGCTATAAATCACCGAATAGTACAGCCGAGTCTCCTAAAAGTATCGTATATCAAGGAACACCGGTGAAGCATTCAAATGAAATTTATCATAAACAGACTGCGTATCAAAACAGAAAAGGAGGTTTCACAGTATTGCCGAATTATATTACTCCACCTTCAGGATTTACTAAATTCGTGCCCAGGAATCCTTTTGAGTCAAATTTAACGAACAAGTTACATTTGTCGGTAATGAGTCCCACAATATTTGCCAAGGTATCGCATTATATATTTTCTTTCATCGTTTGTACTCTACTATTACTTCAATGTTAGTTTAAATAAAAGTATAACGTAAATTAAAGGTAGATTTAATTGTTAGGTCACTAATCCGTCCCAAGGTTCTCCGGAATTTACTTGGAGCGTCGAAGAGCTAGCCTCGATGCAACCCGTAAAAATTGAAGAATTTCCCATTCAACATCATTGCACCGATCCAGAGATTGAAATAAATGCTCAAGCAGCCATTAATAAGTTTTTCAGTGAAAATGAGATCGTTCCTAGTCCTTGGGATGATAAAAAAACTGAGGTTACTCATAAACTGGAAATAGAAACTCCTACAAGGCCTTACGAAGATTTAAACGGTACCCGAGATTCATACAAATCAAAAAAAGATGGTAAGGCATGCAAGATTAGAAAACATTACTCTTATGAACAGATTAACGATGTTCATAACTATTTTGTAGCTTGGACGCAAACTGTTTTATCCCTTCCGGTGGAATTGCCAAAAGATGTGGAGGAAGCATTAAAACCATACCTTACCTTCACCCAGGTGACCGTTATATTTATTAAAAGACTCTGGATAAATTGTTTATCATCAAAGTAAGAGAAATGTTGCAAATTTTAAATTTAAATCGAAAAACAGGATCAAAATGTGGAAACTGATGACATAAACTCGAGCAATAATTCACTGCGTAGAAAATTATTTTTTAACCATAACGACCACTCGGATGATGACGAGGATAATCTGTCTATGTCACCAATGAGCCTGCATGGATCCTTAGGTATTGAAAACAGTCCACCTCAAAGTGGAATGTTTGCTCATGGCACTCCTTTAAGGGTATGTACTGGAAATATCGACAACTGTAGCATAAATGTGCATCGTCTTCATATAAAAAATTTCCAGGAGCTCGCGCAACACATGCGACGAAATCATGGAACACCTTTAGCAAATTTATCTCCTCCCAACATGTCTCCTATTGGTGATGTGATCGATAACATGTCTTGCGAAAGTATCAAATCGCGTTCTCGATCCGTAGCTCGTCTTGATTTCACGGTAAACATGAGCATCGAAACATCTCCATTTCATGGAAGAAGAAAAAGTACCACAGAGCATGACGATTCCATGGAGAGTGTTCATTCTAAAATAGGTACGTAACATTATTTTCCAATGGATACTATTTTGACACTCCCGGTAACTATATAGCATTAATTTTTCCATTCCTGAATGCTAGCATAATCTCACCAATATAGAATAACATTTAACAGTGGACTCGTTTTATTTAACGCAGATGTACCTGCTGTTCCCCTACAAATAAACGACTCCATGGAAGATAATAATACATCTGGGGAATCTAATCGAATCGAAGACAACTGTCATCCGAGTCCTACCGAAGACATAGTACCTCTCCCAGGAGAGACGACTTTATTTGGACAAGACGAAAAAAAATCCTGCCACGCACACTCTAATAATTGTGTTGATATTGTCAATCGACTTTATCTAGCTACCGATCTATACAAAATCCAGTCAAGTGAAAGTTCTGCGTTCCAGCAGAGCAGCACATTTTCAGGAGTCTCCGGGCAACAAAGTACATTTGGGCTAACCCAAGACACCGGTTACCAAACATACAGCACAAACAATGCATCACACTTTGCTGAAAATAATTGTAGCTTAAGTCCATCGAAACAACACACTTGCTGGGACGAACGGATTTTATTACCCGACGATGAAGTACGTCTATCCGATTGGAAGGGGAACATGAAATACATGTGCAGTTCGACTCCCTCTAAATACATGAAAGATGAAAATCGTTGAATTCGAGAAATTTTCTGTGATCATCCACACGGAGAGCAGAAAACTGATATTTAATAGAGAATTATTTTTCACGGTAAAACGTATGCGAATATATTTTCAGATACATATGTATCCGTAAGAGAGTAACTGTTTTCCAAACAATTGCATTTATTAATCATGTAACCGCCGTCACGTTGATATTTAGTTAGTCGTTATATGTAATTACATAGACTTAAGCTCATTTCATACTTGATCAAAATATTCTTTAATTAGTACGTGACTGTGAGAAGTTTAATTATAAAGTTTAGAATCTTGGAATCGGATACAAGCCCTTCATCGCATATTAGCAGATTTCTGTACAATTAAATAACTGCATTTGCCAATAATTGTAAATTCGACTCAATTCCAATTAATTTGGTTTGCTTTATAATTTTGAATATGTACAATCTGAAATCAATTGTGCCAAGTATTCCAGAAATTACGGACGAACAAGATTCTCATGCATCGTTAATACTTTACACGTTAAAAAAAGAAAGTGAGAGAAACTTGTGAGTAGTCAATTCAATGTAGACATGTACATAAGACTGACGTGATTTTATAATCTTGCGAATAAACGCGCACTTTTAACCAGGAATTAATAAATGTCTCATTTTATTCCCCTCCATCGATAACGGATAAAACTTCTCTTTCGATTTAATAAAGTCTGGGTTACCTCATAACGTACATTCTGAACACAACACCTTACTGCTTAAGAATAGGTAAACTTATCGAGAAAATGGATAGAATTTCGAGCCAAATAACGAGAATAAAATACCAGATTATTGGGCGTAAAGTTGTTTTTGTCTTTTTTTTTAATCATCGTATCTGACCTATGAATGTTCAGCTCGTCACAGTGGATGTAACATATATTTCATAGCTATTGAAAATAAGTGATTACTCGCAAGGTTCGGAAATCATTTACGATATGCAATGGGCTACTAGAGAATATTTTATAGAATTCGTCATAACAATGTTGCTCCGCCAGCAACATAACCTCTGCCAACCCTATCGCAGTATTTATGTCCATCGTTGAATTTACATTACATTGCAAGCTTTCGGCTGGCAAATTAAAGGACAAAGGATAACCCTCCCTATCATTCCTCGTATGACCTAGAGCTTGTTAAGGTTTACGTAAATATTACCAGTTAAAATGAAGTATGTATCGTTAGTTTTAGACTGATTAAAAATATCTGTATTAATACCTATCTATTACCCGGTATATAAAAGTGCATAAACATATCCAGCGAATAGGTGCTCGTATTGGCATTCATCATGTACCAGGATTTGTTCGAGTGCGAATGTTCTGCTTTCACGTTCAATTCTATTTAATAAAGTTACTAATTCTCTATACGATCTAAAGGAGACGTATAATTTGTCAGCTCTGCACCGCATAGCATCGTAATCGAAAGTAAAATGCATCTGATTTCTACACCGTTATTGCAACATCCGCGCATTAATCTTATATGAAATGATGTCATACGTTCGCTTTTCGTCCATAAACGTAGAACAGTGCTCTTTGTTTTCACGTTCGGAAGGCAGATCTCAAGAAAAACTAACCTCTGATTTCAAAAACATCGTTATGTTTTCCCCTAGACGTCTACGCATCTTAAATACGATTACGCGTTCGCTTACTCTATTTTGATTTTCATCGATGAACAAATCCATTAAATGATAGTCATTCGACTTAAATTACTACACTAATTTTAACTTCGCATGAGTTTATTTACAAGTTCGAGCAAGACGAACGAAGCAAGGGCCACCCGACGTTTGCTGGATCGAGGCCCGACTTGAAGAATCCTTTCCCTCACCGACAAATTCAATATACACTAACAGTTTGTTCTTTAGAGCAGTTGGTCGTTTCTTGCAAATAACTATCACACTCTTTATATCGATAGAAAACCACTATCACAACTGACACACCTTGAGATTCCAAAACTCCCTCTTCTTCGAAAAGTTCACGAATTAATATATACATAAACTGTACAATTTTTTTTCTTGCGTCGAGTACATTAGAATCGATCCATCCCAGACCATGTTCTTCTCGAGAGGAAAAAAAAACTATCACCATCATTGGACCACCCTCGACCAAGATCAAAGGACCGTGGTTAAATGTTCGACAGTGAGAGTTAACTATATACAATTACTATGAGACATTGCAAATACTTGCAGGATTCCGAGATTCAAGTAATACACTATTGAACAGTCGATGCCCAGTCTTTTACGGTATCTCAATCCAGATGCTATCGAAAACTAGAGAGTAGCTCGGATCTTTGGATATTCGACGATTGAACTACATATTCACCTTAATCGCACCCACAAAACGCCTGAAATCACTTAACCTCCCTTCAGACATTCAATTTACAGAACGTGCCACCTGATCTCTCACAAATATCTTCGTGAGAAGATTGAGGTTAACCCACGAAACACCGAGGCAACTGTAGATACACCAAGGAGTGCGCAAAGCTTACGAAACACTGTTACAGAACTAGGCCAGTCCCTTCCCGAAGCCACCAAACGTATTGCTTGATGTTTCCACTGATCAAACGCCAACCGTCACTTTTTCACAGGCGAAGGTGGCGGCAGCAGCAAGAATCATGAACAGTATTCTCAACGTCTACCGCTAAATGCATGTTGTGTCTGGATGTTGACTCGTAGACTTTCTACTCTTCTTTGGCTCTTTATCTGGCAATTCTTGAGAAGGCCTCCGTGGGCTGCCCAGGGTGACGAGGGCAGAAGCCACCGCTAGTCCGGCACTCTGGCCAGTCGGGGTGTAAAGTTCGCCACCCGTTGGCAATTTGACTAGCAACGATAGGACAGCTGCTTTGTTACCACTGCACGGCTCCAGCGCGATAGGACTCGGAGAATCCTGCAATCACGTTAACAACAGATGTATAAAATCATTTCATCCGCAGTGCCACATCGGAAGATGAGATTTGATACTTTTATCTCGAAGAGAAACACAAAGGTGTAAAAAATCCCACCGTAGACAATTTATCGAGCATCCTGCATACTTTGTGTCTGACCTTTTTCCTCTTCTGCTGATTATTGGAGTCGGAATTATTCCTCTCCGAATTGCTACAGTCTCGCCTTTCGATCTCAACTAGAACTTGACTGAAAGCCCGGCTGGCCATTTGTTCCATCTCGACGAATAATCGTTGTCGCCTCCGATACATATCATACTTTTGTTTGATCTTCCAGAGAAGAGCAGCCACCAAGAGAAGGGCGAGGAAGCACCTGTGCGGGGTCATGTAATCTCTAGTTTACAAGTTAGTACTGCCCGAGGTATAAGACAACAAAAAGACTGATCAAGAAATCAAAGGGCAAGCAACGTGGTTCACTATGAACAAAACAACATCGAAAGGTACACATAGATCAAACTAAATCGGAGGAAAATAAGTGCTGAAACGTGTTAACAAAGGGTGTCGCACGTTTCAGTACTCATTTATCGACACTTAAAGTTGTGCAGAGACGAAAATGAAATTTCTTTCAAGAAAACTGTTCACCGCGTCACAAAAGATGTGGAAAAAGGAAACGGATGAAACAACGAAAGGGACATCCATTCCAGCCAACACATACTTCTTCAAATGCCGTAGCTCAGGAAATAATCTATGATACTTACGTCGAAAATGTAACAAAGAATTGCTGAAGATTAAGCTTCGAGTATTGAGAGAATGAAATTTGGATCCAGAGAGGGGGCTGGAAATCGTAGACGTATACGTAAAAAGTCGTAAGGGTGTTGTTATCCTCGGTCCCGAAATTATATTCCGCCTTGCTGAACCGATGCTTGTAAGAGGAACAGTTGGCCCCTAGCAAAAGCGGTTTCTCGGGATTATTCGCCCTTTTCACGGTAATGTTCATCTTAGCGAGTACGGAACACATTATCGAAAACTCGGCATCGACGTCCGGCTTCGTCGGCGAGTTCTTAAAATTAATCGACGTGTAATGGCGGTCTTCCTTTTTGCTAAGGTTGAACGTGAACTGATAGTCGATGGTCAAATCGTCTGAAATGGATATCAGCATACAATACGGAATATCAGAACAGAGAACATGATTAATTTCAATCGATTCACATTGCCAAATCCAGAATCAATTTTCATGCTGTTTCAACGATTAATATCGTTTAGCCATCTCGAATTTAACATTCGAACAAAAAGATGCATCATTGGAGAGGAAACTTACAGAAGCAGGACCCTTTATCACTCGTAGGATCGCCCTGATAAGGACCACTCGGGTCGCATCGCTCGCAATGATCTCCTATTATGCCTTTCGTCGTGCAAAAACATTTTCCAGTCTCACTGGTGCACTGAGTGCCTTGGCCGTTGCAAAAACACGCTAGAACAAGGAACGCGCGTTTTCACCAAGCAGCAGCGAATAACAACGATTGTGGACAACAAATAACGGTCGACAAGAACGATAAACAAAAGTTAGGAATGGATGACAAAAATTATAAGCAAGAAGTAATAATGGATGATAAAAATGATAAATAAAGAGTAGCGGTACGTGGCAAAAATGACAAACAACCAGCAATGTACGGGAAAAATAATAAAGGGAAAACTCACGTTGACATGTCGCTCCGTTTAAAGGATTGCCGTAATAACCAGGTATGCACTTGTCGCAATGCGGTCCATGAGTCAAGTTCCCGCAAGGCTGGATGCACACGCTACTATTTGGAAGACATTTGCTGTGACCGTTGCACTGGCAGCCTAAAAGAAAAGTATCCTCATAGAAAAAGAAGAAACTTCTTGCGGTGGTTTCACTTGAAAAAATCCACGTAAATTCGTAGGGATTTATGAGTCAAAACTGAGGGACTCACTGGGGCATTCCGTGAAGTACCACTGATCGGAGGGACACCCGACGTCGCTCCTCGGGCTGGGACTTTTGGCTCCTCCGGAGAGACACAAACCCTTCCCCGTGCCGGAGCCGTCGTCGCACCATCCACAGCCAGGATCCGACCTGCAGCTCGAGCACGAGGAGTAAAAACTGCACCACTCCTTCCCGGTTTCGGTGGCCCGACACCTGGCGTCTATGGTGGTCCATTCCCGGCACTGGCCGTAGGGGAAGCTGGCAGGATAGGCGTTCTTGTCCACGCATTTTCCCTCGTTCTGGCACCAGATGCAATCCGACTCGGTGCAGTTCCGGCAGGACGTGAACTCCACGCAAGAACTCCGGCAGGTGTCTATCGTCAGTCTCTGGGCATGGATCGTGTCGTTGGCGTTGTTCACCTTAGAAAAAAAAAAAAAAATCACAAGCTGGACCGAGGCAAAACACTTGTCGAAATGGCTTCGAGGCCTCGAAACCTGGGATAACAGTATTGATCAAATTACAGAAATAGACCGCCATATAAAATTTTCTGCTATTTCAATTAGCAGTGTTTACCGCTATGCTTATCTTTATGATTATGAGATATCTGTGAAGTTCCCTGTTACGTGAAGTATCCATAAAAGCCTTTACGCTCCACCTACTGTAGCACTTAAACGTAACGGCAATCCAGCTATCTCTCGCACTTACATCTCTGATTTTTGACAGGGATTTGCAACGATCGGGGCCATTCGACCAGGACCAAGTGCACCTGACATTGCTCGAGCAAGCATGGCACGTGTGCAGCTGCAAGCACTCGACCCCCGAGTGTCGCTCGCATTGATCCATGTGTGCGATGGCCTTTTGGAAGGGGGAATTTGCGTTGTCCCGGCAGATCTCGTGGGAGCAGCTTTTTCCACACCATACACAGTTGTAGGAGGTCTGCACGCAGGCGGCACAATCGGTCAGGAGCTTGCAGAGTTCCTTGTGCGACATCAGTCCACGCACCGGCGTGTCATCGAGGCACTGTATGTACGCGTCGATGTGCGAGTCCTCGTTTCTCAGAGCGTATCGAGGAATCTTCGTGACGGGCATGCAGACGCCAATCTGCTTGTCCCAGATGCACTTCACGCCTATCCTTGCGTTTAGACATTCGAGCTGATTGATCAGGGTACTGCAATTTCCTGGGGTGTACCTGCGGTGGACAGTTGTAAGGGATCGATGTCACATCCTCACCCATCGTAACATAACCCGATGAGTTTCCAGTGATTATAAAATTCCCAATATTTATACAAGATAAATGTTCTTAATTAAAATATCCGCCTCGACTTCTCTATTAAAAATGTGACATTTGGACAGCTGAAGAAGATTGTACCTTATTCAGGTTTCGCCCTCAATATTAGTACGATTTGCATGATCTGCGAAACCTGAAATGGTGTTGACTATGCAAAATTCCTTTGGCAGGCATGGTTATTATAAATTTTTCTCGTTTAAAGTAGTACAAAGAGGGGATTAGGAATCACTTGAACTTTGCTTTTGGGGATATTACTGCATGTACTCACTTCAACATGTCGGAGAACATCTGACCATCGAAGCCACCGTAGATGTACATGGACTTCTCGAAGACAGTGGCACTGTGTCCGTATCTAGGTAAGTCTACCATTTCTCTAGGCATCGGAAACTGGTACCACGAATCGCAAGTGACATCGTACGCAATCGTATCCGCCGAATAGCATCTGGCACCGTGGGAATGGAGAGTGTCGTTGTGCGTATTACCACCGAAGACCAGCATCAGTCCTCCGGTTATGAAGACGCTGGTGTGGAAGAACCGAGCCGACGGAGCAGAGGTCAATAGAGTCCAGATCCTTGTGTTAGGATGATAAGAATACAGTCTACTGGTAAGAACTTGAGTGCTCTGGGACTCCGACACGTAACCACCGTACACGTATATTAGATTCGTTAAGGGATCGTAGGCTGAGCTGTGACCGTAGCCTCCTTTGACAGGGAATCCCATTGTTTCCACTACCTGCCACTCGCGAGTGCCGAAATAATATTCCTGAATTGTATTCAGGTAACCATAATGCGGGGAGTGGCCAAATATCACAACCATTTTCTCCTTTTTACTGAAATCTTGCACCAAATTGGCCGAGTGTCCTGCCACCTGTGGAAATGAAATAAAGCTTACGAAAGTGATACCTGTGTAACAGCGAAACGATAGAACTGCAGCGATTAGGGGTTGCGGATTAAAGATTACCTGGACAGGACCGCAGATAGTCTTATTGTTACAGTTGTCGCGAACGGTGACGTTTTCCCAGACCTTCGCAGAGACATCGAACGCCCACAATTCGTTGGTCACCGTTGAGTTTTGAATAACGCCTCCGTATAAATAAATCTTATCGCCAAAGAGTACGCAAGAGTGAGCGTAACGAGGGTCGGGACGTTTGCCTGTTTCTATGTGCGGCGTTTCCCAAACGTTCCCATTAAAGTCGTAAATGTAAATCATCTTCGCTCTGTTGAAACTGTCTCCTCCGACGACATAGAGAGAGTCCCTCCAAACGACCGAACAATGACTAGCAGAGCCGTCCGGAGAGATGTCCTTGTAAGTTATAGTTTCCCAGAATCCGCGATCCGCTCTTTGGCTGCAGTCAGATCCTGAGAGAAAAAAAATCAGTGAATAAAATTGAAATGTCAAGATAAGTAATAGATTCATTTATCGATAGAAATAACTGTAATGCAGCAAGCAGATACTTCACTACCTTTGAATCCCTGTTCACAATCACACTGGTGCTTTTCACGATTGCACTTCCCCTGGCCGTAAGTATAGGAGCAATTGTTCGGACACACTTGAATATCGCAAGCTTCACCGGTCCACAAAGCATCACAAGTGCACGTATCGCCAATGCAAACACCATTACCCGAGCAATCTACCTGAGAGTACCTGTAAACACGAACACCCATTAGAAGAAGCACAGCTGCGCTCTTTTCTCCAGCTTAACCGATTTTCTCTTTTCTTTTAAACTTCTTGTAAATCTCCATGTATCAAATTACCTGCTGGGGCATGCATTGATTTTGTAGGTTATATTGAATCCGCTCATGTTGTAAGCAACATCTGAGTAGAAATACAGGAGAGCGCTCCCTGAGCGAGCAATCACTTCAGGCACGCGACGAATATGGTATGCATCCTTGTACATCAGCCCGGAAAAGACGCCGAGCAGAGGCGCCTCGACACTGTCCCCATCGTATATATACAAGTGGTCCCAGCCGCATTCGGTTGCAAATTCCTCGATGTGCATTCGTATCGATAAATTTAAGCCGCTCTCGATCAACCAGGAGCACTTTACGTCAGTCGTATAATTGCCGATTCCATCGTGGATGCTACCCGAAAGTTTCGACAACCTGCATCGCAAGGACAAAACTGTATTAATTTTCTCTTCGCAGATGACATATGGAACAAAAAGAATAACATGTGTATTTTCCGAAGCTAAATAAACTGCCGATGCTCTAAGCTTCCTAGGCCCTGCACCTAATTTCCTCCATGGACTATCCTATGAATTTGGAATCCTTAACATTACAAACACGAAGCTCCAATTTTCCGGGTGGGTGAAATTCATACAGTGAAAGTGGCTGGACCACTTAATTGTACAGAGCCACCGTGCACTTTCCCCTGGGTCTTTTAGTTAGGGTTCCCATGTATTATTTTACTCGTCTGAAAGAGTGGGATGCTTTTTGGCAATAATTCCATTTCTCCTTAAGAGATTACTCCAAAGAGACACGTTTCTCATGATGTTCAGTTAACGGTAAATAAAATACGAGCACTGCAATTCCTTAAACAAGTTAGAGTTCAACGGAGTTGGATGACTTCGCTATGCAGTCCTTCAAGGGACTCTAGAAAAAAAAAAAAAAATACAACCGGAAGTAAAAGGCGAGAAAGAGTTAAATCGGTATCGGCATCAACGAGGCTTCAAACGGTTTTCCTCGGAGTGCTCTTGGGTCCCCGTAAAAGTTCTCTCGAAAAATAACTGTGCGTAGGATGGCTAACAGATGTAATCGAGGTAAAATTCTGGAATAAGAAAGATGGCGACATGAAGTTAGGGGAGATCGGAGAGAGACCGAGATAAGCGAAAGGGTGCGGAGGGACGGAGGAAGTACCTGACTTTGCCGCCGCAGTACTGACAAGCCGGTCCCTGCCAGCCCTCGTGGCAGATGCAGCTGCCATTGACACAGTCGCCGTTGACACAATTAACCAGCTCGCAGGACTGCTCGGCAGCGGAGCTGGCCGCGCCGCTTATCGCCCCGGCCCAGATCGCGAACCACGCTATCGCGCACAACAGAGCGACGGCTCCGTCCGCCTCCGCATCGGGCAGCCTTTTCCGACGGTACTTCGACTTAAACAGAAACAAAAACATCTGCACCACTTCTGCCATTTTGGCACGCTTCCATATCAGACACCATTGCCGATAAGACCGCGACACTCGCGAACGTGCTGCCGACACTCCGAAGAAAGGAGGCGGCCAGTCGAACCAGTCGTTCTATCGAGGCCCGGACGGGACGCGGAACGAGGGCGAACCAAGATGGCGGATCGTAACCTCGCGCGGCGGCGCTAGTACTGTCATCTCGCGGAGAGTCTCAGAAGCGGTTACCAAAATCTGCCTGACCGATAATGGATGCCACGAGTTCAAATCGTGAATAGAGAGGATTTTTGAAATTCCAGAAAATTCACAAGGAATTATGGAGAAATTCGAGAAAATTAACGATCCCAGCATAGATAAAGTATGTATATTATTTGAAAATGAATGTCTCAGTTTTTCGTCCTATTGGAAGTTATACATTGACAAGAGTTTTGAGCAACGATCAAGAATGGAAAATGTAGAATATAAAAGGCGCCTTTCTTTTATCATCCTACGCTAAGAGTTCCTTGATTATCGGGACTATTAATGCACTGCGTGCTGGGCTATTTCCTGCTGGGAACACAATGCTACTGTTCTGGCAGGAAGCGGCCATGGATGGGATGCTCGTATCATCGACGTCGCATGGACGTGCCGATTCTACAAATGACATAAAACAGATGAACATCGATAGCCATTCGATCGATCCCGCGTTTTATTCCGTTCATCTTATACGTCTTTAACCCTAGAACCGCCGGCGGATTTTTTTTTGACTGTGATAGGCCATATCAAATCAGTGATTTTAACTGGGTTGGTAGTTCTAGTGTTAAAGAATAACCTACCGTTGCAATTGCAAAGGCAACTGGAAAGTCCTATCGCTCACATTATTTGTAATGACGGCGGAGCGCAAGATGGCGTCGCCCGGAAGAATAAAAGCGCTTCGATATTAACGAGCGAAACACCTTAAAAGATTAGGCTCATCCTGTTTACAGGAAAGAATCGACGCACTCGCGCGTGCTCTACGCCGCAAGCATCCGGTCGGCCACCATTTCCGTCCGGCGCAGCGTCACAGCAACATTGCAGCAACTGTCAGCAAACTGTATCGCCATTCCGATATAGGCAATGCCGCGAGGCGTGATAACGGATCCTCGACCCTCTTTGTTCTTGAGCGGCTAAGAGATTTCCCGCTTGCCTGCCTCTTTCGAAATCCGATGACTCAAATCGCGCGTAATTATCGCGAAGGCTGGAGATGGAGAGGGAAGCCATGCGTGCCGACTTTGTGCCGACGAGCGGACTCGCATCCACGTGTCTTTGTCGCCCGACAAACTCGGATCGGCGGAATGACCGGAGCTCGGCGTTCTCAAATATATAAAGTGTCGGCCTCGGCGTCGCCCCCAAAGTGACTAACGATTAGTGGGGAATCGGTCAACGCGATCAAGCGCGATTGACATCTCTCGCGAGCCGGAATACAAGGGAAGCAAAGTGCACCCCGATAAGACGCGGCGGGAAAATGGCGGCCGCCGAAATCGCAATGGCCGACGCCGGGAAAAACGCGACGAGTGAAAATGAAACCCCGAATAAAAGCGAGCTTCCGGAAGTGATGGTGGTCCAGGAAACTAAGAAAAAGGAGATCGTCGTCACGGTGGACACGACCGATAAAAGGACTCGTCGATCCCCTGGGATGGCTGACACTTATGCCGCGAAGAAGACGGTGGCGCAGGGCATGATGGACGTCGCCCTTATCACGGCGAACGCGAATCAGCTACGGTACCTGATTGAGTACCAGAGCATGAGTCCGACGTTCTACATGAATGTTGCCCTCATCTCCATAAGCCTTCTACTTCAGGTGGATAATCCCAAGTAATTAAAAAAAGAGCGCTTCCTTTTCATATTTCCGCGCCGAAATCGGGTGGGCGTCGCGCGAATGGCGGACGTTCTTCTTTTGCGCCGTTCAAATTTCAATTTCCCGCGATCCTTTTTTCTCTTTCTGTGTCGGGCTGCAGGTGTATTTTTTCGCTGTTTCACTTCACGCGAGTGCAGCTGCTGAAGCAATCAACTGTGACGTCATCGTGATTTCGCGACATGAGTCGTGCAGGAAAGTGTCCCTTGTGACGTCATCTGTGAAAAACCAAATTAAACGTACAGATTTCGCGGAGATGAATGACAAGCGTGAGGAAACGTTGAGGAATTTCGTGTCGATGAACGATCGGTCATGCATTGATAGATATTGATCCGATAGTCGGGTTATCGTGATTCGATAATCCAGAATGGAAAGATATACTTTTGAAACCTTAACTGCAATTCTTAAATAGATAAAATACGTTTTTTATCTGTAATCTTTAAATGGCTAAAAAAAATTTTTTTTCAACTAAAGTATGAACTATTTCGTCACTCATCTTTGATTATTAATGATAGAATTTTCATCATTTTTCAGATAGCCGTAGGGGTTAGTCTAATTTTCAAAGGACGCTTTGATATGAGAGGGGAATCGCATTCTCTCAATGCCAGAAGGATTAACAACTACGTCGTGGTCGGGGTTTTCCTGGTCACCATCATCAACGTCTTTGTTGCAGCATTTAGTATAAATGTGGGCGTACCTTACCCACCGCCTACCGAGAAAGTTGTGACGGACCGATTATAATTATTTTCATCGCATACCCTTTTTATTAAGAACTTTTACGTTCTAGATTGGACACTAAGTAACGTCATAACGTGCTGCTTTCCTTGTTATCTCAAACTTATCGATCTGATCCTAAATTAAAGAAAAAAGCTCATATTCATGCAAAGAATGATATGTGAAGATATTTATCTAGAATAAGTTTGTATGTAATTCTGAAACGTTGAACTGACTTGTTTAGAAGAGTAAGTCCTCAGTTTTTTTTTTTATAGAATACATTTATATATAATCTATACCTAATATTGTTCACTTAATCACTCAGTTCCTCTTCATCACTGAAGTAACAATTCTTTTTAAAACGTCTTCGTTGTCTAGTTGGTTGATGCATTGATTCGTCATATTGACCAGATGCTACCGTAAGTCTATATTTTTCAAGTTCCTTTTTATCTTGCTGAAATGAAATTTTTATAGTAAGCATTAAATGATCAAATAAATAAGATCGTTATGCAAGTGTAATTATTATAATCATAATAAATAGAATGTTCTTTACCTCTTGCCTAATTGCGGCACTAAGAGTTTCTAAATCTACAGTATCACTTTCTTCATTATCTTTATTAGTAGTATTTAATAAATGTGTACGATCTTTACTTTCTTCTTCACTGCCGCTATCAAAATAATTAGTTTCCATTTTGTACTGTTGTTTGGATCTACTCCTTTTTCTTATTTTCTTTGGTGGGGGATTTCGAGGACCTAAAGTGTTGTGACTGCATTTATAAGATAAGTGACCTTCCTCTCCACATTCATAGCAAAGTGATTTATCTGGGTAGTCCCTTCGGCGTATGAATTCTGTACTTCGACCATTATCCGCTGCTATTGAACTTTTTACAGTCCTTCCGCCAACCTGTTAATGAAAGTTTCATTTATTTACTGAGTCACATGAATGTCAAAATTACCAATATGAAATGTATTCGTACCTCTGTATTATTTAACTCTTTTGCACATTTAATAGCATCTTCCGCTTTAAGAAATAAAACAAAAGCAACACCTTTACTCCTTCTTGTAACTTTATCTTTCATAACGGTAACTCTGTAAAAAGTTATTCATTTCATTTGGATACAAGCAATCAAATAAAAAATCAATGAGATATTAGAAAGAAGCTACATCGCAGATAATCTGTTTAACTGACACAAGGCTAAAATACTAATTTTATTAATATCATAAACACCTACTTCACAATTTTACCATAGCTTTCTAAAAATTGATGAATATCATTATTGGTCAATGAATAAGGTAGATTGCTGACATAGACAGTAGATCTGCTGGGAGCTATACCACCACTCATTTTGTAAATGTATCGTCTTCAAAATGCCTCTAAAAGTTGCCAAATAACATTTTTAACAAATGATAATATTTATCCAATTTCCGACTTTAAAAAATTATAGAGTTTCACTATCAGTACTGTTTAAGTATGTTTACTACACATTGTTATGATGTATTTAACAGAAAATGAATAGGAAATACCTGAACTGTTTATAACCTCAAAACTTGAGGCACTTGTAAATGAACCCTATGCGATTAGTACAGATGTATACATGTCTTGCATGACACCAAATATATCTTTACAGATATAATCAGTGCGCCACATATATTTACACCAAATAAATAAATCTCATTAAATGGAAATTACATGGGACACGACAAATTCAGTTGACTTTATTATTGATACTTGTGCAACAGTTGTGCGCATAAACGTCAGTAACAGCGCGCGCATTGATGATGAATTCAATTTTTCATCAGAGTATGACCATAAATTAAAGTGAAAATGGGCAGTGTTCATAGTAGAGGGAAATATTACAATAGTTGTAATTAAGGTTCTTATGCTTTACTTTCCTCCGGTATAGTACAGTATGTACATTTCATTTGACATACAGCAAAAACTTCATCGTAAACAGTGATGAACTTTGTTTAAAGAAATTTATTTGTTGCGATTTCACGAATATTAATCAGTTGCTTAATTCTTGAATTCTACTCGCCAAAGGCTAATTTGAAAGTAATAAAAGTTCGTCGGCTTAATTTACTAACACTATTAACATTGTAAGTCTTCGCTTTAGGTGCCACGGGGGATTGTATCTTTTCCATTTTACACCTCCGCGGTCTTTTAACTGACCGATTCTCAGACGAGACTGCCCTTTCGAAAACAAATGTAGATTTTACTAGGTTCAAGGCCTCCCCTGCAAACGAAAAAAAGGATCGAATTAGTCTGTAAATTCAAGTTATGTTCCGCTGATCTTAGTTATCTACGGAAACTTCTAAAGTGAATATTTTTGGTTATCTATAAGCGATTCATTCTCCTGTATTAAAATTGAACGATTATAATTTTAGTAACTATTATTACTTAAAACACTGCACTGGGTTTAATCGATAGAATAGAATAAATCTTACGTTCACGTTCGGGTAAATTCAGATCACTCATCTCATCAATATTTTGCATAAATAAATTATACGAATCCTCTATATCGGGCACCCTTGATAAGAAATCCGGATCGCGGGTAGAAAGGTAACATAAAAACATTATTCCTTCTCTTACAACTTCCAATCGCTTCCTTTTCACTCTCTGCCGAAAACTGTCATCGAGCTTTGCCCAATTTTTACATGCTACTACTTTATTATGAATCCACACATCGTTGGATCGGTTCTGGGCACTCAGACGATGATTTCCAAATACGGTTTTCACATCCTCATCAGTAGTGAATTTTTCTATATGACATTTATCTAAAATATTGAAGTCAACATTCGAGCATTTACATAAAGTCGTCACAGCAAGTTTTAGCAGCTTCTTGAAACAATTGCATGAATGTGACGTATCCATATTTTGTGGCACCGTGTCAGTACTCAAAGCACGGTGTGCAAATCGCAAGATTACCCTTCCAAATTTTACCAATGTAATAGGATCCAGTTCAAAGTGTTGTACGTGTGCAATGAAGATTTCCAAGGGGCAGGAATCTAAAAGTGCCGAATAAAATATAGAATGACATATTGACATAATATTCTACGATACCTTTAATATTGCACATTTTCAATGAGTGTCTCGTGCAAAATACGATGAAATAGATAATAAATAACAAATTCAATAAATTACTGTTTGTAAAATGCGGTACGTCCTGTCGAATTCTCACTGCCGATGATTCTGTAAACATTAATACAGGTATTAATAATTACAAAAATTAATTGACGCCGTTACATTATGGATGAAAATAAATTTTAATTTCCCAAAGCAATCACAGTATACATACTCGCGTTGTTACAAAGCTTCTGAGCGAATTCATTGCATCTGCTGAATGTCGCCATTGTTTTAACTAAATTGACTTGACACAACGATAATGGCCTCGAGAATACTGCCTCTTTGAAGATATCGGAGACATATTTCAACCTGCGAAGCAGAAATACGAACAATATATATTAAAGTAAATAATGATTAACCTTCTGAGAGCACTGCGATAGGTTTTTGAATGAAAATAATTTACCCATTGCTGCAGAATCCTAATCTTTTCTGTACATTGCGTAAGACATTGAGAATCGCACATATAAGGCCACTGAATTGATGAGATCTTCTCTGAAACAAATATGACTCGAAAGGTGTACAAGAAACATTGAGGTATTCTTGAAACGGACACGAGTGATAAAAAATTTCTTCTAGCAACAAATCCACACAGAAAAAGAGATTCGAAATGAATTCGTACCACGAATCCAACCGCAGTCATGAATTCCAAAAACAGCTCTAGCATTTCAAACTGGCACCCCCTTTTATGCCACGCTTTGTAACTGGTCATTTGTTCGGCATAATGATTGTATTTCGGATCACTGTCCGTTAACAGCGTAGCCTTTCCTGCAATGTACTTATTGAGATCCGAGGAAGCTGTCGCAATATACGACAGAACTCCGACTATTCTCCGAGCCTCGACACCTCGTTCTTCTTCGTACCAAGCTTCAGGATCGCAGACAGTTTGCGTATAATCGAACTGGGTCTCGTAAAAATCGGAAAAATATACATCGTCCATATCCTTGATATCGTCGTCCTGCATCGCGTGAGAGATCCTCTGTAACACCTCCGTCGTGTTTAACAATAATTCCTTGGCAGTCAACAATAACTGTAAAAGAAATCAGCTCATTAGACAAAATGTTCCCTTGTTCAGTAAGCGAAGAAAAAACATTACACGGAAATATTGAGAATCAGAAAGGTAACTCTGCGGAAAATATTTGTTGGACTTAACGATAGCAAATCTCATGATTCTCTTTAAACCGCTTACTTTATTAATTGCAGGAGATACGTCAACTGCGTTGCATTCTTCCAACGATTTGTCGATCATTCCAGCAATTTCAGGTACAACAAACTCTACGTTCAATATCTTACTGTCTACCAGAGTTGTTTTCGGGCTCACCAGTTGTGGATTCTCTACGGCAGACAAAATATGGTTTTCTTCGCATCGGATATCAACCGTACATGATTCATCGTACAATGCATTTCCTACTTTTATATTTTCTTCATATCGTTTATATTATCAATAAAATTAACGATAAAGTTTTACTTACCGAATATTCTAAACTCGTCCTCATCCTGTAATATTGGTAGATATTTTTTACCATGTTTCGCATTGATTTCGAGGTCGATCAGAAATTTTTCAGGTAGCGATGGCTTAAAAATAGATCGTGGCATTCTTTTAATGGGATACTCTAAAAATTGGAGAGCAATGAACACTCATGATGGGACATAAGGGTAAATTAACTTGCCGATAAAAGTAATTAGGTTTCTACAAACTACGATTCTTACGAGTTGGTCTTGCTATTTTGGTTTTCTTATCTCTGTCAGTTTGTACGCTGATTTCACAAACTTTGATAGATTTTTCCTTATTGGTGGAACTAAAATCAAAATCGAAACATTTACAATTATGAGAAATAATGAAATATATCCTTATGAATATGTATGCTAGCAAAAAAAGATGACATAAAATATAATGGATACCAATGATACAAAAATATCCTCACCGACTAATGGACGTGTTAAGTGTACTTGTTAGTACGGATTCCTTGTTAATTGCATGCGGTTCTGTGAGTTTGACGGACCCTGATTCCAACAATTTACATTTTTCCATCAAGCCACTCAATTGCAACGTCTAGCAAAAAAAATATCTTGAGAAAAAAATTAGATTTTGTAAATTATTTTTTATATAAACAAAAGAGGAAATTAAACCTGAAAATCAAGTTGCGTTTTCAATTTCTCCTGCTCTTTATGCACAGCGTTAAGTTCTGCCTTGTGACGAGCAGTCTGTTCTTCGATGAGACGAACATTTTCCATGTTGGCAGTATCTAAACGTATCTTTAATTGTTGCAGCTGTTTACGAAGAAAGTCTGTTTCTCCTTGTTTAGTTATAAAGTCTTCCAATAATTTTTTGTACTGCTGGTCCAACTTTTTTAAAGACTGCGATGGAACATCATCTAAAAATCATCCAGCGTATACTACGTAATACAACGTATTTATATTAATAAATATCTATAATGTAAAGATGATCAATTTTACTTGTAATAACGATGACATCATCCCGAGGACAGAATGTTGAATTTCGATCAACTTTATCCAATAAATTTGATTTAAAATCATCAAATACGCCTAAACTGTCTGCCTGAAAAGTTTTCGTCATTTCGGAGGAGGCAAGTTTTTGGGAATGTTGTACCGGTATGCATTGTTGGACATTTTGCTTCCTTTGGTTTTCAGAGAACATATGTTTAACATTATTTTGAAAAGGTCTATCATAACTATTAGAATCCAACTGCCTCATCGGTTGAAAATTCGTTACAGGATCAGGTCCTTTATAAGAACTGGTCGAAGGTATTGGGTTACTAGGACCCGGAGCAGGATCGATATGTTTTAATGTTTCATTTGAAGATTTTTGATCGCTTTCCAAATACTGGGAAGAAAAATACGAGTAATTAGGTTGCTGCATCCTGGAGTAAAAATCATCACATCCTATATATTCCATATATAACATTAACCAAAATTCACTGACATATGAACAACTCTAATTATGTACATTCTTACTTGAGAAGCGATAAAATCTATTTCTTCTATCACATCCTCCTCAAAATCTTCGCCCCAAAGATCATTGAACACGGAAGCTTCGTTGTTTGTCTGCCTCTCGGTTGTAGCATGCTGTACACTTCCTCTAGTTATTTCCAGCTTTGCCCGTTTGGAAGTAGATGCAATATTTGGCAATTTGATGTATCTTTTAGACATTTTTCCTATGTTAACAAATTATATTTTGTAGGAATAAACACATTAAAACAATAATCCCGATTACAATTGCAGAGAAAATCTTATTTGACATCTTCACTTTAAAAATCTGGGAACGATACTTTAACTACGGTTGATTACATATTTACATGTCACATGATATAAAAAATATATTACAGAACAAAACTTAGAGTTATTAGTGACGAACATTTGAGCATCGCTTTGTACATGAATTTTAAAGTAATTAACTTTAACATAAACCGTCCAAAGTCTACTTAAAACCAAGTTGGTTAGAAATTCCTCTCAGAGGCAATAATGATGCACAATAACTCAAATAAAATACCTTTGTAAAATACTGTACACCAATTGTCATGGACAAACACTGTTACAACAATGTACTTGATGTATTCACACTTTGTTTTTGCATTAAACGTTCACTGCACGTGCAGAACAAGCACGAAAAGGGTCTGTGAAACCAGTTAACAGAGGTTAGAAACAGGGCCAGCTTGTACTGGCAAATCGAACGTTTTTAAGGTTCCTTTTGACGTTTTATTTTCCTCAGGCGCCCCAATACGTTCACATGGCATTTCAGCAAACAACTGTCACCAACCATCTCGTTTCGCGCGCGTAATACGTGAAACATCTCTGAGATGCTGTCAAATTTTGTATAACAAAGAGGTGAAAAGTGTGGCGGCCATATTTAAAGGTTTGCCACTGCACACCACTGCATTGACAAACTTGACCATAGAATACTGGCGTCACCTGGGGAAATAGATGGGCATGATGGAAACCATTTTGATTGGATGTTCAAAACTATCACGTGACCATTTCTAAAGTCACGTGACAAATATATTTGGGTCTCTCTCTATCGTGCGATAAGACTGCTCAGCTGTTACGCAGAAGGGAGTAGAAAGAAAAAAGATCTGTCATCTTTTCGTTTGCAATTGCTGAAGGTGCATGTAAAATGTCAGTTCGCAAGTGATCGCAGATTTATTCTTTAATCTCTAATCTGCGTACGTCCGTAATGTCGCTGATTTTCTTTGATTTACAGTCATTGAATGTATATTTGATATTTTTTATAGCTAGGGCGATGAGTCCATTTGCATGTTTGCAAAGCAAATTATTCTGAATCTCGGTGGAAAAGACTGTTGGATAAAGTCGCGGTTGTAAGAAAGACTATTCAAGGAGAAGTGATACACAGTAATATGGCCTCGGCATCGAGCACTAGTGCTCGCAGTCTGTTCATAGACTCGAAGATGAGATTAGCCGATAGAGTTCAAGTGAATGTAAACAATATCGCTTCACTTGCTAGACAAATACAGAGAGGTTCCAAAAGTAGCGAGGTGAGCACTCTGTTATTATTCATTCCTTTAATCCATTACGGTACATGATCAATTAATGATCATTATTACAAAAATTGAATTAATAAAAAAATCGGGATTACGTTTTTTACTTTTCCAGATATTGTTGCACAGTGCAAAGAATTTTGCGTGTCAAGAGCATGGTTTAGCGAATGCAGAAGCTAACTTGAAAAAACTTGCATACATTACGTCAAATATGGAACTGCAGTTTGAGTCGATTGACCAAGGTTTTGGAAAACTGGAAGAGGTTACCGAGCAAGTGCGAGCGATGCAACGTTAAGTTAGGTTGAATGATTTAATTCAACTACATCCGAAAAAACTGTTCACTACCATCGAGATTGCAGAAAATAAATAAGCCCACTCCAAAAAGTACAGCAGCAACAGTCAGTCGTTCGCAAAACACAGTTACATCGTGCTGTACCGATTTCGATCTTTCCAATTGTGATATTTTGAAATATCTTCCTTCATTGATGGCCAGTGACATTGTGTTGATAATTTGCGACAGCGTACTTTTTTACTTGTTCTATATTTTGTACATGATTGTAGCTCTAGTTTATGTTAATTCTTTTTACACATATTTTCTGTAGTACATACATATACCGTATGTGAAAATGTAAGTTTACGACATGTATTGTTGACTTCCTGTTAATAAAATGTGTACTACTCGATACTGTGGTTCAATACCCTATTATTGTGACGTAAACTTTTTTACATTTGTATCGTTTCGTATTTATTAAATATCTTATCAAGCCTTTTAACGCTGTTATACGTGTGTATGGACTTACAACTTGAGTGCAATTTCGTACAAAAGAAATTATTCTTATTGTCAAAAAAATAGGGATCAACTTCATGGACATGGTACGAGCAGTCACGAGCGGTCTGTGCGCAAAGAATTCAGAAGTCCCATAGAAGCCCAGATCCTATGTTAGCGCTTGATGCTCTAAAAGTTGGCTAACAAACCAGAAGTGGGGGTAAAAAAGAGATCGCACGTGTTAGCCAACGATATCTCACGTACGGGAGGAAGAGAGACGCATATAGAAAGGCGAGTATTGGGTGTAAGATAAAGAAAGAATGCAATCGCTATATATCGCCATAAGATTAAGAGAGATGGAGAGATGATTACAGCGCCGCCATCCGTTGGCTAACATACTATTTATCGAGCATCGAACGTCCGTATCCTTCTGGGCTTCTATGGAGACTTCTGAATTCTTTGCTGTGCGCCACTGTTCTGTAATTACGTTCAATGCACGTAATAATTCTCTTATTTGTATCTCTCTTTTCTGTGACTTTCCATATTTTGACATTCCAGAAATGAGAATGAGGCAAAAGGAGAACGTGATTTATTACAAACTGTCGGTTTCTAAAATATTCTGATAATGGAGGATGAAATTCTCGCCAATTCAGGTAGAAATTATGCTTTTATACCATATAAATGTTCATCACAAATCTCACCTTTTTTAAGTACAATTTTTCAGCATTTGTAAAATAATGTGTGAAGGAACTTTTTTCATTATTTATTATCTGTCTAAAATGAATAAGCAAATATTGTAGAATCTTAATATATCTTACAACAAAAATTATATGCAGGTGGACTGTCGGAGAAATCCCATAGTTTTTTAGAAAATGAATTGTATTGATTCCAATTTATTTTTTTACCTAGAATGGTGCGGTGTACCTTCCACCTGACAAATCCTGACAAAACCCTACACAGGAGGGAAGCAAACCGACAGGTTAAAAAAAAGAAGAAATGGAACAAAATTCCAGGCGAGACATGCTTTTGGAAATTAAATCATATATATCCAGTTATAAAATCTGCAGGGTGGGATTAGTGAGTTCCGTTCACATTGTCTTTAGGTGAAATGAAATCGGAAGTGAACAGTATTTGGCCAATCCAAAACTTGTTGAACGTGATCGTGATCATTTTTGCTGTTTAGTTTGTCATCTTGCATAAAAAAACCTTTTTCAGATGGACAAGAAAAGAATTATTCAAAATATGTCAAAGACTTTGGATTTTGTTAGAAAACTTGAAATACATTGGTTTCACAGCTTCGACTTACATAGAAGGCTACATTTTTAAAAGGTGTAATTATTCTTCTAATAGGAATTGAAAGTGATGAGAGAAATGAGATCGATGAATCCTTTATTTCGTTAACGGAAGTACCACTGGAGTGCTGTGGAAACGGATGTAATCCATGTATTCTTGATGTTCAGAAGGAGCTTACCGAATCACAATATAGGAGTGCAAAAAATAATTTGTTGACCCTTACGTCATATAAAACATTTTTTGTGAGCAGTACTCTCGATTTTGGCGACAGCTACTTACTTATTAAGTTAAATTGGAAAGGTAAATAAAGGCTCCATGAATCCCTTACAAAGTTAAAATTTTACAAAATGACTGAAGGTGTAATTACGTTGGCAACATTTGTAAAGGTGACGCCGCAGGCAAAGCTGTGTCTCTAAATCCAGGTCAACATGTTGTTTTACGGATTTCTTCTGTTACGAGACCTTTCACACCCCTATCTTGGACATCGGCAAGTTTACTGTTTTTGGTAAAATTGTACGAAAAGGGCATTTTTAGTCAACACTTGAGACAGCTCAAAGAAGGGGATAGCATTGACATCAGAGGACCATATGGACAATTTGTTTACAATGAAAACAGGTATAAGAAGCACAACGTCTCAACCTCCATAATTAAATTGTGAAACAATTAATTCATTTTACAGTCATGAAACTAAAGATCAACATATTGTTCATTATTACAGTTTTGGTCAAGTTATTATGTTGAGCATCGGCACTGGAATAGCTCCCATGTACTCGATAGCAAAATCAATCATCGACAATGAAATGGAAGAAACAAAGGTTCACTTAATAGCTGGATTTCGATCTCTAAATTGTGTGCCTCTAAAAAAGAACTTACGAGTCCTGTCAGATTATTGGAATTTCACATGTACTTTGCAAATATCTCAGTACGGTAAGTTTAATATTCAAATTGTACCCGATCACGCCTAAACAATGGTGTTGTACAATTTCCTCGACAGGTGCAACCGATGGGATGACCGGTATAAATATAGAAAGTGGTCGATTGGATAAGAACAAGGTTTCCAATTTGTTGGAATCACATTGTCCAGAAACGACCTTGATTTTAATATGTGGAACACCAGAGTTCAATGAATCTGTCGAACACTGGGTACGGGGATGTAATTTCAATCATCTACATGTATTTAAGTGAGCCAGTAATTTATCATAAATTGAACGTCAAATAGATCAAAGAATTTGTACAGATTTAAACTTGTGCCACGATAGGTGCAATTAAAACCTAGCAAATTAATATTTTTGTATAGTAAATTGTTATTGTTAAGACTTCAAAATAAATATTTTTTCTGAGAAAGACCTGGACTTCTCGTTTTATAGTCCTAAGCTGAGATTTAAGCGACCGAGACAACCAACGACCGAAGCTCTTTGGACTTTTTACAACTTTTATTTCATATACATTAATATTAAATATCATATTTGAGAGTCATTTAATCACGATCACTAACCACTTATCTCACAATAATATTTAGCGTTCCATGTTCTCCGTTGAACTTCACACTAATAAAAGTACATACAATGGCAAAGTCGATTTTAAATTCATGTACACGTTCCAGCAAACGTACTGCTCCTCCACAGTATTTCATTTCCCATCCAATGGGCAGTGTACTTAATATTTTTCATTTCCCGTGGCTCATTGTCCATCAAGAAGCATGGTCTGCAGTAATCGACACCTGTTGCATGAACTCCAATCATGGAAAGGTATCGAACCGATCGACTGTTAATATTTAGCAAATTGATGTTCAGCGATACAATAACTACACCTTACGACTCCCAGTTTCAGCATTTCACTGAAATTCTGAAATTTCCTGCAATGCCGTTCCTGATCCTTCTACTTCCATACGAAAGTCTCAGAAAAAGAAACATCTTCTATCACAACTCTTCGATGATGAAAAAATTTACAACGGTACCTGCTTGATTCAGATCCATTAATACACATTGGAAACATGTACACAATTATCGCGATTTCAAAATCAACAAACAAGGATTGTTAGACTGAATTTTGCACAATGATTGAAGTTAAGAAAAGAAACAGAACGTACTCTCTATAGGAACGTAAATGCATGTCGATCGTATAATTCAAATATGCTAATTTCTTCGAAACAATTATTTTTCCACGCCTCAACCGTTCGACTCCAAAATGGCGAAAACTAATTTCCCGACGACATGTCTTTGCTTTTAGTTTTTTTTAAGAATCTTCACCGGATATTAATTCAATTTATTGCTCCGAGTCTGATTTAGCAGGTACCGACAGAGTGGTTAATTCAGCGTACTAGATTACGGAAGGAAAAGAAAGAGGACACGTTTCCGAGAAAAAAATTAAGTGATCGAAAAAAAATTAACGCGTCGGTATGGACATCAAAGGACGATGAGAAATTGACGCTCAACCCGGACGAGTGACGACGGAATCGGAGTAACAACACGCGAAAGTTCTTCCTTGGAAGTGAACCGATGAACGAGTGCTCGCATCCAGCGATCACAGGCGGCGATAGTTCAAGAAAACAGGATCTCGAGGTCGTCCATGTCCGAGATGGAGAAGTCATCGGAGAGATCGTCCATGTCGACGTTCGGATCGTATTCTATACTGTCGTCAGTGGACTCGTCTCCGTCGCCCCGATCGTCGTCGTCGTCATTGTCGTCGCCTTCGTTCAGATCGTTGTCTTCTCCATTATCTTCCCCAGCTGCGTCAGGAGTATCTGCGTCTGTCAAAGATAATCGATACAACATAACCTAACAAAACCTCCCATCGGTGATGGTCACTTCGATGGGAGGATTTCTACATAATATTAAGCCGAGGGTAAAATAAAGTCCAGGGAAAATCGTGCAAATTCATATCTTTTCATTTTCGACTCACCGTCTGCATTGTTATCGTCGGATGCAGAGTTGGAGCCATCGTCGTCGCTGGCATCCAGGTCTTCCTCGTCGTCATCCTCTTCCCCCTCGTCTTCGTCGTCCCTTACTCTGCCAACGTCGTACAATCTGACACAAGATTCCTGGATGCTGTCGAACTCGCCCTGATTCTCCACAATGGCGATCTGCGTGTCGAACTTGTTGCAAGCCAGATCGTAGATGCCCTTCTTCACATCGTAGGTTGCTAAAATGCAGATTTAACGGTGAAAACAATTTTCAATCGTGACCTCGAGTTACCCTGATTATAAACTTAATTCTTATCCAAATCTTGAAATACCTAGTAATGGGGAACTTAAAAAAGAAAAAAAAAATGTATTCTCGTCATGCTCCAGACGGTTATTTTTTCTCACTTGGTGCATAAATAACCATACCTATACTGTTGTAATCCAAGGCGTCAAGAGTTTGGAAGGAAGTGACGTAGAGAGAGTCGTCCTCGGTTTCCTGGTCCACAGAAACGGCGTATATGATGTTATTGACCGGGGAGAATATAACCTCCAACTGGTCCAGAGTAGGAACGGTCTTCAGGAGGTGAAACGTTCTAAGATCCCAGACCTCGGTGTTGGACACGACCTCGGTGCCATTCGGATGAAAGACGCCGTTCAACGTTTGATTGAGTTTATCGAACTTGTGGATTTCCTTCCCTGAGTTAACGTCCCAGAGGATGCCATCGCTGAGGACCAGCTCGTCGTTCATGCTGAACGTAGCTCGGTTTTTCGTGTACTGGTTCGAGATCGACGGCGTCAAAGTGGTCAGCAATTTTCCAGTCGCGATGTCGTATATCTGGAAAAGCAGATGTACTTCGATACACCGACAAAACGATTTTACATGTTTCAATTAACCCACGAGTGCGCGCATGCAAGCATGAACTCAAAGTTAATGTACAGGTACATACCGTAGCATTCTTTCCCTGCGTTCCAATAATCTTGTCCTGCAGTTTCCCAAACTCGACGTGGTCCTCGTTTTCCAAGGGTAGCTTCATGTCGAAGAACGTCCCTATACTCCAGAGAGCAGACATCGGGCTCCTCCAGGCTGTCGACGTAAGGAGTAAATTCCCCTTTTGATTACACTCCATGTGATAGATGTAAGACTCGTGGCACTGATAAGTCGCTTCCTCCGTGCCCGTGTGGGCATTGAACAGCTTCACATCCCCGGAGTACGTCCCCAGCATCAGGTATTGTTGACAAGGCTTAAAAGAAATTAAATGAAAATTCAAGTGTAGTTATTTAAGTATATTCAAGTAGGTATATTTAAAATGTGAGGTCTTACCGAGAACGTGCAACAGGTGAATGGCCCTTCGACGTCGGTTGGACGGAAAGACTTGACCGGACAAAATCGACTGTAGATGTATCTCCTGTCCAATCTTCTGCCGTCCATTCCCAGGGCTCTCCTCGCAAGTCTGACGGCGATGTTGGTAGGAACGGAATTATTTGTACACGGGTCTGGACACTTGTGGGGTCTGCGAATGAATCGTGTTAAACGTTTTAACGCGACAAATCCGAGCTTACCGAGATAAATGGCGACAGGGAATACAGTACTCACTCGAATAAATTAAACTGTGGACACGTCACCATGGGATTCTTGCAGAGAGCGTGCTGGTTGGTCAGATATTCCGTGATGATGGAGTCGAGGGTGATCGTCGCCACATTAGCCGAGGTAGCGATACCAGGACCGATTCCACCCCCAGGATCTCTGGAGATCTGTTTCTGTAGCGACCGGCTGGTAGTTTGTTGAAGTTGCATCAAGGATTGGTTATTCGTCGGAGTTTGCGTAGGTGGCCTGTCAGGTTGGCTGCATTTCCTGAAAATTGAGTAGAATTAAAATAATATCCATCGTTCGGTTTAATTATACCTTGTATATATTTTCTTTAAGACGATACGAAAGTGACTCACTTTTGATTGATCTGAAGTTTAATCGGTTGCCATGTACTGTTCGTCACAGGACTCTGGGCGAGGCAATCCGACAACTTCATCCGGATGGAGTTGTTGGACAACGGCGAAGATGTGGAACACGTTCCGGAATGTGAGACGAAGCGAGACGATCCAGAGGTCGGCGTGGAGTTTCCTCTTGCGGTGACACTGCACACGTCTCTCTGGGCACACCTGCTCGTGTTGTACAGATTCGCCGGAGCCCCGGGAGAAAACCCCACTCTTGACTAAAATTAAAGAAATAAATTAACCATTTAAATAATTCAAAATCTACATTAAAAAACGATTGACTCCTCGTGTCCACTTTCATGTCCCTTTAAAAACATGTGTAAAAAAAAATGGGAGAACAGGATAAGTAAATGATATGAAGCCACTAACGAAGTTAACACTGACTCCCGATGGCGCCGGACTTCTATACGTGAACGGCAGGCAAGAAGTTACTGGTTTCATGACTGCATGCGATTCCAAATTCGCTTCTCGTTGAAAAGTCGTAGCAGTGTCATTCATCCCTTTCGAAATCAAGTGTTGATAAATCAAGTGGTTCAGTTGCTGCTCGTTGTACTGTATTCTCGTCTGCGCAACTACGTTGGCCTGGAAAAAAAAAAAAAAAATGAATACCTCGAGGTAACGACGGCCTCATTCATTCCTAGGAATCAGGGATTACGATTATTTACCCTGTGCAAGCTGACGAGAGAGATCTCGTACTCGGCGCCGGTCGGCTTCGCTTTCCCCGACACGCGCTCCATTAATTCCAGGGCGTATTTTTGAAACGTCACGTGTTCCTGACGTTTCTCCTGAAGAATTGGGTCCTTCATGAGCGCCTGGATCTGCCCATCGGTGAACATCGGCAATTTACTGATGATTTGCCTAACTTTCTCGCTGCGAGCCAATCCCGCAAGTGCACGACAAGCCAAAGCTCGGATGCTGTCGGCATCGGTAATGGGAGTTTTTACCATCATCAACTGAAGCAGCACCTAAAAACACAAATTAAATGAACATAAATATCCCTTTCAAGATGAAAAAAGTTTTCACTAATCATCATGGATCGCAGTAATAATCCAACTGTACCATAATTCCATTGTTCGATCGAACACTTTCCCAGACTTTTTGAATGAGCTCCTCGCTGTTATGCATGTTCGTCTTCTTTTTGGCCGAACCAGTTAGGGAGTATCGAGCCACATTTCCACCAACCTGGAAATCAGTAGGAGGGTTACTTAAAATTCTTTAGAAATTTGGACTTGATATTGGTTTTCTCCCTGTTCTGTTAAATATCTCCACGAATTGGAATTTTTATACAGCACAAAGACTGGTAAAATATATCCGTAAAGAATATAATAAACAATTATATACTCTGTTCATCGGTGCACAGACACAGTTAACTACAGCTCTGAGCGCAGCTCTCTGTACATCGGCATCCGCAATGATCTCACATTCGGCAGCAGCTAGTAAAAGATTTATTGCCATTGTCATAGACATATCTGGCATGTCAACTTTCTCGCAGAGTAGTAACATTACTTTGGGTACTACGGAACAAATTGCGATTACGTCTAGGCAAGACCTTACAGTCTCCGCACTCGAAGTCGTGTGGACCCTAAAGAAAGGGAAATAATTATAATTTCTTGAATGACGTGTAAATTATTTATATGAATTGAGAAATCAGTCAAAACAATGGTACTTACCTTCCGCTGTAATTCCATTCTCTAGCGAAAGCAATAATTTGCAACAAGAGGGTTATACCGCCAAGCCTGTGAAGTTCTTCGACCGGAGGCCATACCGCTCTCACCGATATGAGTTCTTGCAAAATTTCAACCTTTGCTTGCACCTCCTCGCTACTTAATTTGCAAGCCTTAAAATCGAGTTAACTGATTAATTGTTCAATTAAGACAAAACGTAATTAAATTCCAATAGCATAACCTCAATACCTACGGTATACTGGACATTGCCTCAGAAACTAACCTAATATTGTAACATATCACGTACCTTATACGGTGGTAAAGACGGTTGCCAGTTGTCCCTTTCGGTCCTAGCATTTTCAGCTCTTTGCAATTGTTCGGCTTTTATATATAAATGCGCTTCCATGTATCGTTTAAGTGCAACAGCGACGTGCCTGACGATCTGCCTGGAGGCACACTCTTCGTCATCGTTCAAAGCTGGCTCCTCCTCGATATTCAGTATCGGTAAAGTGGATATCTATTACAAAGATAACTTATATCCCAACCACTCATAAACCACACAATTAACCACTTATTAATAGTCAACAAGACCACATTAATTCCCTACCACATTGAACAGTTTCCTCAATCCATCCTGAGCATCGAACTCCTCCAAGATAACCTTGAAGGGGAACGAAAATCCAAAGAACATGGTAGCATGGCATCTTCCAGAGTCGTGACTCCTCTCGAGTAACCAGAGCGCGTAACTGACCAGGTCAGAAATAATGTGTTTCGGTAGAAGACAAACGCGTTCCATGGCATCCTCGCAATAAGCTAGATAATACAGACATATCGAGACTCCAGTGGCAGCAACGCTGGGTCTGGATACATCAAGGAGCTTCTGCAAGCCTCGGACATTAAGGAACTCGATGGAGAACTTTTTGTGGCACAGGAGAGAAGCGAGGTACTTGAGTGCTTCGAAGGCGAGTCGACTGTCCTTGGTCTCGCGCACGTTAATATACTTGAGGATGAGTTCCAGAGCGTTCTGCTCGAACACATGACCAAGGAACTCCTGGTACTCGCCCATGGGGGTTAAGTATCTGAGTATGAGCATCTGCCGAGTGGCTAGGGTAGGCGGATGGATCTGAACGTTTCCTATGACATAGGACTCCATCTCTGCCCAGGAGGAATTGGAGTTGCACTCCACGTTGTTCGACGGCGCGTTCTGCTGGGAGGACGTTCTGGACAAACAAGACCTGAGAGGGGTGGATGCTGCGATGGACCTGGGCGGAGTCACCCTGGAGTTCTGGTTTTTCGAAGGGGGCACTTTGGGCACTGCCAGAGGTGGTGACATTATCTCAGGGTAGGAGGAGTTCGCGTTATTCTTTACAGGAGTTACTCCTGGTGTAGCGTCGCTCTCGGAATCGCTCTTCAGTTTCTTGCTCGGCGGCGCTTCGTCAGGATTCTCGAGTTCCTCCTCATCGGAGAGGCTCGCATGGGTCGGACTCTTCAGGACGCCGTTCTCGCGCCTCTTTTCCCGGACTTTCCGCTTCCCTGGCGTGCCCTTGGTCTCGGAATCGCCGGATGTGCTTCTGTTCTGGCCCAGGTGAGCGAAGGGTCTGGCGTTTGCCATCGCTTGTCGGTCCTCCTGCGCCTTCTCCTGAAGCTTGTGCAGTCTTTGTAGCATCAGCGGTACCATTTTTCCATTCTGTTCCCGGAACCCGGTGGCGATGTCCTGGACCTCCATCGCAGCAGCCAGGAGACCGGTGGCGTAACTCTGAAGAGGCTCCACGCTCTTTTCTGCCCAGGAGAAGAGCCGATGTATCAGACCCTCCATGTCAGGCTGGAATACTGCCGACGTCTCCAGACCAGGAAGAATGTCCAGCATTAAGCGACAGGCTGCAATGTTCAATTTCCGCACGTCCATACCAACGGCCCCTGCCCGCGACCAGTATGTGTCTCTTAAGTAATCGTTGATTAACTGCATGGAAAAAATAACATTAGAATTAGAATTAGAAAAAATAACATTAGAATTCTAGTTGTAGGGATAAAAACGTTTGTGCACCACTTACCTTTGTCATAAAATTGTCTTTTCTAAATAGTACTTTAAGAATGTGACCAAAATTGCATTCGGGGTCCGTCCGAGAGGGGTGCCTCTCGTCGAACGGATCGGGATCCATTTTCAGATAGTTTTCTGTTTCGAGCTCGATGATCTCGGCTAATCGTTGAAGCGTCGGAATGGGATCGTGCATCGGAGAGAGGTTTTCTTCCCATAGGCGCAAAATTTGAGCTACATCCGTCACCTCTGCCAATGCCTCCGCCGTTGCCATTATAACAAAGTTGCAAGAGAAGTTCTTATTCACAAGTAGTTGATTCTAATTTTTTGTATTGTGTGAATTGATGCTGGAAAAAATATTTTCTCATTTATGTCAATTATATCGTACCCGACATTTAATTAACATTCTCCAACAAATAAAGTATCAATGCGAACGGAATCACCTAACCTCTTTCTGCCAATTTAGTTTAAAGATTAAACACTGTTATATGATGTTAAAATATATCCATGAGAGATATTAAATTCATATTGTAAAAATTTCAAATAATCAGAAACATTAAATTTAGTGTTGAAATGGTAGTAAAAAAAAAAAGTACAATCCTACCAAACTCATTTTTAATAAATAACGTATGCACGTGAAAGTATTACATGTACCCGACACTATTTATATGCAATTAAAATAACCCCTGCAATTTGATCGAACAAAAATCAAAGTCTTACATCGATACCTTTAAAAATTAGTGTTTAACTCTTGAAACTAATTTCGGGTCAACGATCCAGGAAAAACATTTTTTTTTTAATTCCTTCTCATCGGCAAAAATGGAATTTTCTTACAATCGTAGTAAGTCATAAAATCCCTACTTCAAATTAATCGTCGAGCAACCAGACAATGGGCTTTCTACTGTCAAGCAAGTCTTTACATCTGCAAATGTAAATATTTAATTTAAGTGCAATACCGTTAAATGAAATAAACCGACGTCGGTAAAGTCACATAACCTCTCCTCCACTTCATTCTTAATCTAACAGAGATTAAACTTCGAGGCAAAACGCGATGAGTATCACAGATGTGAGACTAACGACATTAACGAAGATTTCCGAAGAATCGAGCAACTTAAATTCGGTATATTGCCGGCAATAAGTGAAACATAATATTCATGGCAAATCCCCAAAGGAAACCGTCCATACGAAGGTGTCGCGTGTCCCTCGTTAGAGGTTATGATCGGCAGGAGGTGTTTTCAGGAATTCTTGCAGTGACAGCGCTTCATTTCATACCTTCGTGGCTTGCGGAGTTACGTTTGATTCCTCCCGAGTCCTTAAATCAATTTTAATTCCTTCGTTACGTCAATTGGCGACGTTTTTTGTGAAAATAACGTAGGGCCAGATAACGAAGCTGTCCTCCCACGGAACACAAAACTCTGATTCGACGAATCGCGCGAATACACCGAAGTTACGCACTTAATAGGCGCATGGTCGGTGGAATACTGCGCGCGCATGCCGCAAATCACGTGATTATCACCGATACGAGATCCGCTTCAATGTAGTATAAATCGAAGATAAAGATAAACGTATACAATAATCGTGCGGGCAAGAGAGACAGTATCGAGGTTTTCGCGGGGTACTTTTACGTGTAACCACGACAAAGGCGAAGAATGAAGAGATTATGACTGCATGCCATCATCCTCCTAAATCTGGGATTTATTGGATTTGGATTCAGTAAATCACATGTCTCCATCGTGTTAATTAATACGTAAATTCAATCCTGAGGATTTCAATCGACACTTAAATTTAGATTTACTGACCCTGGACTCGATAAATCCCAGATTTCGAGTACGATGGAAACGTAGTCTATGATCGTGGCGTCTCAAGTATGCATGTGTATTATGCAGCGAGCATCTGTCACAAGATTGGCCGTGTAGATGTTGTATCTTGTATTGTGTCAATAGAACTTTTTATGGAAAGCATTTAAAAGTGAGTACAGTATTACGATCTGTCAAAAATATGTACTTTATTAGTACAATTAAGGAAAAAAATTTAATGCTCACTTGGAATGTTGTTTCCAAAGATGTGCAGAAGGTCGAAGCGCATTTAAGGTTATGTTTAATCATAAATATTTACGCAGAATTTTCTAAAAAACTGCGGTTATGGACCGCTACTTTTCTTCTCAATAGCTCGTGAAGGCATTTGAAAATCATTTAAGATTAAGTTATACTTGGCTCGCAATTTGCTCAAGTCATTTTTTCAAAGAAATCATTTTGGAATACTGCACTTCTACGTAAGCTTTGGTTGCAAAGTTTCATCATTGAAAAACTGTTTTACATAGATCAATGTTGAACTGCAGTCAATTGTTATTTGTAGGATTGACACTTCACCTTTTCATTTTTCTCGGTTGTATCATGAAGCTTCGGTGTTAATTTACAGCTCTGCTTGGCCGATTAAACGGTAGGTACATACATGCTCTAGCAGAACAATAGATGCCGATGAAGTAGTAAATAAAGTAATTCTGGACTTACAGGACAAACATTCATTATTTGATACTGGTTTAAAACTTAATTTATTTGAAATAATTTTACCATGTATATTTTATAGAACGTTACCTCAAATATGCAATAAAATTAAAGATTAATCTGTACGTAATCCTGATATAGTTATCGAATACTTGCTCGTAGGCAGAAAGAAATCATTGATTTTTATCTACGCTAGTAAATATAAAAATCTAAATTATTGACAGTAGATAGATTATTGACTATAGTTATTTGAACTGAGACTGTACAGATGTTTATCATTTTATACTTTGCGTCTTTATTTATATCTATGACTTCCATTCACTCCCCGTAGCAAGTCCTAGAAAAAGTTTGGAGAAATTTTCATTCATATACTTCTGATCTCTGCTTTTGGACTTTGGCCAAATATAAAAGAATGTGTGTGGGTCAAATTTAGATCAGCTGACAAAGCGCGTTTTGACGTAAAATCTTTTCCGCAGTTTTGCGGTAAAGATTTGTTAAGAATCATCTCGTGCACCTGAACAAGTGTGACATTGAAATTCTGTCAAGTAATTCAGGATGCAAAATCTGCTTCCTACAATTCCTGCCGGCTTCTACATCTGTTATGTGTAAACAGCAAAGTTAACATTACCATAATGAATACAAAGTGTCAATTTTTACTTTCATTTTCTATCTACGTTGTTGTACATTGTATTCCATATTTCTCTGTTGGAAATATTTATTACTTAGCAAAAATGAAAATGGAATATTTTTCTTAATGCAACTTTGTTAATTTTCTGACATGACACATTGTTTACATAGGATTTGATTACATTCCAGGTGTAAAAGAAGAATGAAGGCAAAGCGCAGTAAATCCTTGTCACCGGAACCATCGAGTAGCAATGAGTGGAAGCGGCCTAAGATTGATGAGTCATGTGAGAAGAATGGAAAAGAGATTTATCCTAATTTGCTGGACCTCTCTGATGACGTTTTGCTCAACATAATGAAATTCCTTCATCCACAAGATTTAATGGCTCTGAGTTTGTACGTCCTAGTGCTTGGCTGAATCGAATGAACTGAATATTATGTGACATCAATCGTTACAAGTCTAGTGTGAAAAAAGTGTCTGCGTTTTAATATTAGGTTTATAGTGAAATTTTGCAAAAAATTGTAGGTGCTGCCAAAGATTGAACCAAGTTTCTCGAGATAGAACCTTGTGGAGGAAAGTGGACTTTCGAGTGATGCCGATGATGGTGGAGGATCTTGAAAAATATGTGCATTTCCTGCAACCCCTGACGACCAGTCTGGCGATGCGAGGAAGTCGCCCACTGGAGAAACACGGAACTCTTAGTAAATTATTCTTAAAAGTAATAGCTAAAGTTTGCAGTCAGCTGAAGGAATTGATCGTCGAGGACTACTACATTGATGCGAACAAGGTGAGTTCATTTATAATTTGCATATTTTAACTTGAAATTTTACCTGCAACATTTTGATGCATACAGATCACGTTTTAATTTGGTATCGATAGAAGAGGTATAATCGTGAAGTAAATTATTTGGTTTGTTACAGATACAAATAATTGATTTCCCCGAAACTGTCGAGAAATTATCATTGAAGGGATGCAAGTTGTGTCACATACAAATAGATAGATCGTACTTCTTCACAATGGATCTTCACATGCGTAGTTTGACTGTTAGTTGTAACTTCTTAATGTACCATTGCTTACAAAAGTGATTACTTTTTATGAATTCGAAGTCTTGATAATTACCTACGCTTCTAATTTACAGTGCTTAATATTGAGTAATTGCCAATGGTTTATGCCTCATTCATTATTGGTCATTAGTAAAATTCGGAACCTGAAGGAGCTTCGACTGGACTCTTGCCATAGTTTAGGCGAATGTGTAGCCTACACTAGCCTCGCAACGAGATTTGGCTTCAAGACGCTAGAGGTATGATATTATCAACGCGGTAATTGACGATAATTTATACACGAATCAATGCGTAGCAAAGTAATACAAGGTGCGCAGTCTAGATACAAGTTATTTCTGTTTCAGATATTAGATCTAAGGGACACAGCATTGGGAGACAGTGAAATATGTTGTTTTAGTAGTACAAAGACATTGACGCATCTCTATCTGGAGTGCCCAGCTGTGTTGGTGAATACAGAGTCGAACAATCATTTGGAACAGCAGCAACTTTTGGACAGGCCAGGAAGACGACGAGCCTTTGAAGACCAAAATCTTGTTCAGGTAAGTTCTCTATAGTTCCAGTGTAACATTAATTAATCCAAAAGGCTAGAATTGAGCCATCAATATGCTCGCTGTGTTAAAATAAAATTAAAAATGTAATTAGGGTTAAATTTCAAATTAAAACCAGCAATTGAGGTTCAGTACATAAGTCGACGCGATCGGAACAATTAAATGTTTTTATGCTTCTAGATTATTATCGAGCACGGTTTCGAAAACAATTCCGAAAGATGTCTAATATCGGATAGAGCTATCTGCGCTCTTGGGAGTTACGCGTGTGATAGAAGAGTGGTGGATAATTCCGTGCCGGGTGGTATCCTCGTGGAAGAGGATCGACGCATTTTTAATAATCCCAATCTCAAAACACTGGTAGTAAGGTGAGTTTTTTTCACTCCTACAAGAATTCCAGAGTTTTGCGGTTGAGGGTCTTGAGATTACATTTCTGACGTTTCAGGAACTATCCGCTAGTAACAAACCAAAGTCTCGTTCACTTAGCTTTGAACGCGTCTAACCTCGAATTTCTAGACGTGACGGGGACGGCAGTCACGAAAGCGGGCGTGCAGACGTTTAAAGGAAAGAGACCTAACGTGAAGTTAATCTCCTCTTTTGACGAGACATAATCGACAACCGACACTCTCGATTATGATAAGGCGTACGAAGGTAAAAGTACGTGAAATTGCGGGAAGCGAGGAAGCTCGCGCTGAACGTGTCATTTAGTATTCACAGAGCTGGAAACTCTTAAATCATGTACATATTGGAAATGAATCACAGTGTTGGAATAACATGGTAGTGACGAGGGATCATGTTTTTTTTTTCTCAGGACACGTTCATATTTTGTTTCGTACTGGTGTTTTGTTTTTCTTTCTCTTCTCGATAGTGTACACTAAGTCTATTCGTTAACGCGCAAACACGAGTGTGTTTCTAAATGGACCCAACGAGTTGTATTCTCGATAGCCTAGTGTTTGTTGAGATACTTTTCTAACGAAGGATCATCGGAATGCTAACGATTGAACAACCGTAATGTATGTTTGCTAGACTTTTTTTATTCAGAATTAACAAGGGAGACAGCACCTTCCAAAGGAGCGTCGTAAATCAATTTGTTACGTCTTTTCTGAAATATCCATGACATCTCGTATTCATAGTAATTGTGGGATCACATGTTTTTCTACGGACACCTTTTGTGTACGCCACATTCGGCTGGATATTGAAAATGTGAAAATAGTCCTTGAATTCGCATATCTGCATTTGTGTCGATACTGTTCCAGGGGAAGTCATTAGATTTACGTGTAATTGTCACGCTGGGATGTATTGTAAAAAATTTGGTTGTGGTAATCGTACAATTGCGGTCTTTTATTCCTTGCGCGCGAGTGCTCACGTGTGTATATACATATGCATTGACCTTTATTAGTCGCATTGTAGTCATTGGTACCATACCTGTAAGTTACACGTAACAAAATAAACGGTGATTGCAAGATTATAACACGGTTCTTTGTACTCTGGAAATTGCATTAATACCAGTCCATGAATAAAGGAGAAGCTTCGAAACACCCAAGCTGGTTTAATAAAATTATTTTGTGACTTATATTTTGTTAATACAATTATTATCAGAGATGAGTTGGGATACTGCTCACGGGCAGGGTGACCTCCGGTGGAGGATGCAGACGGCTAATGCACTTGTCACTTGTTACAATTCTGGGCAGCCCGAGAACCGGCTGAAAAAGTGATGAACTTCTCACAAAAACTCCAAAACCCTGTATCTCTTCCGAAAAAAATCGCGGCAGAATAGGTGTGGGGGGGTTTCAGGTGGCAAGTGCACGAGTCGCCTGCATTCTCCACCGAGGGCAATACAAAATGCGATCGGACGACCCAGTCCGTGAACAATCTCCCACCTCATCTCTGGTTGAGAAGACTTGGTGTTTATCGTATCGTCTGCTGTTCTGTCGACTTGATTGCCGCAGTTTTGTAATTGTATTGTAAAAGAAAAGTATTCAGAAGAAGAGAGAGTGCCTTGAGTAGCGATGCTAACTAATTAAGTATCTTTAGGAATGAATATTCTCTGGCATGTGTTAATATTTTGATTGCTAGTACGAGACGTTAAATGAATCCTAACCTATTGGGGTGCACGTGAAAATGTCTACTTTGTTGTTGAGAAGTTTCGTTGGGCTACAAAATTGTTCTCGACAGTTTCTAACGAAGGTAAACAATATATCTGCAAGTACTCGACTGTATATATTTCCATTTATTAAGAGCCGTTTCGATGTCAGTTGACTTTTGGTCGTTTGCGTTAGAAACGGAATAAATTCAATGTAAGATTAAGCAAAGCGTGAAAAAACCGCTTTTCGCATTTTGGCCGATGCAGATTTCCGACTACAATTGATAAATAAGCAATAGATTAATTTTAACTTCGTACAAACAGGGAAGATGGATAACTATGACGAGTATATTACGAAGTGAAGTTTCCGAGAAACCCATCCTGAAAAGGAAACCTGGAATTAAGCTTAAATCTCCAGTGACATGGACAAGTCTTGCCATTTCGTCTGTCCTTGGCGGCGGTCTGTTGATATTTATGTATTACTTAAAGCAGCAAAAAGAGATAGCTTTGATGAAGGAAAGAAAACGTCAATTGGGTAAAGCTAAAATCGGCGGACTATTCGAGCTGGTCGATACGGAAGGGAAACTAGTTTCATCCGATGATTTAAAAGGAACTTGGCTTATGATCTATTTCGGGTTTACGCACTGTCCGGATGTTTGTCCCGATGAGTTGGAAAAGCTGACCAAAGTTGTCGATAAGCTTGGTGGGTACAATTTGTGATTTATATGAAGTGAAATTAGTATCATTCCGTACAGTGATAGTTTATTAACAGTCGTCATTAACAATTTTAGAAAAGGAATTTAAAGTAAAAGTTCAACCAGTATTTATAAGCGTGGATCCTGTGAGAGACACTCCTTCTGTGGTTAAAAAATATCTGCAAGAATTTTCTGATAAATTTATTGGTCTTAGTGGGACTAACGAGCAAGTTGCAAAGGCATGCAAAGCTTACAGAGTATATTACAGCAATGGTCCTAAGGATCAAGACGAAGATTACATTGTTAGTATTCACCGAAATTCATCTACCCGTACTCTATGATTCTATATCTTTCCATTTATTTGACCGATTTGTTTTTAGGTCGATCATACTATCATCATTTATCTAGTTGACCCTGACGGTGACTTTGTTGATTACTATGGGCAGACTCACGATGCCGAGCAAATTACTAATAGTATCGTATCGAGTATTATGAAATACAGCAGATTAAAAAATGAAAATTGGTTGCCAGCCTTTATGAATAAACAATGGCAAAATGCTTAGCGATAAAGAATTGGAACGTGCACCGATGCTTGGTCTGTAAATGTATACAGTCATATAAAAATAGTTTTGTATTCTTTCGTAAGGTTTCAGTCCCTCGTAAAGAATGAGATTTGCCTGCTTTGCTGGCTCGAATAAAATAATATTCAATCTTACGTTGGAGGTGGGTTTAATTCTGTTCGTTGGTGGGATGACAGTTCTTTTTTCTCTAAAATAAATTCATAAATAGTGTGGTGGAAGGTCATAGAAATAGGATAAAAACTTTGTATGCGAAATTTTCTTAACCTTACTTTTGTATTACAGAAATTATTCGTATCGTCTTTAATGTTCTACATTAAATCGCAGATTTTAACCCCTTGCGGTTGTATTTACCCAAGATTATGAGAACTTTGCTGGTTGAGAGTAGACATACAACTGCAAAGGGTTAACCATTAGGATGTAGAGAGCCTTCAAGGTATACATCATTCAGATTTCTTTTTCATAATTACTAAAATTATAACTAGAGAACCACTGGATAAATCAGGAATGTTATTATTAAATAGTAAAATGCTTTCAAAGAATTTCCATTATAATGGTCCATTTGTTATCTTCAAAGCAGCTTAAAATACACCCTAGTTCATACACGTTATAAGCTTCTCGAATACATGAACTACAGGAGTGCTTCACTGTATCATAATTTTAACACTGATATTACACGTTTTATCACTTTAGTTCTATGGAAGTACCAGTCACAGAGACCTGCTCGATCTGGCATATATTTCGCTTGTTATTACTTAACAATGATTACTTTTCAATTATCATTACCACATTTAAGACGTTTAAAGTAGTGATTCCTTTTGGAATAATTTTATTTAGATAAATGTAAAGGCTGCTGTATGAAAAATATCGATGCTAAACACAAGAAAGTTTGTTTGCAGTATCAACTTTGAAACATGAATTAACTTCTATATCGGTACAATTTCAGTTCTGACACATACGCAGGAGTGAGTGTAAAAATTGACTAAGATAAATTAGGCTTGCGCTTCTTTATTTTTTAGCAACGTTAAATCTCATTTTAATTAGGTATCCATTGGAATTCGTGACATCAATTTAAAAGTGAATGTAAAAACAATCGCATTTTTTAGCACTAATCTACCCCTTATCGGCTTACAAAATGCTGTGACTTCTCTTTGACTCACATTCTCACTCTCGCTCGTCTTATCTAATTAATAAACACGTGTACTCATATTATAAATACTAAACGAAGTTATTCGACAATTATTCCTTATAAATGGAACCTTCAAGAAGCGCAATTGTCAGTTTATTGTGCCATTTTTATAACGTCCAGCGTTTTAAATAGCAGAAAAAAGTGACTCAACTTTGGCATGGGTAACTGGGAGACACGTCGACTAACATCTCGGAAGTCGATTACACTTAGGTAACTCTTCTTTTAAATCAGTTCTTTAGAGAAGACCGATCTCTAAGGAGAAGGAACTTTACGGATGGACGTGTTGCTGAAGATTGTGCAATTCGTAAGCAAGGTGACAGCACTCGGAGTCGCTCCATCTGTGTTGCTCCCTGATATTCTCAGCTCTGTCTGCCGCAGCAGCCGCATAGACGGACATCTCCGACATCTGTAAAAATGACGATTTTCATTCCCTACATTCGTGACGATATTAATTAGAATTTTCTAATAAGTATTCATACTTTAAACTCATTTTAAGTAGTAATTCTTGTATATAGTCAGAAATCTTTGCCGAAAGATGCTACAATGAACTAATAATATTTTTATTTCTTACGCTAACATTAGGTTGTTGAGAAAGTATTTGACTTTCGTTAGGTGCAACCTAATAAAATTTCTGCAAAATGAGTTAAATACGTAGTTCGATTGTGCGTGTTGAAAGTCGAGGGCCCGGGTTTAGGGAATATTTAGTACTCACGTTCGAGCAGAACGAGAGCAGCGACTGATCCGTGTATTTGCTACACAGAGGTGACGTGTGATTCAGGGTTTGACTTTGATTTCCCGCTGTCGATTCTTGGCCAGCCTTAATGATGTCTAGGTAACCACGGCTGCTCGCTAAACTACCACCGCGTGTTCCGATATCTGGAGAACGAGCGCGACATCGGGATGAATCAGGAGAGATTTAACTATTGAAGCATTCGCAGAGCCACATTGACAGCGTGGAGCTTCGCGGGAGGGGAGATGAGGTTATGTGCGCCGAGACCACGTGGAGACCACGCGCGTACTTGTGCATTATTTGACTGGTTTGACGATGCATGGATGAAAAGATGGGCCAAAGTGTCGACCTGACGGATCCGTGCGTGACGAAGCGCCGAGCTCAGCAATGACACGCACAATTGTTTTTTGGGAAGCTTTTAAAGGATCAAAGAGACACCTTGTGTACTCGCCATCGAGTGGGTGGAACGTCGGGTGTCCCTAGGGTGGAAAAAACAGAGCCATGGTTTGGACCACCACCTCTGGGCTTGCGATTGCCTGCCCAGCTTTGTCGCGTTGCAGCTGCACGTGCTGCTGGAATGAGTCGACTGCCTTTGACCCCAACGTCCACTTCGAAACCGTGGGCACTTCCTGCTTCGGATCACCCTTGAGACCTCTGCTCGTACTTCACCGTTCATGAAGCAGTACAGGACCGCCACGAAGAACCCCTTCGATAAGTGATTTTAGTCGTTACGCTGGGTGCTGTACTTTATTTATATTGTATCCAGCATTTAATAAAAGTGGGTCTCTCGTTAATACCGAGACGATCGTGGGTGGACTCACTTGGAACGAAGCGAACAGCTGATCGCAAAACAACCAGACGAGTTCTACCTTCTCGTTCACTCCGATGCTGTAAGACATTCCCAGGAAGACCGTGTAGTGGACTCCGAAAAGAGGAACCAGGACCAGCGTGCTTCTGGCCCAACGTCTAACACGGAGAGGAAGGAATTATTGCTTTGAAGCGATCGTCCCCTGCTTTGGGTCGCGAAGAACTCACTTGTATCTCTGAGTCTCCTCGGACACCGTGGACTTCAGTTTCAATAGGAGCACCCTGACGATATTGACGAAGAGCACGAAATTGATCTGAAATTGTACTTATTTGAGACGGCTACTTATTTATCGTTGTCTACGATCGCTTACCAGGATCGACAACATCGTGGGCACTCGGATCACTAGGAAGAGGAGGGAATTGTTGTTAGTGGTCCAACAGTAGATGTCTTCCAATGATGCTCTCAAGGCCACCCAAGGCAGCACGAAGATTGCCGGTAGGCCTGAAAGTATTAAAATTATAGCCACATAAATATTGCAGTAAATATCTCCCAGCAACGGTTACGAGACCGTGCGTCATGTGGGCAACACGTTCACGTGGAACAATCGGGGATGTCTTACCCCAGCCTAAGACGACGTATCCTGTGATGCTGGAATTGGAGTCGGTGAAAAGGGCAAGGAAGACCAGACTATGGAGGTAAAGTCCTTCCATAAGAATCCAGGAGTAATTGGCCAGGATAAAGTACTGCCAGAGACTGGTGACGACTTTGCATTGCCAGTTACTTTCCACCTCGTCCACTAGCAAGTAGCTTTTGCCATTCTTCACCAAAACATCCGACGACAAGCCGAAGCCAAAGACAAAGAGAATGTCCTTCAGCAGTGCCATGAACGCTCTCATCATGAAGGACACGAAGAGGTGCATGTGCAACATATTCCTGGGACAGCGCAGTTTCCTACGTCCAATTAAAAATTCATCGGAGTTTTACAGTGCTATCGATGTACACAGATTTTTACACTTCTAGTCTCTTAATAGAATATCTTTCTCATCGACAAAGATTTAAAGTTAATCAGGGGTAGCGTTGCCAGGAAGACACCTCATAAGGACGAGCAAGAACTTTTATCATTTATGGTTCATCTTTTAACGATTTTTAAACCTGTATACTTACTTGATGGCAGCCAGGATGAAGAAGGCGACGATCAGCGTAGAGAAGGACACGGTGTACCCAACTTTTGAAATGGCTTTTACAACGGGAAGATATTTCTGGAACGTGAATAGAGAGAAAGTGAGGACGCCCGATTCGCGCCTTAAAAAAGTGGTTTTATGGTTTTCGACAGTGTCTGGGAACGGCGTTTTGTTGTTCCATTGATCTCCGAAACTTTCCGCACTTCTTCTGGCCGGCCCATAAAATCAGAGGACCCCCCAGGGAATCTAATCAGGCTTTTGTTTTTTCATCCTCCTCAAATATTTGCCCGCAATTATGCCGGATCATGAATCAAGGACGTGGAATCGGAAGGACTGATCGATCACCAAGAAGATGGTTAAGGGGAAGTGAACGACGTCGAGAAAAGTGATTCTTCTAAATACCTAAGTTGCCGACGTTCGTATTTATGTATCTCGACTGTGTCGAATTACATTGGGTATTGTCCTAAATGGCATACTCCACGTGTCGTTTCAATGGGTCAATTTTTGACGGATCGTTTCCGTCATACATTTGTGCCCATAATTATGAAAGTGGTCTAAGTCATATATTTTTTGTTTCGAAATTACATTGAATTAATTTCGTTTGAAATAATATGGCGTGAAATAACTGATAAACTCATTTTTTTTTTTAATTTTCACTTAGACCACTTTCATAATTATGGGCACATTTGGAGAGTCCTTCGATCGTCGCCGGTTGACGGGGGTGTTTTTTAATATTTCGACAAGCGCATTTCCGGAGAGACGATAATCGACCGATTGTCCGGTGGGTAGGAGCCTCTCGTTCGACTCCTTTCCTCCGGGTTCGGGGAATCGGTCGATTAACGCTCACCGAGGGGCCGGAATCGAGGAATTGCCTCGATCAGCCCCGAGGAAGAGCCTCGCTGATCTCCGCAATTCCTCGATTAGACGAGGTCTCCCTACGAATTGAGTTCCCGTAGATGACATTAAGTGGCATCGATCCGCCTGCACGCCGGGACACCTCCGACGCGGTCCTTACCTTGATCAGGGTCACGTTGTCGGACTGTACTTCCGGCAGATCCATGAGGACCGTCACCAATTGGGCACTGTAGCATTGGGTATAATTGCTCCACGTACTGTTGGTGTCCGCACTCCAGAACCACTCTCCACTGGACATGCACTGCCTCGTGGCGTTTGCCTGGAAAATGCGATCTGCTTAAGGTGAAGTGAAACACGTCGAGGAACTTGATCGACGTCGATGAAGAAGATTTTTCTAAATGCCTACGTGGCCGACGTTCGTTTTTATATTGACAGCTGTGTCGAATTATATTGGGTATTGTACCAATTGGCATACTCCACCTGTCGTTTTCGTACAATAATTATAAAGAAATTGAAGTAAAACTCCAAAAATCCTCTGGATTCGTGCTTTCTGGGGCCCTAATTGACTGTAAAGGGACACCCTGCGCCATCTGTGATTTCCAGGTCAATTAAATTTTCACTCCGAGACCTCGTATTACCATCGTTTTGGCATAGAAGCGCATACGACACTTTTTTTGCCTCTATCCCGTTCAAATGCGAGTTTATCGATTACCAGAGTGTTCTGAATTGCCGTAAAATTGTCCTGACCCTTTCGATTCTCATATCAGAGCCGTCAATAATTGTATATTGATCGAAATATGAGAGCTCGACGCCATTTTGGTTCTGGTCTGGACTGAGTTAAACAATTTTTTTGAAAAATCCAAATATTCAATGTGTCAGGACAATTCTTAGATGATCAGGAGTGATGTGTCAAAGTTTCGAACAGTTTGGTCTAATACCCTTAAAAAGAAGTGTTGTATTCCTATCGACTGATTTGAAGGGTGTTTCACTTCACCTTAAGATCTGGATTAAGGATTGCCTAAGAAGGAAATATGAATTTTTTATTTTCTACGTGAAATGAGGATTTCCACCGAACGGGCTCGTTCGATAGACCAATTTGAAGGGAAGAACCTCCCCCTGCTGCAGGGAGGGCAGGTGCGAAAAAACCAGGACAAAGACGTGGAAATTGCAATTAGCGGTCTCGTCGCCGTGTCTTCAAGGTTGATCCTTCCAGCTTGGAAAGATACTTTTGTTTTCTTTGTTTCCTATGTAAAGTCCGGATGAACGGTAATTCTTTTTATCCTAGTTTACCTGAAGATCGAACCCCGCGATGTAACGAGGACAAGGCAGGGCGGACATTTCCCCAGGAGCCGTCTGAGGCCAGCAAAGGATGCCATCCCAAGTCTTGGGGCACCAACCTGAAAATAAAAAGAGGAATTCAATATTCCAAGAGAGCAGACTGGGATAAAATCCACCCCGAAGAGGAACTCCGCGAGAAACCGGATGCATCGCTTGCTTATTGGAATCCTGCGTCCGTATGCGGTGCATCCGCATTGCGGATAGCATCCGGAGGACGCGGAGCACGGAGAAAGTGAATTTATATCGCATTTATATCGTAGGAAAATACAGGGGTCCTTTTTTTCTTTTTTTTTTTTTTTTAAAGAAAAGGACGCGAATGCTTCCGCGCCACTTGGTCTCCAATATCGGGCTGACCTGGAAAGGCTCGCTCGAGATGTTTGCGAATTACTCTTGACATTCCGTGATCTATTTCAAGAGGCGTTCCCAGAGGCTGTGGATCGGAAGAGTTATTAGAGTGCTCATCGAATGCAAGAAATAAACGTCGAGCTCGAGGACTAAACGACAGCCATCTGCTGGTCGATGGGTCTTTCTTCTTGGATCCAAAATGGCGGCGTTCGCGGTAAATCGGAACCTGAATCACGATCTGGAATTACGTTCCTATTCCTATCTATGCGTCTAATGAGAACGTAATCCAGATGGATATTGAGATTGAGATTTATTTATTATGCAACATAGCTTGACACGGACTGACTGATTGGCTTTTATTCTCAAATCCAAAATGGCGGCTTGCCCGATTCGCCGGAACCCGAACCCCGCTTCGGAATTACCTTCCTGCTTATACGCGTCACGTGCAGAGAAAATGATGGCGCAATTTCCGGGATGGTTTTCGGTGCACGTATGTAAAAAAAAGTTCGGTCCTCCGAGTTCTGGGAGTAAAAACGAGCCCGGTTCTCTCCGTAACGTCCTCCATTCGCGGCGTACATCTTTTACACGGACGCGGTGCGGTTCTTCTCTATGTATGTTTAAAAAATAATGCTATTATTCAGGATTCCTACTTACGAATGGAAGCGCAATGGAGATTGAAATTTATTTATTGCGAAGCGTATACATAACTCCGTGTGGGTAAAGCAAGGAAAATACAAAGAAAATCAGGGCGATCACAGTGTGGTAGTTTCAACGCTTAGTTATTAGGCTCGCAATTGTTTCTTTTTTCTTTTCCACTTGATTGAAAATCTTTCGCGAATTCGGACGCGAAAGAACTAATGTGAGATTTTGTAAGGATGATTGGCCCACGATTTACGGGAATAACGAGTCGAAAAATCGGGCCCCACGCGATCCGTCGACGTTCGTCATCGTTAACGTCATTCGTTGGGCGTATCGTGGCACGTGGATTCGATTTCTCCCTTCACCGAGGGGTTGCTCGACAGATTAATGGGCTGTATTTTTAGTAGGGGCAATTTATTTTTTTTTTACTCCACGTACGAATCGCGTCCACCATGGCTCTCCACTTTGCATACGCGTTATACACCCCCGTAGAAAAATACGGATTTTTAAAAAAGAGAACTTGGAACCTCGGTACGATAAAAGCGTTACGCATGAAATAAATATTAATACATTTTCTTTGTAATAAAGCGGTCCACTTTAACCCCTTCTATAGGGACCAAATCGCGACCTGCATTAATTTGTTCGATTTTGATAGCGTAAATTGACCCGCGACTTGGAATATCGTAATCTGCTTCCTTCCTTCGAGGCGAAAATGCAGTGGATCGAATTTTTCCCTCATTTTCCTGATTTTTCGCATTTTTCTACCCGCTGGCGCGCAACATGTTTCGCCTTTGACCTCTTTTTTCGCCCGGAAAAAGCCGTCCCCGTTTATCCGGGAACTTGTTTTCTTTCTTCTCCTTCTTTTTCATATCCCTCTTGGTGGTTTTTCGCCATTGGAAAAACCGGGAAAGCCCAATTTTGCGGAACTTCTCTTCGCCACCTGTTACCGGTCGCGTGGGTTGCGCCGCCATCTTGGTTCCGGAATTGCGAAACTTTTCCCGGAAGTCTTCCGCGTCCAGCTTAATGTTCGCTTTGATATAAAATTTCCCCTCGCGTTGTCGGATTCCTTCGCAACGCTTTTAATCGAATTATCTCGGCTTTTAACCGCAGGGGCTAATTACGCAGCGAGGTTATATCGCAAAGAGTCTCTCTCGTTTTGTTGTTGTTGGGCGCCATTTTCCAAATTGCCTCCTGCGAAAAGGCCGCGTTAATTACCCTACGAAATAACGAATAGCTGTTACTTCATTGACGCTTTCGAGAGTAATTTAAATTAACAGTGCACCCAGGGTAATTAACGTAAAATTGCGCGTAAAATTGCGCGGCAAGAAGTGACTACTCGGTGCTGCATAATTGTCGTTTGGTCGCGTCTTGAAGGACAATTTTTTCAGTGTAGGGCCTTAAGTCGGTTTTTTAATCGGTGGCCTGCGTGATGCTTTCTTTAATCATCGTGTCTGTATGCGGAAAAATAAGGATGGCCAGAAAAACCACAATTGTGGTCGCGACCCACACAGTTTTGTCCAGAAATGAGCGTATCGAATTTTAATCTCTTTCATCCGAGATTAGGCCGATTGCGGGATATCTCGATATTACGATACTGATAAAATATTAATCGATATTATGCGCGGGTACTTGTATTTGCATCGATGATACAATGGTGTGGATTAATGTACGACAATTGGGCGGACGTTTACTGATCCGCGTCGAGGGTGGCGCAACGATATCACCGGTTATCACTCCATTGATGACACCGACAGTGTCCACTCGAATTTGATTTGCGAGTACGTGCATGTATGTGTACGGTACATAGGAATGAGGTACGATGCATCTCGCATGTGCTTTTGCCCACGGGATCGTTCGTTGTGATAACGCTGATAACGCAGGCATAATGGTGCAAGGGATAATGGTACATACACGGATCAGCGAAATGCAATTACTACTGCAATTGCGATAACTGACATCAGGCGAATACAGAGAGAGGGAATGAAATTTGTATCGTTTGGCGCGTTTTATCATTGTCATGAAATTTTTATCATGCAGCGGATTTTTTTAATCACTTCGCGGTGTTTATCACGTAAGCCCAGTTTTCTTGCCACTTGGCGGGTTTTCTATCCCGACGCGATTTTTTTTGCTTTTCATTTTCTTCGGGACGCGAGAGAGGTCGAGTGCATTTTCCGCGGAATTTACTCATTGAATTAAGCGGTTTCCATCTGTGTCGAACAGCCGGTAATTGGTTTTCGGGGGTCCGGGGAAAGTCGGGAGAAAACTGCCGCCGATAATTCGGGACAAACAACGATTATCCGATTGTTCGCCGCTTCTTGCGTAATGGCTCTTTACCTCGGCGCGTATGTACTCCGTAAATATCTTAAGGGTATCCAAGGCAAGCTCGTAATCTTCCAATAGTTATTATCGAAGTGACTCACGCTCGGGAGGAAAATATTGTCTATGTTTCTAATCTCCGCCTTGGTAAATGAAGCTCTCCAGTTTCCCTGCTCGGAGAAAATTTCCACGGTACTCGTATCGCGATCGATCTGAAAGGATCGAAGAATGTAAGCCCTTTTTTTTTCATTTTTTAATCGGGATACTTTGCTTTCGCCTTTCGTCAATTTTTCCGATTTTCTCCGCCTCCTGTTAATATCTTTTTATTCTTCTACGACGTTCTTTTGAATTTCCCGCGCCCGCCGCCATTAACTTCCCAGGCCGCGAACCGAAGCCGCAAATTAACTGTAATTCAATGTCCTCGATGTCGTAGAGTTTATAAACTAACGATTTCGCCATGGCGACCCGCGTTTGCTCTCTAATTAATTCGAGACCTCGTTACAGTGCCCATCCCCGTCGTTGGTACATTAAATTAACGATTGCTCGGCGATCATTACGCCTAGCTTGGCCGTTTATTCATTGTCTCTCGTTGCACGAGCAGCGATTTGTCTTTGCTCGCAGATTCATTGTCAAGACACCTGGATGAATCATCTCGAGGTGGCCGTGCATAAATATCCACTTGTTTGCTTCCCGCCAAGAAGGGTACGAGAGGAAAGAAGTGGACACAGAAAGGAAAGATAAAAGGAAGGCCGCGAAAATAAATAAGAAATTCCTGACACCCGCGAAACAGAGCGAGACGTTATTTCGCGGGATTTCAGGGATGAGGAAATGGAGAAAATGGGGAAAATGGAGAAAAACGAGGAAATCGAGGATATCCTCGACGAGACTCGAGGGGATGTTCACTAAAGACGATTTCCTTCTTTGAGAACCGATTCACCTGTGAAATTTCATTTTTGTGTAAAATATAGTGTTCCTGTGATTTCTTTTTTATCTCAGTTGTTATCAGAGGTTGGCCCCTTTTTCATATCACCTTATGTATTTTTTGAAGACTCACCTGAGGTCGTCGAGGTCCCATTATGGCAGAGCCTAGCCTGGAGCTCCAGCATTTGTTGCTGGATACTCGGGCTATTGAAGTCGCGGTCGTCCTGAAACAAGGAATTCGATTAACGACTTGTTGCGACCATACGTCGAGGCAAAAACGAGCAAGCTACGGGGACGCAATCGGGACGAGGTTTAACGAGGTCGCACGCGGATAAATGGGGTCGAAATTACGGGGTAGGTGGGTATTGCACGCACACCGCGTCGGGGAGCAATGCCGGACGGGATTAAAGGTCTTGGCTTGAAATTTCCCCCCGAGATATTTCGGAACTTTGACTTCGGGTTGGTCGATGTCAAAAGCAGCTTCTTCAAGAAAGGTTTCTACGAGACCTCTTGCCAAGGATTTACGAAGAAACGAGGAGGATAGAGACGCTCGAGATGTAAGGGCGAGGAGCGCGCGGCGGCCATCTTGGTTCCCGGCGTCCTCGCGGGATTTAAGCGGATATAAAAACGATTCCATTTTCTACAGAGTACTTGCTGTTGTCATTTGTCATTTGTATGCTCTTGAATATATTCTGCGACGCAGTTTCACGATCTGTATGGGTTTTATCTATTTAAAAAAGACGCCGCGTGTACGCTTCGACTGCCGTCGTTCGCGAATTCAAGATGGCCGCCACAGCCCGTTCGTAAAATCTCACTTTACGCTCCATTTGATGTTTCTTAGATCCACTCATTTTGCCCGATTCGCGTCGGGATTTTCGAGAGAAATTCTCGCGCTTGCGAGACTTAGGGGGGACGTTGTTAGGGTTGAGTGCATTCCGCAATTTGCACTGGTTATATCCGGGGAAATTACAGGCGGTTGGCAATTACGGAACACCCTGTATTGCGAGATCGGGCGCCAGATGCACCGACTCGGCGACCACGTGTGCAGCTCGTTGCATAAGGCCGCTACTAATTTTAGGGGATTTTCATTAAATTGTTCTACTTACTTCTCTCGAATGGCGAATTCGCGATTCTAGGTTGTTCGAAATCAAGGGGATCGGGATTTAATACCAGATCGAAATCTATCTCGCTCCGAATGGTTCTTGCTTGGATGAGTTTCTCTCTCCGCGACATTTTGTTCTCCAAACGTGGAAAATACTTCGAGTAGCTCGAAGAAATATTTGAATCGATAGATGATATGTGCCCATAATTATGAAAGTGGTCTAAGTCGTATATTTTTTCTTTCGAAATTACATTGAATTAATTTCGTTTGAAATAATATGCCGTGAAATAACTGATAAACTCATTTTTTTTTTAATTTTCACTTAGACCACTTTCATAATTATGGGCACATATAAATAGTCTGTTAACGAGAAATGTCGCGAGTTATCACCCTAGCAAGAGTGAATTTATCGTTTCTCCAATCGAAGGATCTTCGTGTATCGCCAGTGCACTCGGCGGACAATTCCGATAGGATTTCCTTTTCCAAGACCCATCGATCGACGCTTTTCCTACATTTTCTTGGTCTCGCAGGTTGCTTTTTATCGATCACTCTCCTATCACTTCCTCTCGGGGTAATAAATTGGAGAACTTCCCTTTCCGTTCGTCGGAATAGACAAATTCCAAATAGAGCGACCGCTTTTTCAAGACAACAATTTCTTCCCAAGAAGGGAAATTATTTAGAGGCCACTTTACGAAGAACTTTCGGTAATTGCATTTCGATAAATCGGCCGCAACCGCTTCGAATTACTCCTACCGAAGGGTACGGATTGCGGAAGAGCGGCCATTTTGAAATTAACCCTGAATATCGGCAAGGCTAAAAATGCAGTCTTTTGCTAAAAATGCAAATGCCCTTTTTTCCCTGGTATATTCGGGCTTCTCTTTCTCGTGTCGGTCTCTGGAAATAAACCTGTCAGAAATCGGTGCCAGCATGTGTTGCATCGTCGGGAATGCACTTCCACGTTTCTCAACGGATGCAATTCGTCGGATCTTTGACGATCACTTGTTGCTCCACGTCGACGTCGATTCTACTCGGCTCGAATTTTCCCAGACTTTTCCCGAGATCCGGCCGATTAATAATTCATTTTCCAATCCTCCGAGTCGATTACTTCTGACGCTAAGTGGCTTAAAACTCGCTTTGCGTTATTTACCTCGCTCGTAACGAAGGAAGAACTTCCTTTTTTTTCATCTCTTAAGCTGAATTGAAGAGCGATACTCGGCCGCTGTGTTTTAATTTCTGCACGAGGCTCTACATATTTTTTTTGTGAGTAATGAAAAAATTAAATTTAATTCAACATTTCACGGTAATTGAGCGCTAACGGCGCCCGTCGGTTGCGACCATTTTCCGGCAGTAATTAAAAAATTCAATTATCCATTGAATGTTCCGGAAAGGTGTTTAATTTAAAATGGCGAGACCTTTTTCCTGGTTAAACGTTACGTTCGACGAGGTCGATGGAGGCAGGATGTAAAGCTTGCAAGCTCGGTTCAGTGATTGGGTCCCATCTGGGAGAAGGAGCTTGATCGATTAATTAAATTTATTTAAATTAATGGAAATGGGAGAATGCATGTCTACTCTTGGAATTGTCATATTCGAGAGTCACGGTTTAACCGGTAATTCAATTTTAGTTTACTTCGCACAGCTTTTTGTGCAGATCGAACGGGCTCGCACGTATCTACTGGTTGATTCAACATTTCCGAGCCCACGTGCCGGCCGTAACTCCTAGAACTTTGTTAGGATATCGCAAAGGAATCGTCATGGTGTTCCGATCCCCATACGTGCCCGGTGTCGGTCGCTTCCGGTTAGAAAATTCTTCAGAAAATCAGGTTATAAGTCAGAATGGAGGGGTTTTTCCGGCCATTTTTCCTGAGTTTCCGGCCAGAGAAAGGGTACCCCCGTAGGGGCGAAACTTCTCCGTAAGTTTCTTTCATTGGAGGGGAAATTGTTGGCCGACGAGCTCGCCAAGTATCCCACTCAGGCGGCTTTTGAATGAAAAGTCGAAAGCTCGCGAAAGGCGAGAGGGAAGAACCATTTCCCGGAGATGCTCGGAAAAAGAAAACGACTTTGTGGCCGCGCTTTCTAGCTTGACATTTTTTCGACAGCCAAAAAGCTCCACTTTGTCGGCTAAACTTTTGCAAGAGCTGAAAGGCTGCACGGTATCTGTTCATAAAATCCTCACGCTTTCAGTACACACGGAGGTGAATTACAAAATTCGATAATTTCTTGACAAATTGATCATTTCATGATGTCGAGTGAAGTGTCTTGGTGTGCCTGTGGATTCCTCTTCGATCGTTTCTTAAGGAAAATCCGAATTGGAAGGAAGTTTTTAATAAAGTTATTCCCTCGGAGGGAAGAGCTGTTTTCACCTCGGAGAAGGCCCGGGCTTTAAACTTTCTCGAAAGTTTCTTTCGTCGAGATGCAAATTGTCGGCTAGCTTTTGCGATATGGTTCCCCGACACGTGGGGCGAATGGCGACGCCAAAAATAATCCACTTATGGGGGAAAAATAAAAATTTAGGAAAAATGTCGATAAGAAATTTACGATCTGGAGCCGCCTGGCGTAATAATATTTATCAACGTCGAGAGTGATTTGAATTATCGCGATGATAGCGGAACGCCGGATGAGATTTTCTTGAAATTGGGAAGGCCACTTCGTCGTGGAAAAAATCCATACATGTCCTATAACGTTAATCGACGTCGAATATCGCGGAGATCGCTAGACGTTTTCGCGTTAAAATTCCCGTAATTTAGAAAGATTAATATTCATGAGCTCGCGAACAAAATGGCGGAGCTAAACTCGGAGTTTCTGCGAAGCCCTTCGGTCGGGATGTGGTTGCAATTCCTACAAAGATGTATTGCCGTACACGTATGGTGGGCTGCACGAGGGATTATGCAAATCCCGGAATAATGCGACACGCCAAGAAATATACCCAACGTAATTAGCGAGGTAAATGAGAGGCGATCGTGACGCAAAGTCTGCTCTAAAACGGAATTAAATGACTCGTTACGATTCTTTTTTTTTTACACTCTCACCTGTTTTCCACCTCTTATCCCGCTCCTTATTTCTTAATTCTTGCCTCGATAATCCCTGAGACCGAATTGAAGAGAATTTCCAGTCTCGCGTGATGGAGTACTTGACTTTATCTACCGATACTGGAAAGTGGGATAATTGGCTCGAGATGCACGCGAAGGCTAATTCTGTACTGTGTTAAAAGAAATATCGTAACAATTTTAATTATAAATCCCGTTACTTGACGAGTAAACTTATTAATTGACTCGCGAAAATTCCAGCAGGGCACTTATGTCGGTCGGAAATATTTATTTCATATTTTTTTATGACATTCGCTCGACGTCGATGAAGTCCAGTACAAGATTCCGGGAGTGATAGGACGCGTTAGATTGTTTGCTGACCCGATTTGCAGCGATTAATGAAATATTAAGGCGAGCTTAATGGAGGGCTCGAGGATGCCGAAGACTCGCTCAATCATCTCTTGGCTCGTTACCTCCTGGGGATTAGCGAAGTCTCTCGTAAGACTATAACAAGGACTCGATCCTGTCCGGAACTTCTCGAGGAACTCGCACTTCGGTGATTAAAGTGCTCCGAATTAATTATAGTTGCTCGCAGGATTGTGCAACGTGTCCAAATTATGCCACCGGTGTTGCATCGAATTATTCAATTAGCATAGTCAGCTCGATCATATTAGTCAATCATGTGTGCATCCAGTGGATCTGCACAGTGGATATGATTCCTAAACAAATGTATGATTGATATTTTTTCTCGGATTTATTTTAAAATTGGGTACTTTTGATCCCGTCAATGGGCATAGTCAGCTCGATCACATTAGTCAATCATGTGTGCATCCAGTGGATCTGCACAGTGGATATGATTCCTAAAAAAATGTATGATTGATATTTTTTCTCGGATTTATTTTATAATTGGGTACTTTTTATCCCGTCAATGGGCATAGTCAGCTCGATCACATTAGTCAATCATGTGTGCATCCAGTGAATCTGCACAGTGGATATGATTCCTAAAAAAATGTATGATTGATTTTTTTTCTCGGATTTATTTTAAAATTGGGTACTTTTGATCCCGTCAATGGGCGCGAATCTTCTTAAGACTCATTCG